TATATTAGACAATTAAAATCTTTTATTGTCTCTTTCTTCTTACCTCTCAGGACATTCCATCGCTTGAATTAGGTGTTAAAATAGAAAAGTGATAATAGCAGGACGCCCCTGGTGACCGGAGTCCTGCCATTATGCCGTCGAAATAAGGCGAAACGCGTGTTACTCTCGACGTAACGACGCTTTTCTGTCGACGCCACGTGCGTCGTGCGTCGCGACGTCCCCGGTGCTCTGTAATCTCCGTGGACGGCGAGCGTCGACGCCGTTCCCACACTTGGAACACGCCGAAACGACGAATTGTTCGACTGTTTGACCGGCTACTTCGTTACGCCGTCTAACGAACAACTATTCCACGGGCGTTTAATGAGTTTCGGGAGCGTTTAACTCCGGCTCTAGGACGAATAAGTGAAGAACTGCTACTCTAATTACCTAAATGTGTGTTTATTTCTCGCATATCCACTTGTATTTAAGCTAGTCGGCTTCTATTTTCTGGAAATTTATGGAACATGTATAAGGATTGAAGCACATGTTGATTGTTCGGAGAAGCTTTCGCATCCATCATATGTTTGAAGCAGCATATGCTCTTAATAAAAATCAAAATTAATTGAAAGATTACCTGACTCTCCTCTACTTACTAGGTAATCTGTTAATATTTAATAATAACTACTTTTCTACATATTTACTATATTTTCAATAATGCGCCATTTGCGCCTCAATGTCACTATACTCTAATTCCAAAATAGTAGGCACTAAATTCTTAGAAATGATTGTGAAGTTTCCGTTATTAGTTAGCCATTATTCTATGGCTATTTAGCAGCTTGTAAATTATTTAAATAGAACATGCTTAAATATCAAGAATCACAACCTGACCCAATGTTTTCGTTTTAAACCGATAATATTTTCGAGAATTTAGTGCCTACTATTTTGGAATTAGAGTATAAGCAAAAAAATTTCAGTTCGATCCTGAGCATAGGGTGTTAAATTATATCCTTCGAAGTATTGACGCGCCCCAGTGATTCCCCTTCGCAATATTTGTTTAATTAAGACATAAATGTAACAACAGAACGACCTACTAATGAGATAATGAACAAGCAAACTAAAATATTTGTAAGACAAGAGGGCTAATTAAAATACATATAGATGTACGCAATACTTAATGCAATTTAATTTCGCGCGAATTGTTCAGAAGACTCTGGATTTGTGCGGGTTGAAAACATATCGAATTAGTATATGGATAGTTATGTTTTCTTGGTGTACAAGCACAATGAACTTGGAGAATTCGAAAGTGAAATTAAAGGCGAAAGGGGAAATTAGTCGGAATGAAATACGTTTCGATGGGATAGATAAGCAGTTCGGTGGTTTGGGTCTCGAGTTATGCTATGCTAGGGTCTATGGAGGTATGAATGACGCCACACGCAATTGTTGCATTCCCTTCGGCTGGCCGACCGACGTCGCGACGCTAATAAATATCGATAATTTCGCTGAAATTCGAATAGCTTTAATCCGATTGTGCATTATTTATTTTGCGGCTTGATAATTTCACGTTGGTTAGTGAAATATTCAAACGAAATTCGAGTTAACTTGTGCATTGTAATCTACAAAAAGGTTCGATTACCTGCACTAGATATCTATTGAAAATAAAAAGTGAAAATGTCTGAAATTGGATATTATTTGATGGATTTCTCTTTATAAAAATCCCAATTGGATTAATGTCTTGTTTAATCGATAGTGAATCACCTATTTTTACCCTTATATTTTTAGATTTTAGGGTAGGTATGATTCAGAAAAACGACCCTAGCGTAACGTAACCACCTCACCTTTTTTCGAATGCATAGTAATTTAAAGCAAAATTAATTAATCAGCATGTTATTCCAACATGTTAGTACATTCTACTTAATAAATTTAATCCAATGCTCTAAAATTCGATAAAAATATATTATATTCTCATTCATCTGATTCATTAATACTACTTATTATTGTTGAAGACAAATTTAGCAAATACCGGAGTACTCCTCTCCAATCCAACTAAATCAATCTCCCAACAAATCCTTCCCATTTTCGCATCAATTATCCAGAAATCGCGGTTCCGCCTGCATCAAAAGCGCAACGAACCGTGTAAAATAAAAATTTTTTGTTGGTATTGGCGTTACACGACCGCAGGCTACGCTATGTATGTATATGCACGGGGAGTGCCCCTATTACCCATTAAGGTATTTTATATGCTCGCACTTCGAGACCTCTGATTTCGATGGACATCTGGCACCGTTGTGACGTAACTATCCAGCTGTCTATAACTGGCCGCGATTCTTCCGATATACGCCGCTAAACGATCCCGATTCATTTGAATAGCTGTAATTATCGGCTAATTGTTTGTCTGTCTGAAACGCACTGAAAGAGGTGAGAAAAGTGCATCCTAGAAGTACCTGGGTGGTTTGGTTATCAAAAATATAAACATTGCTGGAGCATAAATGAAGTAGAGTGCTAAGAAGAGTGCGATGGAGTAGAATGGATAAACAAAATGTCTCCTTTGTAAATATTCAAAATATTTCCGGGTGCACTATGCACTAAGGGTGCTCGGAATGAACTAGCGGTAATATTGATAATATTCTTAATGCTACGAGCGATTCGCATTAAAATATTAATTTCAAATAAAACTATTTCGTTGATACATCAAAACTAGAATTGTTGATAGATATACGATATTTTAATGCGAGCACCCCCGGGCTGTGCTATACAATTACATAAACAAATTCCTCCGAATATCTATCCGCGAATTTGCTGTTAGTAGGTACAGTTCGGCAGATGCAAAATGCGATTCTTCGTAGCGGATTCCGAATAAAAATTCGAGAGAATTTTTGTGTGTGTAAAATTGTGGTTATTTTTGGATATTTTTTCCGTAGTTAGGCAATTGAAAACCGTTACTAAAGAGCGTTTTATTTTTCGTCTGCGATATTAGAGCACCCCTCGACAGATTTCACACAAATAATAACGGATAATAGAATGTACTTCACCCTGAGTAACGCAGTTCCGTGCGTGTGTAACCGTAAAGTACGAAGCAGGAAAAACGAGTGAATCATCAGACGTATATACTACGTTTCACCCTCATTCCTGCGAACCGTTCGGTATATGTTTATCGACGAAATTTCAACACGGGAGCCTTTACTGCCCTTATTCAACCTATTGTCGCGTGACCGTCCGATAGGTGCATCGCGAAAATTTACCCGCCGTCGTCTCGACGTTGACCGGAATTTTCTCTTAGTATATTCGTACACCCGAAGAAAGTTTCTATTGTTTGGTACCCTTGTAAAGTTTTTCTAACTCTATTATACAACCACCGATACCTATAATTGATACAATGTGTAATTTACCCTCATAGAGGGTTGCACATTAGTATGGAAAAGCTCAATTTACTGTGGATGATATCAAAAAAACTTCTTCTAAAAAGTTGTATACTTTTATGCAACATATTTTAAAAATTATTAAATTTAAGCAGAATGTCCCATTTTACAGTGGTAGACCAAACTTATATTTTTTTTAAAGAGTACACTTGGTACTAAGTTTACCATTCGTAGAACTAGAAACTGTGGTAGGTAAATAGAATGAATTGAAAATAATTTTGAGTTTCACTACATTGCAAATATCGTGAAAATGTACAAAATGAATATTTTTCGTAAATTTGAATCATACTCATAAGTAAATTTAATACTTAATAGTTCTCGAGATATTTCTTTATTAGACTCATTATAACGTTTCTTCAACGACACCCTGAACATCATATTCCAGTTTTGTATACGACAAACTTATTTTTTCAACAAGAAGGACTTTCCTTCGTAAAATTAAAAAGAACAATTTTTTGGGACTCACTGTATATTTCTATTACGTATATTGTTAATTGGTAAAAGGATTAGGGGTTACACAGCTAGTAGTAAGGGGTTAAGGGTATTTAACGCATGTATCGGGGTAAGATACATTAGGGCATATCGAGTAAATTAAATTTGTTCAAACATCGTATATAAAATAAAATCTTGTACTTCATTAAAAATTCGGTTTATTTTCTTCGGCGAATTTTAATTACCCCAAGGGAAACGCTGAAACTTACCTTCGCAACGACTTTTATTACCGTTAACGGGGCATTATTAAAATTCTCGAGTAGTTGCGCTCAATTCATTTTTATTAAGTATCCGCCTCTTAATTTACAATAAACTGGCAGGCGGTGCGTTTCCAGTTATTAAATCTCCGCGAAATTGCGATTTTTCTTCGCTATAAAGTAGTTGGAAAAATTCTCCATCGGCGTCAAAACTAGCGAACAAAAATGTGGAAAATTATTTTGCGAACGGAATCAAATTGAAATGAGAGTGTAATGTAGAATTTTACAATCGCCACAGGTACGCAGCACAGGAGATAATTAGTTCGCCCTTTGAGCAATTTGCTGCATATTCGCATGCTCTAATAAGCGGGAATTTCATTTTCATATTAATGTTGATAAGGCATCTTATAAATATTCGAACAAATTTCCCTTTGATCAACTAACCGAAAATTTTTGATGACACCAAATATTTTTGATATTGCATCGAATATTTCGTTTAATTTTCCGTTTTATTATTCACGTATCTATTTTGGGAAAACAATTTTCCCAAAATATTCTATTATTATTACAACAGTTATCTTCACCTGCACTTTATACTCGTATTATACAGGGAGTTTCATTGGGAACGGACAATATTTTAACCCTATACGTAATAGAGGGGACCCAGGGGATCACCAAAAACCAGGGTGTTTTTGAATGTGTATTTCATTCATGGCTTATAACTTTTGAATCAGAATATTTCATAAAAACTAGAAATAATGCTACATTTAATGAACTCATTCTAAACCTTAGTCTTTGGTGTATTATTAATCATTAGTAGGCATCTACAGCTTTTTTAACGATATTTTAGACAAATTTTGTGGCTTATGTCCGGTATAAGTGTGCGTCTGGTATTTCCAAATAAATTTAATTTCTCTTAGGGATAAGGATATGACGCTAATCCCGCGTTTACGGACGACTCCTGCATCCTCCTGTCGACTTGCAGGTTGCCAATTAATGAAAATCCTTTCCCCACGGGGGATTGCGTCGACGACAGAACGATTCGATGAAAACCCACCTTGACTGACGAGATCTATTATACGAATTCGGTGCAATTTTCGGACAATTCCTAAAAGTTTCTTGCTGTTCTCATTTAATCACAAAATATTCTTCAGGTTACTCTTTATTGATTAAAAAATACTATAAATTTAAGAGTAAAAAAAGTAGTCTAGCGTTGAAATCATTTTTGTTGGTTTTGAAACGCAGTTGGCGACATGTAGGGTGTTTTCCGTCCGAGCGCCGAACACTTTTCGAAGATTTAATGAACTCTAGGAAAACTAAAATTCCCATCGGAGACGACAGTAAAAGAAATAATCCGATAAGGCTCTGATCTCCCGACAAAGCCACCAAAGAAATACTGAAAATCCCTTTTGTACCTTCAGCGTTATAGAAAGTTTTAGATTATTTTGGATCAGCGCATATAAAAGAGTAAAAGCTCGTCGGACTTACGTGAAGCAAATTTCGCTGAAAAGAAAATGACAAAATTTTCTTTCGTTCGCAAGGGATCACGTTCATTTCAATAGAATTAGGGTTTGATCGGGTGGGTAAATTCTCGCAACGGAAATTTGAATCCCGAATCTAACGTAAACTTGTAGAATTTTACAGCAAAAAATTCATTATCAACGACACGTATGACCTAATAGGTTCCCCGTCATAACAACCCAGGAAAAAACACCCCCTATAAAATTGGCCAAAGATACACCCTGGTTCCAAAATAATTGACAGTGACTCATTTTGCAATTTATTTGCAGTTATTTTGAAACCAGGGTATAGTACAAATTTTATACAAAAATTAAATGACTCGAGCCTAAATTTGCCTCGAGCTTTTTTCTCTTGAATTGTGTTGTCTTTGGGCTATTTTGTTTCGAGATATTTTAACGAGTCAAAAGTCTAGTATTATTTAGTATCACATAATAACCTTTCTATTAGGATTTTTTCAGAGTGGAAATTTTAGTTCAATTTCCATAAACGAAGCAACGTTCAAGACAATTATAATTTAATTGTTCGCTACATTTGGGATATAATTCGTCGACTGGACGTACAAAAAGGGAAATCAATGAAAATGCGGCGATGTATGTGGAGCAACAATCAGTTGGTCGACAACCGGAGATTGTCTTTTGTTTGCTCGGCGGTTACCGCACGCCACGTTTTGATAGCACACATGCCTTTCATGTTTGTTTTATACATCTGCTTTGATTTCCTCGAAACAAAAGGAAATATATACCCAGAAGTTTCGATTAAAAGGTGCCCATCGGTCGTTTACTGAGCGATAGAAAAACTTAATTGACACGGCTAGAGGGCCATTCCACGTTTAAAGTAGTTATAGGGTGCAATAACAATACATAATCTTGTCATATCATTCTCTAATTGGTTATTATCAAAAAGTAGAGCTCGCCCTCTACACTTGCATTTCCATTATCTCTTCCTTTTAATTCGTCATTAACTCGTTATAATTGACTATCAAGATGAAACAACAAGAAAATGATGACAAATTGATGGTCCTCGAATTGATTTTCGCAACGTTTTCTCCGGTATTATCTGCGAGTATGCGAGCGTGTGTGTGCGTCTTTTGAAAATCATTTCTCCCTATTTGTCCGCAATTTTCAATGAAGCAACCACCCGTCGACATCAAAGAAAACCACGAGTGCTTCAAAAATACGAGTCGTAACGAAGCGGTCAGTCCGAGAAGGTAAATAAATGACAGCGGGATATCGCCGGGCTTTTCCAGTTCGTTTTAGTTTATCAAACACAGTTTGGAGGATATTTCTTTTTTCCCAAAAAAATTATTCGACTACGAAACTAAAGCAATTACTGCGGAAAATTGATTATACTCCTTTCGCTATCATGAGATAATAAAACCTAATTGTGTATGTAAAAGTCAGCACGATAGGCTCAATGAAAAAATCATAAAATTCTAAATATCTAAGGCTTTTTACAGAGTGTTCAACAATTGGGAATTTTTTTATAGTTGCAGATAAAATGACACAAGCACAGTGTAAAGTCGCGAATTAGGTACTTATTAAATTATAAAGAAAACTACCCTAACCGAGGAAAACGCTTAAGATGATTAATGATTTAGAACTATCTGGAACAATTTAGAATTGTCCGAAATCATTTAGATTGCTCCAGTAAGAATCAGAATTATCGAGTACAATTTGGTTCTGTCTAGAAGGATCTACATTATCTAGAATGATTTAGAACTGTCCAGAATGATTTAGAATTGTCTAGAATTATTTAGAACCGTCCAGAATCATTTAGAGGTGCCCAGAATCATTGATTTAATTTACTTTAGGACCAATCAGAATTGTCGAGAACCATTTAGTTCTGTCTAGAATGATCTAGAATTATTTAGAACTGTTCACAATGAATCAGAATTGTCGAGAACCATTTAGAACTCCGCAGGTTCGAGTTTTGGAATTGCCTATTAGAACCATATAAAGAATAATTTAGTATGAATAACGCTTTACATTACAGTAAAACTCTAAAGTGCAGCACATCTTCATTTTCAAATTTACTAATGTGTTTTATCCATCGTTAAACACATTCCCAATTAATAAAGCATCAACACAAAATTAAATAGATCGGTCACAAACATATGAAACCAAACGTTTAAACATTAATAAAGTCGTGCTATCGGTGATTGACTATTGAAATATTGAGCTCGGTTTGGTGACATTTCCAAATAGATTGGTCCAATCATAAATTCAGAACGGAAATGTCATATATCAGTGTTTTATGATATATTGCAATAATTAATTCAATAGATGAATTTTATATTTAATAATAAATTAATTGAAATAATTAAGTAGTTCGAAAACATTTATTGTATAAAATAATTTAACTATAATAAAACTATTAGAACGTCTCATGATACTTAAAATAGTTTGCCTTTGATTTTTCTATCTGTGTTTTGCTTTCTTTTAATTGCGGGGCTGAAGTTATCCGTTAAACGCAGTTTTTTTATGATTTTCGGCGTTCCGCTGTCACTTTTGCGTTTAAGATTCTGGAAATTATAATTTATATTATACAGATTCGTTCATTTTAGTTTACAATATAGGCTACGGGTTCAACAAAGACAACTTCCATTAGAAACTTTATAAAGGAAAAAGAAAGGGTGATATTGTTAAATTGCAACTTTCTCTCTTTAAGAGCGGTTTCACACAGTGCAATATATTTTAATAATCTTTCTTTGTTCAACTCATAGAAATGGTCATACTGCAAACTTTTATGCGCTTGGGTGTATAATTATTACTTACTAAAATCCAGAAAACACTTACTAAGAATGATTTTGGTGATTCCTCTCGAGCGACGGTTTGAAACAGAAAATTCTTACTAGTCTTTTTTCCAGCCTTCACCGTACCATCCGAGTCTTCATTGGTTAATTTATTGAATTCAGCTAATTTCTTCAACATCGTCTCGCCTCTGCTCAAAAACGAACCCCTTTTGTGCTACCAAACAATAAATTAAAAATGAAATACTAATAAAATGCCACTAAAAAGTGCTTACCAAAAGTCCAAACGCCTTTTTTACGGCAGGACTAGAACTCGCATCGGTCTTATTCTCGCCGGCGGTGCTGCTTTGCGAAATACTCGAACTGCTCGTTATCACTCTGTAACCCAGTTTCAATATCTCGCCGCCGTCGAACATCTCGATATCCTCCTGCTGGGATTTCTTCTCCTTCAAAAACATCTCCCTTTCGTGTCTTCTCCTGCGCCACTGCTCTTCGCTGTCGTCTTCCTCGACCGGCGCCTCGTCGTCGCTGTTCCTCGTTTCGTCCTCGGCAGGAAAATTCGAATCCACGTTCTTCCAACGGAACTGCCGCTCTCGACCCGACCCGTGCAATTCCCCGTCGTCTAATAGCAACTCTTGCAGAAGTTTCACCTTAAGAAATAATGAACGTTTAATGTTAATTACACTGAAATTCATCTCATATAGAGGGTATGTATGAAGAGCTCAAACTATCTGTATATTGGAAACTTTACACGATTTAAATAAAACTTGGTGCAACTTATGCAATAAGGTGCATCTTCTGCAACTTCCATTAGTCTCATATGAAGGAAAAAGATACTGTGGGATTGCAACAATCTCACTCTACCTGTTGTTTCAATAATCTCTCTTTATTCAACTTATAGATTTGACCATATTGTAAACATGTATCAAGTAGAGCTCGCTCAGCGAGCGAGACCCTTTTCGAGTAGGCCGTCGGGCCTTTGATTATGCGGTTATTTAAAGATAAAAATATTGTACCTCTCTGGTGTCGTCGTCTAAAATTCTCCTCATGTGAATTTTCTCCAAATCCATTCTCAATTTTTTATTATCGAATTGATCCTTGTCGCCCTGTTCGAATTCGAGAACGTCCAAGTCCTTTTCGTCCTCGTCATCGCTGCCCCATTCGGATTCGGAGAGCTCCGCCTCGTCTTCGAAGAAATCCTTGGCCTTGAGAGGCTTCTTTTCTGGAATAAAAATTGTAAAATTTTCCTTTTTTTTCATAAAGCTACCATCCCACCTGTTTCTTCCGCATAATCTACTTCGTTCTCTTCGGAATCGTAATTTATTTCGGCAGGTAAAGGTTGCGCATCGTCCATTTCTTCATCAGACAAATCCCTTTCTTCATCGTCACCGACAGAGCTTTCGTCATCTAAATAAAATGATGTTAAATTTAGTTTAACTAAATTAATACAAAAATTATACCTGAAAAAGTGAGTTTCTTCTGGTTTATTTTCTTTTTTCTAACTTCAAGTATCCCTTCTTCATCATCGTCCGATTCGATTATTCCTCCACCTCCCATAGCTTCTTCGTGAGACCTCTGTGTATATTCCAGAACCGGAGAATCGAATTTCTTCTTGAAGGTCTCCAATTCTTCTTCATTTAGTAGCTGCGAAATGATCATGTCCTGGTCTTTGTCGAGCGATTTCACTTCTTCGACTGCGTTTAATGCAACTTTAACCGAGGGATTAATGCAATTAGAGTTTGCTGTAGGCAGCTAGAAAAATAGTGTTATTAAATTTGTTAAGGGAGTGTAAATATTTGTTTACCGAGGATATTCCATCGTTTTGGGATTCCTCGAAAGTGCCGGAACAAATGTTTAAAATTTCCTGAGTATTAGTCGGTGCAATTTGGATGCCGCCAGTTAAATCTGTGAGTTTTGCGCTCGATTCGATGGTTTCGTTAGAAAGATCTTGAGACACTGGAAAATCATCTGAACAAAGTTCCTTCATCGCTTCAGCCTGCAAATATTAGAGTTATTATTTGAGTAAAAATTATTAAATAATTCGCACCTGGGAGTTTGTGATAATCGAATCAGTGTGCAGTTTCTTCTGGAGTTCCGCATGCCAATCGCTTTCTCTTAAAGGTGAGGGTACGTTCGCCTAAAAAATTCGAAATGGCGATTATTTCTCTATAAACTAAAATGGTTCGGCTAACCTTTGAAGCAGAGTTTGATAAATTTTGAAGGCCGGTTATGTAGGAAACTGGAGTTAAAAATATCGGATCAGTACAGTCTGATTTATTCGGAGTTTTGTTCATAGTTTGCTGTTGGTACGGGGTAATATAGTCGTCTTCTAAAAGCAGAATGTTAATAAATAAATTTAAAACAAAATGTTTTTCTTACGTGTAGAATTAGTATCGGTCTCATTGCTTTTGTTTAATTTTTCAGCAATTTTTCCGATGGTTTCTCCCGGTAAAATGGCGTTTTCTTCATCATCCGAGTCTTCAGTGAAGGCTTTGATTATTCTTCTCAAAGGTTTTTTGAATGGTAATGCGTCCAGACTTTGTTCTTCGTTGTTTTCATCAATATTTGATTCTTGTTCATCGTTATCCTCGTCCACTTCATTATCGTCATCTTCATTACTACCAGTATCGCCTTCGCCCTCTTCTTCATTATCATCATTCCCCAAATTCTCTTCATTATCCTCGATATCGGATTCATCGGCTTCATCGTTCAGAAACTCCGATTTTTTTCTAGGTTTACCATCAATTAAATCTTCCTCGATTTCCTCTTCATCACTGGATTCGCTCATTTCATCCTCCTCTTCGTCGTCAAGAATATTATCATCAGCTCCACATTCCGATTTCTCCCCATCATACGGATCGATTTCCGTTTGAACCTCGTCTTTTGCAGCGGCTCTTTGCCGCCATATCTCGGACTTCCTTTGCGCTATTTGACTCTGCAATTCGTTCCTCAGTCTCTGCAATCGGACGCCCGGCTTTTCTTCGATTGCGATTTCTTCCGCGTCCGCGCTCACAGAAACGGTCTCGTTGTGGATTTCGCCGCCTTGCTCGACGCTGACCACGTTCAGTTTCACCTTATCCTTGTGGTGCGCCTTCTTGGCGGTGTGAAGGGCGAATCTCTCCATGAGCTTGGTGACTTCGTTAGGTTCAATTACAGTGTCTAAATCGATGAGGTGGTTCGGGCTGCCGCTTAATCTCGGCCGGTCGTTGAGGAACCTTTCTTTGATTATTTCTAGTTTGGATTTCGTGGTTTTGGGGACGATTGGTTTGTCGCTGATTGAATTTTCGATCTCTTGATGTATTTCCATAAACTCAGGGTCTAGTAGTTTGCCTGCAGTGTTTTGATTATCGTTTGTTACTCCCATGGTATCATCTTCGATGTCGTCTAAATTAAATTCATAATCTTCTGATAAGTTGTTGATATTATTGGATGTATCCGAGTTATTAAGAGTTGCATTGTTTTCGTTGGTATTATTGCTTTGTGTTTTATCAAAATCAGCTACATTTGGTTCATTTTCAGGGGGTTTTATGAGGAAATCTGATATTATTTTAACTTTATCATTAGATTGTTTATTTATTACGATATCTTCAGCAGGAATATTTGTTAATGAAGTATTCTCGTTTGTTCTTATTTCTTGTTCTGAATTATTACTTTGAACATTTTCTGTTGTCGATTCTTTAGATTCAATCTGTTCATTATCGATATCCATTAGGGAGCTACATTTGTCATCAATATTATTCAAATCATTTACCCCTTCTTCGGCAGCTTTATATTTTTCTATTAAGTCTTCACAATCACTATTTTTGTCCAAATTATTTGATATATCATTAGTGTTATCATCAGCCTTTTTGATATCTGCTTCACTAGTTGTGTCACCTGGTGGTATGTAATCTTCATCATCATTCTCATCTTCATGTTCACTATCTGACTTGTAAAATTCTTGAACTTCTTTATGCCTTTCTTCCAGCTTTTTTCTTTGGTTGAAATAAAAATAAAAAGATAATAAATACAACACTCAATTAGATTAATTCAAAGCTTTCATATACATACGTAATGACTTCTAATTGTTCAGTAGCCATTTTCATAGCTATCGAAGGGGGAGTTTTCGTTGCTAATGGAACTGCAGAGGCAAATTTAGGTCGCCTGGCTAGGAACTCCTTTAAAGTGTAAGATTTGGGCCGATGGTATGGAAGTGAAATGTTCGATTCTCGAACTAGCCTCTGGGTTTCCGAACGAATTTCTTCTCTTTGCTTCACGGCTTCTCTAGCAGTCATCTTAAATAAAACATATTGTGATATTGTATTGAATTTAAGAAAAAAATGTCTGATACCTCATGGGGTTCATCATTATTTTTGACACTCCTTTTTCGTTTGTATTTGATAGACTTTTTAATCTCATTGCCAGAATTATAGCCTTTCTCACTACCACTGTTATTTTCCTCGGAGTCTCTTTTACTAGTCTTAACATTGGTCTCATCATCTGAACTCTCGCTAAGATTATACCGATCACGCTGCAATTACAGTTACTCATAATTTACTGCATATATAAAATTTAAATTATTGATTGAATTACCTTGATACTTTCATTTTCAGGTGACAAGGGCCGTTCCGAAGTGGTTTCAGTAAAACTCTTGTTGTGGATTGTAATTAAATTTTCTAAATCGGAATCACTGTCGTCAAAATTTAAATTCCATTTAGCGAGTTCCGGATTTTCATTACTCGTTTTTATTAAATTGGCTTTACTTGAATCAGCTTGAGTGCTAGAAGGACCTTTACTTTCAGTAATTATGGAAGGTTCATCTTCAGAATCACTGTCAATTAAGGTAATTCGTTTCCGAGACTTTCTGATACCGGCTTCTTGATGATTCACGTCGTTTTGTTCGAATTCATTTTCACTAGCACCTGAATATAGAAATTAGTATCGAAATTTACAGTATGTTAAATAATGTAATAGATATTAGATTTCTGATGTTATATATGAATTTTAATTACCTGCTATGTTATTAACTAAACTTTCATTTTCTAATTCGTCGTCAGAATCGCTTAGTGATAAAATTCTTTTTCTATTTCCACGTTTCTTTTCTTTTATCTTAGTTAATTCTTCTTCATTAGTATCATCGAGAAGCTTATTTGCATTTTCGTTGTTAGTAACATCTGTTAATAATTTATTACTTGCGTTGTTCAAATCATCCACATTTTTAGAATCTTTTATTTTTTCAATAATACTAGAATCTACAGAACAATCGTTGTTATCGTCATCATTAACTGTGGAATTATTTTCCATATTTTGTTGAGCAAATTTAGAATCGTCACTATTGTCCATAGTTTTAAGCAATTGATCTACAAAACCATTTCATTCTAAATGAATTTATAGTTTATCATAAGTTTCTTTAGAACAAATTTATAAATTTAAAAGAACACTAATCTACAATCCACTACACTTAACATAAATATAACCTAAAAGTTCAAAACTTTCCCGCTCCCGCCATAGAGAATATAGAGTGGAAAAAGCGTGTATTCGTAAATGGCACAAATTGAACTTTGCGCATACTGTCACTTGTCATTTAAGGTAGATATCAGTGTTGCCAGAAGTAGCGGAATTTAAACACAGCGTTGCCAGAAGTAACGGAAATCCACTACTTTTAGGCGATCTTGTGTAGGCCTTATATAGTTAAAATCTTATATACTAATAGTATATATGATCTAAGGTTAAAATAAACGACTAAATAAATAAACGATACGAAATAAAATAAATGTTAACAAAATGAAGGAAATTTTCTATTACTACAAGTATCAAAAATTTTAAATCATAATAAAAATATACCATATGACCGAATTATTCCGCTGCAAGCATTAGAATTAGAATCTCAATCAATTCTATAAGATAGTAAGGAACAGGAACTTGTTTATCGGTTATTTGCTTCGCTTTGTGCGAATACCGGGCATTTGCTCTCTTTATTCCTTACATAACAAAAGTTCAATTAGCTATCTCATTATTCTCATTGACTTTTCTACCTTAAATGACATGACAATGTCAAAATTGTCAAATCTGTCAAATTCAATTTGTTCCATTATTTTCACGCGCATCCGTATGCTCTTGCCACTCTATATTTCTCTATGGCTCCCGCTAACAAATTTTTTGACGTTGACAGTTCGTCTTTTTATGTTGTTGAGTAACTGAATAGTCATTACATGAGAGGCCAAACTTGTTAAAATATCTTGGTATCCTTCTTTGACCTATTGCTTGGTGTTTTACATCTTTATCTATTGATCAATATAAATAAGTGATTTAAATGTGGCGAAATGTCATAAAAATTTCATAACAATACCAAACTCCAAAAGTTCAAGTGGTCTATTTATTTATTTATATACCGATTTCTGATTGTTGGGAATTAATTTTGTATAAAAATGAGACTTTTTACTCACTGCTGATAGCTGGTGATTGTAGTGTGTAAATTTGTACGAAGGAAACATGAGTATTGTGCGAGAATACGATAATTTTTTGGAATTGAGGAAACAAGAAACCTCGAATTTTCTCTGGATATCAAAGAAATGGAATCCTCAAATTGCATTTAAACAGGGAAGCACCAGACCCTCTCCCCAATATCACAAAGATGCAGTTTTAAATAGTCCAAAAATTCAAGATTTATTAGAACAAGTAAGTACATATAATTTTAAGGTTAGATTCTATTTCAAATTATACTATTAATAATAATAATAATAAATGATTGTAATGATTATTATAATATTAGCAATTATATTAATTACAGTTGTAGTTTGTTGTTACAGTGATTGAAGTATATTTGAAGCTAATTTAACATTAGTTCGAAAACACGAACATGTTACAAACATTTATTTTATAATTATCTCTATTAAACAAAAACTGTGATTTTTAGCTCTAGTTATTTCTCAATATCTAAATTATTCGATTTCTCAATATTTATTTTATTTTTTCATAGTTAAAATGTATTAATTTAATTACTTTCATTTGAACGTAATACATTGCCCTTTTGATAAGATTGTAACTTTTATGATTACCTACTTCAGTTTTAAGGACCTGTATTAGTATTTAAACGACCTTTGAGTATAAAGTATATTGTTCCAAATAAAGATAAAAATATAAAAACTAATTGAGATTACCTAAAACAATATTTTTTCGATCCATTGTGAAGTATTGATTATTTAATTTATGGCATTCAATAATTCAAATTCACGGTCCACTTACTTTGTTTTGTTATAAAACTAATTTTTTAGTATTAAAGTCAATTAATAGACTCTTTTAAAAATTATTTTTTTGCGTTGTAATTTATTTTTCATAATTTCCTTTATTGAATTATGAATTCTATTGTTAGCTCTCCTTTTTTACTACCCAAATAAATATTAGATTTTACAGAGGTATAAATCAAAATCTTTGAAATTTTTATTGACTATTTTATTGACCATATTTTTTTTAATTTCAGATAAGTTTAAAAACAAACGTTCCAAAAGTCGAGTTGGAACATCAAGTAAAGGATATTTTAGATGAAATAGGCTACGAAAAAAAATTAAAGGTCATCCGATGGCTGGGCTTAATATTAACTAAAATTTGTCTAACCGTTTTGTCTGGAATTTATGTTAATGTGGAACAAGTCGAACAGGTACATGCTCTATTTAATGCAGACATGAATATTTATTTACTTATTATTACTTAATTCTATCCAGATTAAAAATCAAATGGGAAACTGTCCAGTTATTTTCGTACCTACACACAGAAGTTATGGTGATTTCATAATGATGTCATATTTATCGTTTCAATATGACATTGAAATACCAGCTATCGCTGCAGGCATGGGTATGCATAATTGGCTAGATAAGGCTACACTAGTTTTTTTTTTAATATACTACTTTTTTTATTAATGTACAGGGTATTTGAAAATATGTGAATGTTCTTTAATTGTATTCATTACAGTTTTTAATTGGTATCATTTTTCTTAATCGCAGATTTTTTTGGAATGTGGGGTATGGGAACATTGCTTCGAGATACGGGAGCTTTTTTCATGAGAAGATCGTACAATGACGATAGTTTATATTGGACCACATTTAAACAGTATATTTATCAGTTGGTCAGTAAAGGCGATTTGCCTATAGAATTCTTTATTGAAGGTACTAGAAGCAGAAGCAATAAATCACTTACCCCTAAATATGGTAATATTATTTTATATTTTTAGACTTTATGAGGTAATTATTTCATATTACAGGTTTACTCACCATGGTACTTAAACCTTTCTTCTTTTCCCAAGTACCTGACATACAATTTGTACCGATAGGTTTCAGTTACGATAGAATCCTAGAAGAAAGCCTGTTTGCCTTTGAATTACTTGGAGTACCGAAGCCCAAAGAAACTACTTCAGTAGGTCATTTATTTTATGCTAATTTACCCAGAATTTTCTACTGATTATATTTTAGGGTTTCTTCAAGTCGATGAAGATTTTAAAAGAAAACTTCGGCAACATTTACATTCACATGGACAAGCCGATATCAGCGAAGGAATTTTTCGGCAGTAAACTCGACAGGAGCGTTCACAATTTAACGCCTTTGCACAAACAGGAAGTCACGGAAGATGAGAAAACGCTTCTGCCGCCGTTGGCGTACGAGATATTGAACCGCCAACAGAAGGTTCTCGTTACGACGGTTTTCAATCTAGTTTCCCTCGTACTGAACAATAATCTGGCGTACGAAACTGAATTGTTGTCGATGGAGGAACTAGCATGCGACGTGAAATGGATCCGGGAGATACTGAGATCGCTCGGAGGTTTCACGCACACAACCAACATCGAAAGGAGTATCGATGATTGCTTGAAAACCCACAAGAACCTCGTATACCTAAATAGAAAAGGAAAACTGAAACTGGTTAGAAATCCAATAAGCCAAGGAGAAATTAATCACAAGAAATTAAAGGGGCATTATCTTAGTGATGATACAATGACTTATTCGGTGCCGTTCGTTACGTTGCAAATTTATATTAATCCCATTCTTCACTACTTTATCGATATCGATATTATTTTGGTTATTTTAGATACCAGACCTATGAATGAAGGTAAGAAATTTTCAATATCGGGTTATTTATTAGAAATTCTAATTTTAATATTGCATGATTTCTTATACAATTCTTTTGGTGATTGGATACAATATACAATGTTTAGAATCGATAAAAACTGTTTAAAAAACTATTTTTTGAACCGTTGTATATGATTTGTATACTTTTTAATTGTATTTCATTGTATACTTGTGGAGTTATTGAAAAAAAAATCGATTCAGATAGCACTTTAAACAGACTATTATGTATGACATTTTGGATACAGGTATGATTTTGTTACACCCTGTATATTATGTATCTACTAATATCTTCGATTCTTTTATAAAAGCGAAAGAATTATAATTACTTTTTTAAACGCATGTATTCTAGGTGTAATATTTGGAATTATTCTTTTCTAGATGAACTGTTTGAAAGCTATTGCTTCTTGAGGTGTTTGTTTTCAAGGGAATTTATTACTTTTGCACCCAAGGATAAGACGGTGTGTGTTATATTTAAATGTATTTCATTTCATGCATTTACTATTTATTACTAACTGATACATTGTACACACTACTGCATGTTTCTATTTACGTTACTAATGATTCAATCAAGTTCTGTTATTATATTCTTTTAATTTAATATTTTAGGCATTTAATGCAGCTATGAATGATGCAATATCATTAAACCTGGTTAATTTAAATAATGGAAAATACCAATTAGCAAACAACAAGAAACTTGGAATGCTAATCGTCAATACATTTTATACATTTTATGTGTCATTTTTTGCCACATTGTTGATATTAGAGGTGAGTTTGAACTGAATTATATAGCACACAAAGTTAATTTCTAATAAAAAACTGTCCTATTTGCTTATAAACAATTTTTTTTCTGGACTAATTACATGAAAATAATTATTATTTTAGAGACTTCCAAGTGTAGTTGATGAAAAATCGATTTTGGCAAATGTTCAGAAGCTTTTAGAAGATGCTATTGTGGACAAACATAAGGAGTTTATCCATCCTTATTCGTTAAATTTAGATACTTTGGCAAATTGTTTGAATAGCTTAGTGGATGAGAAAGTTTTACAGAAAACTAGAAGGTATGCGTGTCACTACTTAAATGGTAAAATGTTATTAAAATATGTTTTAGGGACAACGTAAATGCGTACGAGATTAACAAAATAAAATTGAAGGATGTTAAGGACAATTTCGGTAACTATACAAAAATTTATCGAAACCCTCCGATATTAATCTATTTATTTTTAGCGAGATATATGACAAGATGTTCAATCGAAGAAAGATGCCAAATTATTAATAAAATCCACTTACAAAACAAATTGTAATTAAGATAAAACCTTTCAAGACTGGAATTGTTTATATTTTTTATCTGAATTAAATGTGTGTTGTTAAGTTTTACTCACTTTTTTAATGTTATTTTTATTGCTTAATGTTTATTCTGCTAATCGTTTAAATAGTGATGTAAAATATTTGATATTTTATTAGTTATCTAATAAAATAGTTTTTTAGTTTTTTAATTCTGAGGGTCTTATATCATTTTCTACATAAACGTTCATTCCTTTTTTTGGTAATAAATTATTTTAGCTTTTTTATTACTATACATGGTGTTACTCATTGAACAAACGGCAAAAATTCAAGGTTCAAGAGTCTCATTGTACTATTCAAATTGTATTTTAGCCTTTGCTTGTGAAACTGTTCAGTTCAAACTCGTTTGTTTGCTAATGTCACATTAAGTAAAAGGTCTTCTTCTTAATATTTCGAAATTCCAAGAAAAAACAAATTCTATATGTAATAATCTAAATTAATTTTCATTAGTGTATTCTTTCCAGCTAGAGATGTCATGGCATATCAAGATATTGATCCATTAGCATTTGAATCTTATGGTAGTTAGTTGTAAGTAAAACAATTGTATTACAAAATATTATGTATTTTAAATAAATTATATAAACTTAATGGGTATGGTTTTTTACTACAATCCTTTAACAATGGTGCTGCTTTCCATTCATAAGTTATAACACGATGTTGAAATGCCGTGTCATTGGGTAGCCATTTCTTGTTTGTCAGTACGATGACGGGTGTCCTTGAAATGACAGTATCACCTTGATGTTTAACCTTGGCATTGACACTGTCACCACCAAATAACATCTTAAGAGTGTCCATTGCTGCAGGTTCAGCATTTGGTTCATTCCAAAGGTTGATACGTCTATTGCAGGCTTCCATAAGAGGAAACTGTTGATACTTATTGAAATTACCTATTAATCCGAAATTAAAGAAATAATGAATTACACAATCAAAAAAAAAGTTCTTGCCCGAACTAGCTGGAGCTATTACTTGCATACAGTTGACCTTTGGAATTTTCCTTTCTATAATATTATACAAATCGTTAAGAAAAATTGCAATAGCACATTCGTCATTATTAAATTGAAAATATAAAAGCTTATTAAGCACATCTACACTTTCATCTACAGAATAATAATAGTTATCTATGTTCCCCTTTAAACAGTTATATATAGGCTGTGTGTCCTTTACATATTCAAAAATTTCCTCCACCGATTTATCTAAGAAGAAATGTGAAAATACATTAAAAACAGATTTTAAAAGGTAATCGGATGACAGTGTGAATTTCCATTTACTGGACATCCATGGAGAAGATCCAATTATTCCTAATATGGGGCTTGCCGGAAACTGCTTGAGCCAGACCAACAGCTCTTCTTCCTGACTTCTTTTTTGACGTTTTCTGTTTCCGCTACTCTCTTCATCGCCATCCTTTTTGTTTTTTCGACTAGTATTTGTAAAGGATCGACTTCGCTCGTCGTCAGAAAATTCATCCTCACTTGAGCCTGCCTCCACCATTGCGACTTGTCCAAGTTGGCAATATCGCCTGTACGATAAATTTCTAACTTGATGAGGAACCGACCTTCTTCTCCCTCCGACCGAAAGGTAACGTAGTTGTCTTGGTGGTTTACACAAATATTTTGTGAGATTAAAGAAGTACTTGGCACTGAAAAAAGAGAATCGATAAAATTGTCGTCTATCTCTTTTAATTGGGAGGCATTGGATTCTACTGCATCTACATTTTCCTCCCCCATAAGGGCAGTCGTGGACGACATGGGTGTGGTCTCCGTGGAAGCTCCACGCAAAGAATCCTCCATTATATTTCTTTTGAAAACATCGAGAGTACAAGATCTGGTCGCATCGCTCATCGAGGTTTGGCAAAATGTCGTGAATAATTCTTGTTCCTCTAATAGCGCTTTCAATTTCTCGAAGGAAATTTTCGACTTCGGTAGTACTTTGTTGTTCTTCATTGAGTCCAAAAATTGCGTCCATAAGTTCATTAGTAGTTTCAGCTCCCGTTTCACTGGCAACTGGTTCCTCTCCATTGCCACATCTTGAGCCTTTAGTAAAGTAAGAGTTACAACTTTCATAATTCATAATTCAATAATAAACTACCCTTCTTTCAAGAAAAGCTTCTTTTTTCTTATGAACTAATATTTTGACATAACTGTCAAAGTCATTGTCAAAATTGTCAAAACGTAAGGCACGTCAGCAAAATGAATATTTAAAAATGGTTTTATGATGAATACAAGGATATTTAGGATTAATGCCTTATTTGAATTTGTTCAATGAGTAAAACATAAAAAGCCCGAATTGGAATTAATTTCAAATCCTAGAAAATCCAAAAGTATGTTTTTTTATTCCAATTATTATGACACTTCAAATATTTGTATCCACACTGACAGTAAACTTGCGCACATTTTGATATATCGTTAAAAAATAAGAGACTAAAACCAATTTAAATTGTTATTTAGTAAATGTAACGAAAAACGAGTTTAGAACAACTTTACAAGAATTTAATTCTATTTCATTGCAAATTGCTATTTTTCTACCAAGAAGCAATTAAGTAAATGAGAAAATAATAACATATTTCATTTGAACCATGACGTGTCTATATTCAACCTGTTAAAATTTGAATTTTTTAGGATTCCTTTATTATGAACATACAAGAGAGAAAACGGAACAAAACCAAAAACACCGCTTCTTCGCAAATGGAAAATGGTGAATACCTCTTACCCGTACGTACCCCTAAAGGCGATGGAAAAAATATACTTCTGTTATTTTTCTTGTACACGCTACAAGGCATTCCGCTGGGGCTTTCAAGTGCAATTCCAATGATTTTGCAAAACAGAGGCGTCAGCTACAAACAACAAGTAAATCTATCAAACCACTCCGCACCAAATTTATATTAATTTGTGACTGTATAACTTTGTAGGCAGAGTTCAGCTTCGTGAGTTGGCCTTTTAGCTTGAAATTACTGTGGGCGCCTATAGTTGACTCGATATATTCCACACGAATAGGCAGAAGGAAAACATGGCTTATACCCACCCAGTACATGATCGGGGCCTTCATGTTACTGCTATCGAATCACGTCAATCAATGGCTCGGCGACGACGGGAATTCTCCCAACATCGAGATTCTGACTCTCTTATTCTTCTCCTTGAACTTTTTAGCCGCCACTCAGGATATCGCCGTGGACGGCTGGGCATTGACAATGCTCCATAAGGATAACGTCGGACATGCTTCGACGTGTAACAGCGTCGGCCAAACCACCGGATTTTTCCTCAGTTACGTCGTATTTATGGCTTTGGAATCTTCCACATTTTGTAACCAGTATTTAAGAAGCATTCCACAGGACGAAGGTATTTAATTCGATGCAAATTACACCACAAATTTCAATAAAACCACGTTTCAGGTATTATAACGTTATCCGGATTCCTCTACTTTTGGGGCTTGGTATTTTTAGTCACCACGACTATTGTGGGTTTGTTGAAAAAGGAGGTTGAACCGCAAGGTCAGGAGGGTTTCGAACCCGAGAGGGACATCAAAAGTGCATATCTTTCTCTTAAAGATATCCTAAAACTACCACCAATTCAAACTTTGGTGTTAATTTTGCTCACATGCAAAGTAAGCATACACCAATATAAAGTTGCTTAATGTTGTATAACCTCCATTATCTTATTACCTGTTCGAATCCTAATGGTTTAGATAATTGAGGTTCTACTGTATTAGTGTTTGTATTGCATTATTAATGAACAGCTGATTATTTTTAGATAGGTTTTTCGAGCACTGATAGTTTAATGGCGCTAAAATTGGTAGAAGCTGGAATACCTAAAGAAAAATTAGGTCTTATGGCGATACCTTTAATACCCCTTCAAGTAGCTCTACCCTTAGTCATAGCTAAGTATACAACGGGTAAGTAAATAGATATAATACAGGGTGTCGGAACATAAACTATTCTCATCCCATCCATTGTGGAAAAATTTTACTAAATGTAAAGGGAAATTTAGGAATAGGTCTATATTACCCCACACATTATGAATTTGAGGGCGTGTTTTGGCGGCCTTAATGCTCTTAGTACACTCGTAACATATACCAAACTGTAACTCCACTTTGAAGGCTTCTCAGAAATGTAACTTAAGTAAGTTAAGTTGGGTTTAACAACATAATTTGGGCTCACCTACACGCTCCTGCTCTGTGTTTATTCTTATGCTGGACACCCTGTATATACTTTGGAATACAAATAGCAAATATGTACTTTTTGAGATTTAAAATAGTACATTTATTTTGGTTCTTTTTACAATTTTTTTTTATCGAAAAGTAACAATTGTTTGCTTAATTGATCTACCAAAAACAGCGAAATATTAAATGGAAAATTCCGAATTTAACATAACTTTAGTTTTAACTTTCTTCTTCCTCTTCTTGACGTTCATCGGCAAATTTTTAATAGTAGTTTTACAAGCGGAACATTTGAAATATTTGAGTTGGTGCCATACCTCGTATTTGCTTTTACTTTCCACGACCCACGTGAGCCTGCACAAATTGATGATGCTCAGTTCAATCGAAGGGATCAATTTGTACACGATCGACGGCGGAAAACGCGTACCGTCCAAGCGAAAAATCAACTTGAAATGATTAGCCTCGAACATCCTGGCGTGCTTCATATTGGCCAATGCTAGCACTTTTCTGGGGCTCCTTTTCTGCGTTTCTTTCAAGTAATTGGTCACCCTGCGGAACACTCTTCTATCTCTGACGCTTTGTATGAAGGTTTTTATGATACTCGCGGCCTTTTGGTCGCTGAATTTTCTTACTAGAATTCCGGGGACGGGAGTGCACAGCTCGCATATTGAATTTATCGATTTAACTAGGCTTTTGCATTCCGAGTTGATTTCATCCGATACGCAGTTGATCGTCTCGTCGAATGGCTTTAAATACCACTGGTGATCTTCGTGTAATATACTAAAAACGCTAGAAAGACATAATCCTGACATTTGAGAAATTTTAATACCAACCGAATTCCAATATTGATTATTGTTAATCGATGAATAATTTTATAGGTGTCAAACGTTGAATAATTTTATCAAATTGTTATGAAACAAAAGGTTTTTTTCTAGTACATACCCTATGATGCATTGCAGTTTGACCAAAGAAGTTTAGTTGAACAAAGAAAGGTTATTGAAATAACAGTTGTTAGGGTTATAGTACCAATGGCCTGTACCAATAGGGTGTTCAAAAAATAGCCGGAGATATTTTACAGGGAGATTCCTTAAAAAATATTTACTTGATTCTGTTGAAATTTTGCAATGCTATTAAGAGGCTAACTTAACCCTAAATAGATATTTTTTGTTGTATTAAGCATCTAAACATACAACTTTTTTATCTTTTATATTTTTGGACCACTGGACAAAATGGGTTTATCAAATTTTTGATAAAAAAATCACAAGGACTGGACTTAATAATATTAATCTATTTATCAATTTATTTAATCAACAAAATAACATTGTTAAATTTCAGAATCAATTAAATACTTTTTTAATATATATTTTTTTTCAATTTAACATCCTTTACCTTGAAAACTGTGCATTTCTGGACCCATTTTTAACAAGAAATCACCCTCTAAAATATACGTCTATTTTTCGAACACCCTGTATAACCTAGGTACTCGATTTTGCACACTAAAATGAATCAATCTATATAGTTTGATATTGATAAAAATGCACTTGTCTTGCAGGTCCTAAGCCGCTAGATGTATTTTTGAAAGCGATGCCTTATAGGATAGGATTTGGATTCATAGCAGCATTCTTAGTGTGGATTACACCAGTATTAGTACCAGAAGCCTCTGATGGTTTACCCTTTTTGTACATAGTTTTTTTAATTAGCTGTTACGCACTTCACCAAGTAAGTTTATTATAAATCTTAATTAAAAAATCTCATGTATTTACTTTTTGTTCAGGTGTGCGTGTATTGCATGTTTGTAGCACAAATGGCCTTTTACGCCAAAGTAAGTGACTCTTCGGTAGGCGGTACTTACATGACCCTGTTGAACACTGTAAGCAATTTAGGGGGTAATTGGCCCGCCATGTTGGCCTTGTACTTCGTGGATCCTCTTACTTGGAAACGATGCGACGGTGGCCCGGAGAGCCTCGACAACGCGTGCAGGAATACTATCGAAAAAGATGTAAGAACTGGGAGAATATTGATTAAATGAAATATTTTATTATTTTGTTTTCAGCTTTGCATTTCTAAGGGTGGCCAGTGTACGACCGTACTGGATGGTTTCTACATAGAAACGGTGATATGTATAGTAGTGGGTTATTTGTGGTACTTGTGGGGTGCGAAGAAGCTTCGGAATATTCAAGGTTTGAGTGAAAACTCGTGGAAATTGAAAGTTAACAAAAAATCAGGGAAAAATTAAATCGATTTATAGATAAATTGTATATATTTTTTAATTTAAATAAATAATTTATCAAATTCATAATTACTTTTACCGATAATTTTCAACATTTTATAAGCTAACAAAGCTGTTCGACACCGTTTTAATCAATCACCGGGCATTAAGAATTTATTCTCGCCTGCCAGTCGAGCATATTAATAACCCCCTAGCTTATTGGTAATTACTTTTTACGCGTACTCGCAAATAACGAGTAACCATTAGAGATTTTATTTGATCTCGTCTCACGTTCATACCTACAGTCAATTTTATAGGAGTACCACAATAAACGATTTAATGCCTTACCAGTAATCAATAAATAAAAATGGTAGGTATTATAGCTCAGACTCTGAATCGAAATTTAATATACCTGCTTGTTATAAAAAGTAGAGGGTATAATGAAAAAAATTGTTATTTCGTTTGAATAAAAATTAAATTTGAATCTAAATTGTATTTTTCTTAAAAATATTCCCAAGAATCGTAGAGAAAGATTGAGTGCTCGTATAGCACAGTTTTGTCCGAATATTCATGTCTCGATTTATTGGCGGTGCAACATTAGAAGAGAACAAAAATGAATCAATTTCTAATACGAACACAGGAGCTGAAATGGGCCGTTAAAAAGTCACGTTCAGTTCGTCCTGGAACGCCGTCGTCCTCACAGGTCCTGCCAACTGACAGGACAAGCGCGCAACCGACGTAATTGCGAATTGTTTGCAACACATAAGTAAGAGAAAAATTTTATTACAATTTCAATGTTAGATTAAGGCATTCGTCTTAAGATTGCGATTCCTTGTTTAATGCGAATTAGAAAATATTTAGTTATTCTTGCACTTTGCTTTCATTTTTGGTATAGTTGCTAAAACTTTTTTCAGTGTGTTAAATAAATCATTCATAAACCACCTGTAACAATCTCTTCATTATCCAGATTTCACCTATCGAATCTGCTCCTGCCATAAGAACATTAGTCTTCCTGCTGAAAGGATTTTTAGGGTGGAGGATGATGTAGCGACAATGGCAAATCGTATATTCGTATGGTTGTAGGATTCCGTTAAAAGGTAATTAAAAAATATTAATGTTTATGTGTACACAGAAAAAATAGTGGAGTGCAGAAAAGTACTCTAAGTAGTAAAATGTGTATGCCTAGCTCTCTACTTGCATATTTTACAATACACAGGACAAATGTTACACCATTTAATTTTTTATTTAACTGGTGCATTATATTGTTTTATATTCAGTTCTGTTCTTTAGAATTCTTTAGAATTCTTTTATTTAAATAAGATTAACTAAAAATCAGTGCGTTATAATCAGTGTTCATTTCTTGCAGACACTGATGGTTGCTTTAAAATCAATCAGACAAGACAACCTCTATTGTTAAATGAAATGGTTATTGAAACTTTTATTTGACAGGTTTATAAACACATATCATTCATTAATAAATTTGCTAAAGTTGTGGAACTTAAATTATATATTTAATTAATTATATAAATTTAGATTTTTTCGCTTCCTATTTTCCCTATTCCAGCGGCACTTCCCCCTTTTCCCTATTTTGATACTTGGAAGTCTTTGTAAAATTTATACCTGAATTTTCATTCAATTTTTTAACTTTTTCACACTGTAGATTAGTTTTAAGATTAGTGCATTTGTCTATAAAGCACCAGATCAATTCATAAAACTTTTATCAATGAAAACAAAAATACGAACGGATATATCAAATTAAAGGTATTAATATCAAAACGATAGATAGTGTACCACTTTTTGACTATTCTCGAAATAAAACTCATCATATTTTTATTTATATCGTAGTATTTTAAACGAGTATTTTTACACAAACACAGACAAATATTTATTTAGTGGTTACTGCAAAAATTTCATTAAACAAGTAAAAAGTTCGCATTCGGTTCTTGTTGTTCATGTTCACGTTTCTGCGGGCTAATAGAATTTGTCCTGCACAAATAACCGTATGACTGAATTTATTACACGTGTTTATACTTATCTAAATGTCTAAATGATACAGGCCCCTTTCCTCCTACTATATTTACGGAACGTTTATTAGTATTTATTATGGTGAGCTGCGGATTTTTTTAACCATAAACGTTGCGCATAGACGTTTTCGTAATGAATAAATAAGTGATATCGGTGCGCGAGGAACATGAAAAACGACCATGCAAAATTATAAGATTTTAGTTTTCGAGCGGATGGGAATGATTCCAGGTAAATAAACCATTGCCTGATCTCGTTAAATGCTTGTCTTACTATAGTGAGACTTTTCACAACAGTTCAAATTTAAGTCTTCAAATTGACCAAATTCTTCTATGGGTTCCTAGAAATATCAGGTTCTATACCTTGTATCTATCACAGTAATTATTGAAATAAATAAAGAGGAAGAAATTAAAAAGTAATTATGTAAATTAGTTACAACTAAATTAAACGTGAAATATTCATGGAACCTTTCGACGATGAACGCTTCAGCGTTTTTGAGCGCGTTAATATAAATTGAACAAAATATCGTCTAATTACTCGGGAAATTCGATGCGAGGATTTTTCCGACGAATATGTAGGTGATGGCTAACTAGTGAGGCGTGATATTTCAGATAAACGAATAGCACCGCTCGTTTTATTCAGTGTCAATTTAATCAACGGCGAGTTATTTTAATCAAAAAGTTACGCATTTTCCGCTTTATCCGCACCTCGTTGTATTTTATTCTTGTAATTGGACGTTTCTGTTCAATTTAGAAAGTTTCGCTGCCTAACAGTGGCGGTTAGGGGAAATTTCCTCGTTTGATTTTGCTTTGCAATAAAATCGATAACACATAAAGAGGCAACTTTTGATGATAGTTAACTCTCAGGATTATAAAGTTCTAATTGAGAATTATATTTGCCGATTCAAATCGTTGCCTATTCGAACTAAAATTATTCCCTGCACACTAGGGATTTAATTTCTAACTACAGGAATACTATACAGGGTGTCCCAATGAAAAGTAGCCCATTTAATCAGCTTATAACTTTCAAACGCCTATAATGATAGAAACATGCGGTTTTAATGCATTTTACCTAATTTAAAGATGATTTGTTAGATGATATATTCTTTCATGCCCTTGATTCATTATTCTTTAGACTGGTTATTGTTAATTTGTTTTTAACTACTAAATTGATTAGTACTATTTTTACAATGAAAAATAAACAGCGAAGATAAAAATCCACAGCAGATACACAGCAAAAATCCATCAACAGAACAATAAATTCTAAGAAATTTTTCATTTTTCTCATAGCAAGAAACATTTTTAATAATTACCATTTACATTCAAATTTTCTGTTTCCAGTTTTCTTATGTTGTCATATTATTCCTTTTTCTTTGTTTCTTTGTTTTTATTAATACATATTTATCAACGCATCTCCATTCGGCTGATTATATTCGATACTCCTTCGGAATTCCAATAATGGTGAGTGTGTCGAAAAATGGAAATGATGTTCTTCGTGACTAGCTAATGTATTATTTATTTCGTTAGAATGAATGTCCTAGTCTTATTTTTCGGCAAAAACTCGCCAATTCTTCTCGCATTTTATGGGCTTTTACACAGATTTAAAGTCGATATTCTAATGAAGTTAAATAAGGAGCTGGTGCATTTGCCTAAAACAAGATTATGGTCCCACTCGAGACGAATTTTTCATTCGTATTGTGTTCCTACTATACAGACTATATTTTTCCAGTATTTTTTGTACTTTAAAACGTGTAAATCCATGATTATTGAAAGGGAATTTTTTATGTACTAAATCTTATATCATTGAATTTAGTTATAACTTATAACTATAATACAAAAGCTTTATTTCACGCGAATTTACTATGAATTAAAAGGAAAACAGAATTGCTCATGTATTCATAATTCGAATTTGGTAATTGAAGCATGAGAATCTAATTACCTAATACAACACTGAAATTTCTTGAGACAAAATTGAGACATATTTTACATATATTCGAACAGAAACGTTAGAGATATGTATAAATAGAAAATCAATATAAATATTTAATTAGTTAATTAATTGTGGTACATTTGAGCAATATGTCCAGGAAATTAAACAGGTGTATCCTTCGAAGGAAGTTTGTATACCGAGGCTAATTATCACAGAGTAATAACAATTTAAAAGGTAAAACAGTGGATAAAATGCTTTGTTAGCGAAAAACGTTTGTTGTTTTTCAATTGAAAATCGCTTGCAGATATGGCCGTTCACAACAACTCGAAGTCGATTTCGAACAACGTATCGGAAGGGGATGACGCCTCGCTGCGATCCCTCAGCTCCGAGGACGTATCTCTGTCCCCCAGGGGCTATTGTTGCGCCAAAAGCATCAACCCCGCCGACGGCAGAGGAAGAAAATTACATCTCCTGCAAATGATCGTACTTCCTTTTATTCCTATTTTAGCTTTGATTATTCAAACGTCCGTCTTACTGAACAACATTATGGTCAACAGGAACGAAGTCATGGAAATTAACAATCAGGTGAGAATAATAATTAGCTTGGAGGAAAACAACATTTAGTTACAGCATAATTTTTGGTAGACCAATTAAATTTTTTGGGTTTTCGCTATTTTTTTAAAATTGATTTGTACGCAAAAGTAGTAAGGTTTCTTGCGAAATAAGGGGAAACGTCGGGCGGTGGTCTGCGAGTTGTCGCAATTTTGTGAAGAAGCCTTAATAAAGTGAAAACAATATATTCTGGTTTGAGACAAGTCGACTTAATTACATAGAATAAATTATGCTATTGGAGTTTTTCACCGGATACCAATAATGTTGAATTAGGAGTGACACGCCTTGTGTAAATTTGTCGCTCTCACCTTTTCGACGCTGGTACAGGGCGATCAAAAGCGATCAAATTTTCTTATATGAATTTGTCGGTAGGTATATTAAACACGTAGAAATGTGTACAAAATTTGAATTCAATATTGCAGTTGAACCTCAAAAATCGCTCAGGATGGTGCATTTTCCAAGGGAACCTGTAAAAATAGTACAGGATAAAATAGCCCAATACAAAATAGCCTGAGACAAAACAATTCCGGTAAAATTAAAATGCAAACATTTAATAGATTTCCAGAGTTTCTACAGGACGATTTTGAATTCCGTTCTATTTACTGTACACATTTTAATCCTTGTCTGATGTTCGTTCTGTGTGCTTTGCGAATTTAGCAATGGAAAAAATAATGAACAAAATTTAAAGAAGATTAAGAATTTTTCATTTAATTCCAATTTTCCGGATACTTTTTTGTCACTGTGTAAGTTTCCAGTTTTGGTAAGACCGATACCGATTCTAATGAGTGATTTCTCTCAACTCACTCTTGGTTTTGTGAAGTTTGGAGAGAGCTTTGAAAAATTCCTTCTTGGTTTTGGGCAAGCTACTTGAAACTTGGATAATTTTTGTAGAATACGCTCTTTTCTCTTAAGCTATTTTGTTTTTGCACTATTTTGCCGGGGCTGTTTTGTCTTGGGCGATTTTGAAGAGGTGCCATTTTCCAAAGACACTTTTTAATATAAATATTTATGCAGGTTACAATTGCTACAGACTTAGGAAAAGTAGTAACGAGAATGCAATTGGAACGCTCTGAAGTCGCTTTTTACGTGTACACCAACGGTGCTCTACTAAGGTAAATTGTTTCGATTGTAAAAAACCTAAACATATCGTTCAATACATTTCTCTTCTTATCTACTACAAATGTTCATCCTAAACCAAACCAATCCTATACCTATCCAGAAGATTGTGTGTCCAGAACATTGTCTAGCAAGCATTTTCGTTTTACGATTTCAGAACAAACCTAACCAAGCGATTCGAATTGACCGACGAGGCCTTAAGGAACATAAGCAGTTGGCCTCCCGTTACCTTCATCGTGGACGAGAAGAGAATCACCTACATGGACAAGACGAGCCTGCAGAACAACCTGACGAAATTCAGGTAAGCAAGACTCATTCTCCGATAGACTAATCTCTGCACCGGTTAATTACTTGTTGTTCCCAGAGAGAATGTTATCGATTCGGACGACAGCTCAATAAAAGACGTGGTTAGCTGGTACACGTCGCTCAACGCCGCTCTATTGGAACACCTCACGCAGCAGATTAAGGAGAACGACAACAGCGGCGTGTGGAGGTAAATTGGGAGAATTAATTAATCTGCTTCGCAATTTGGGATTTCTGGATTATTGCAGGTATTTGCTCGCTTTCAAAAACCTCCTGAAGAGCATCGAGAGTACCGGCATAGCCACCGTTTATGGCGTTAATTACTTCGGTAACGGGTACCTGAAACAGCCGAATTATATAAACTACATCACGCACGACGCCATCGCTAAGGATTTACTTAACACTTCGTTGAATTACGTGTCCCAAATGAAAGAAGAGTACAGGGCTCTATCCAAAAACATGCCCAATTACGGGAATATTAAGTTGAAGTAAGTACTGGTTGTAACTTGCCCTAAAAACATAATATGTGTTTATTTTTGGATAAGGGGACACTAGAAAAAAAGGGTTTATTAAGAGGCGAAGAGAAGAACGATTTTTGAAATTTTATAAGAGTATTAAAAAAATATTCAAGTTTTCTTTTTAGTTAATTTTTAGAGCATTTTAAGAGTTATTTACTTATGTAATTAATACGATTTAGCACGTTTTTTAATGATTTTATGGACCAATTAAATGCCTTTTTAATAATTTTTTTTTGAATAATTGAGGGCCCTTTTAATTACATTTTTGAATTAAATTTCTAAAGTCATTATTCCCATTAATTAACCTTGGGGGTATTTTTTATTAAATGTACTTTATAAGTCACCAAAATCATTAAAAAAGAATTGAATAGAATCTTAAAAAATTTAAGATCATTAATAAATTAAGAAATCTCTTAGTAGATTCGGGAAATATGAAAAACTAATCCAAAAATTGTTAAAACGGACTTTTAAAAATCTTGAATTAAATATGTAACAAATCTAACAAAATCTAACAAAAAGAATAAAATAAAATCAAATTTACAAAAATAACAATAATCCTATAAATTACTTAAAACTTTATACACTGAGGAAAAAACTGTATTTTCTATTAGTAAATATTGCTTTGGAAGATATTTATTCATATTGAAACTCGTAGTGTATTCCATAATATAACTTACTAAATATGATAACAAGAAAAATTCTTGTTTATTAATAAATATATGTGTTGATTGTTGAATAATCTATTATAAACTACAAGTTAGATGATTTGCAATAAAACTATTTGGGTAATATATACTCAATCGTTATTAATAAAGGTGAAAAATTTTTAAATACATGATTGACATATTAAAAATATGAACATATGTTGTATTAAATATATTGTAATTCTGATAAGTAATTAATTAATTTAATATAAATTTATTATATTTAAAATTATCAATATTATAGAGAATAATAAATAATATTTATTGATTAATATCTAATATATGGACGTAGTCCGCCTAATTTCACTGGCTTTGTTGGCTATTGTTCTATTTGTTTTGATGGATGCTGTACCGTACGCCACGCCGTACTAACCGTACCGTTTCCCAAAATTCCTGCAACCATCAGGCTGGTCGCCGGTAGTAACAGTTTTGTAGTGCAAGAATTTTGCTTTTATTTAATTGTTTGTTTCATAATTGTGTAAAAGTGCTTCTGTAAAGGATACTACTATATGCAGGTTAGTAATGAATTTGTTCTGATTGCATTATTTAATCACAACAACAAAAATTACAGGAACCGGAGCTCATGAGAGACTGAAAAACAAATTTGTGGAGGATTTAGTATTGGAAAGTTCAATTCCTTTATTTGTAAGTAAACATTAATCCTTAGCCTTTTTTATTTTTGTAACGGTTTTTATTTCATTGCAGTTAATTCAATCAAGAACATGGCAGAATTGGAGCTGCATGCTAGTTCACGACGAACAGTATTTCGAAGAAATTTGTCCAATCAGAGGAGAAAAATTTTGTCTTCTTGATCGAAGGAGAAATAATTAATTTGTAAGGTATTGCGTTTTTTCCTATTCTGAAATGTTTTCTTTTGGTTTTTGTTTAGGAAGACTGCATCTACTAGTTCTGATGCATCTACTTCACAAGACTTTCGACCCTTACCGTTCTCGACCCTTATTTTTGTTCTATTGTTCTTGTTAATGTACCTCAATTAATATAACTTAAGTGCAATAAATATTTTCAAATACCTTTATTTATTAGCATTTTTCATTTGCAACCATTCTTATTTTCCCGTTTTATTTACAGGATGACTTGTATTTCTACTTTTATATTTTTGGGATAGTTTTCAGTAAAATCAGTTAAAACCGAAATTAGAACTGATTTTACTGAAAACTAACCTAAATATAAAAGTAGCAATACAAGTCATCCTGTATAAATGAACCTAATATAATTATTAGGTAAATACAATTGAGAGTTGATTAAAAATAAATTCAGGTTGGTTTTATAATAAATATTAGTGTATTTATTATTAATCTATCGAGTTCATAAAAAAACCTAGAAAAGTTTGTTAATAACCTGGTGTAGTTGTGTTGATATCATTAATAGTGGCAATAAATATATAAGTATTTTTATTTTTAATCAACATTTTATTTTAAGGAATACATCGTATATTACTAATTTAATAGTCAATTATTGGTTATATCCTAATAAAAATTGGTTATGTCGGATTCTGATTCTCTCATAGCTTAATTCTTAACCACATTGGTTACATATAACTCAACCTTTTTCTCAGTGTAGTAACTCCAATTTGATAGATTACTATACTAGATTTTAATCTGTCCCTCTTTTTACTCGCTTTATCCCTTTATTATAAATTTCTTAAGTGACTGTTATGCTTTCAGAAACGACATTATAATGAAAAACATCCCCCGAAAACCCAATTACTACGAAGCCTTCGATTATTTCGACTCGATGGCCTCCTACATGGACGAATTGAGAAAAATCCAAAGGAGCTTGCGGGTGCTAATTCAGTGAGTAGTCCGTATTTCACGCGATTAAATCGACCGCCACCGCAACTCTACCGTGTTTGTCCGTTTAATTCGATCAATCGATATTTAATTGCTCCCTAATTGAATTTGCAACATTATAATAATTGCTTAACAAAGTTACTTTTAACTTTTCAATTCCGCTAAGAGGAAAACGATGCGCAAATTATTTCGTAATTGTATATGCATCCTTAGCGGTTTCTCTAATTATACTATGACTGTAATTAGTATCTAAATTAGTAGAATTTTTTATTTCTTTTTTGAGGGATTACGTCGATGAAAACCTGCATTATTCGGCTAACAGCGAAGCCCTCGGTATAGCCATTTTAGTCCTAGTCCTTTCGGTGTCTCCGGTCATAATATGGCTGGTGAGAAACGCCGTCGAAACCATACAGGTAGATATGTTTTAAGCGGACAGATTTTCTCTGTTTTTCTGTGTTTTTAATCGATTGCTTAGTTGTACGCTGCCAATCTAGCCACCAAGGCTAAGGAGCTGAAGAGGGAAAAGCGGAAGAGCGACTTGTTGCTTTTCCAGATGCTGCCGCCCAGCGTGGCCACGCAACTCAAGCAAACTAGACAGGTACTCTTTTTGTTTCATTTACCTATTGTTCGATTTTTATACACTTACATTGTGACAAAGAAGTACCCGGAAAATTAGATTTAAATTACATGCACTTTATATTTTTATCTATATCAAGTTTCTGTATGTAGGTAACACTGTTCTTAATTAGAGTGCAAAAAAATTGAGCCGTGGGATACTTTTTTTCCCAAACTCAAATTACCACTCCGGGAATCCCGTTTTGACTCCATAAATGCCATCAAATAAAATTAGCAGAAGGAGCTAAATGCCTTACCAAAAAGGGTCCATAAAAATGATTCGATGATTGGATAAAAGGCGTCTGACTAAGTGTATTGCTGCAAAAGGAGGATATTTTGAAAAACACTCGAGAAATATCAATGAAGATTAGGAATTTGGCGTTTTATTCCAAATTTCCTGGTACTTTTTTGTCACAGTAGTACATTTTTATGGGATAATTCAATCGTAGACTATTTAATATGAAACTTGCATTGCTTCCTACTGTTTTATTCATTTACATCCAAATAGCCAACCGAAACCTATACTATAGTAGATAGCTAGAAGAAAAATATTAGTTTAGTAGCATTAGTTGTAATCAGTAAAATACTTTATAGTCAAGACAGCATTATTTGTATATATTCCGAGCTCTAATTCACATTTAAAGGTTTAAGTTTAAGGTTCCGTTTTTCAGGTACCTGCTGAATATTACGCGTCCGTTACAGTGTATTTCAGCGATATCGTTGGATTTACAGAAATAGCTGCTGTTAGCACACCTTTAGAGGTATTTTTGCACATTTCTATCCTATAGCCTTTACTAAGAATTCGATTATTGTTGCAGGTGGTAACGTTCCTGAACAAAATCTACAAACAATTCGATGCAAGAATCGAGTGCTATGATGTCTATAAAGTGGAGACCATCGGAGATTCTTACATGGTAGCCTCAGGTCTACCAGTAAAAAACGGTATTTATTACCTTACCAAACTGTTTGAATTTTTTTGATCACATAGAACAAGTTAACTTACAAAATATTGTCTGATCTTGTAGTATCTTAAAAGTGTTTATTCATTTAGTTTCCCTTATAAAGGACCCCTTGTTTATTTCCCTCCCTTATCGATGTACAAAGTTAATCAAACTTCGCGATTGGGCGTAATTATGTAGGTAACAAGCACGTGACTGAAATAGCGAGCATGGCTCTGGATTTACTCTCCGGCTCAAAGCAGTTCAAAATTCCCCATCGCAAATCGGAAAGGCTTCAAATTCGATCGGGGGCTCACACGGGGCCAGTGGTGGCGGGGATCGTGGGATCCAAGATGCCGAGATACTGTCTCTTCGGGGATACTGTTAATACTGCTTCGAGAATGGAGTCGACAGGAGAAGGTATGGGGGCTGTAGAGGAATTTCAGTTCTATTATTTTTGTTAAATTTTCAGCATCGAAAATTCACATTAGTTTCGAAATGAAAAAGGCGCTGGAGTCGATTGGAGGATACAAGATTGAACATAGAGGACTCGTTGAAGTCAAGGTGAATTTCCTTCTGTTGGGCTTATTTTGATATGCATTAAATAATCTTTCCTGCAGGGAAAAGGTCTGATGGAAACTTACTGGTTGACTTGCAAAGAAGGGGGACAAAATAGAACTGTAGAAATAGACGCGCCGTCGTATTTGGTAAGTACCTAATTTGTGAGAAAAACTTCACATTATTATATTCACTTTTCAGGAAGAGGAAGAAGAAGAAGAAGAGGAGGACTTGGAACCCGTTTTTATTAAGAGACTGAGGAATGAAAGTTACTTTTAATAAACGCCCTATTGTAATGTAATTTTTGTCTGTGTTAATGTTTTAAACGATGTATTTTAGTGTAAGTACCTGATGGAATTAATAGTCATTTGTAAAACTAAAGTTGTAATCGCCTATTGAATTGAAAGATAGAAATTATGTGTAAGTAACGTGTACTTCTTCTTCATAATATATAGGCAGTATTATTTAAATAAATATGACTGAATGTTATTTTAATAATAAATTGTGTGTGTTGAAAAATAATTATTGTATTGTAATATTAATTTGGAACTAATTTAGACCCAAATATAACAATTTGTTGTACCCGAAGTTCAATAAAAGTACTGTGTCAGTTTCTAAACCTAAAATAAAGATTCTCTGCACCAAGAAAAATAAAATAAAACTTCCATGTGCAATGTTCTTAGTTTATTTAAAAGTATCACACATTTCTTATAAATTAATCAAATCTACTAAAACTTGAATAAAAATGAGTTATTAAAGATATCGAATAAAATAAGTTTATAGAAAAAATCTGTTTTAGCGGGATAAACAAAATTAACGAAATTTTTTCTCTTGTCGAGCAAAAGGAACAATAAAAAGTAACTAAAAAATACTGTGATGTCAAACAAATGTACCACAATTAAAATGCATTTTTATTTAAAATAATACCCATTAAAGGCGAAAACAAGTTAAAAGCAACGACATCAGATTCTTCTATTTATCATTCCAGGAATAATTATTAAACAGTTTGCGCTTTTTATAGGTATTGTATGTTATGGAAGAAATGTTAGAATGATGATTAGAAGAAGCGTATTAAGTAATAATTCATGATAGAAATCTATCTATCTACTAAAACGCAGAAAACATAAAAATATCTCAATATTCAACTCCAACTTTGAACCGGTGCTACTTAAAACGACACTAACAAAGTGGCAGTCAAATAGTAACTATTGGTAATTTATACACTGATATTTACAACTTATAGGCAGAAATGTTTACAATATGTGAATTTTATTTGCCTTCAATTTATTTGCCTTCAATTTATTGAATTATAATTGATTTTTAATTGATTACTAGGAGGCAAGATTGTACAGTGGATTTTTTTCTAAACTCATTAAAAAGTAACAATCTCTATATAGTAACATTCTATTCTACATTTTATGTGTCCACTCATAAGTTGTTTCAATTTGTACTAAATTGAAAACTAGTTACTAAATTTTTTAAATTAATCAAAATTCCAAATATACAAAAACAAAGTTAATAATAATTTCGATAAATCTAACATTGTTAAACTTTAGAAGTTTAGGCCCTTCATAGAAATTGCTTCTGTAAAAAGAATTTAAAAGCTTTCTTAACAAAACTAACTTTAAAATTTATAGCAAATTAAAACCATTCTCAGTACTTTTTAACATAAAAATCGATTAAAAATAAAAATAAATATCATGGTAAAATCAAACGAAATAAATTGCCATCATGACAGTCTTTAGCAAATCATACATGAATCTCAGGGGTTATCAGGCATGTCGAGTATTTCGGACACAAAAGTGGAAATGTCAGTATTGATCTCTTTGTGCTTCGTTAAAAAACTGTGTTCTAATAATTGGCTGTAATTAGGCCTGTCTGTGTATTTCTTTTGCAGACATTTACAAATGAATTCACTGAATTCCGGAGAAAATTGACCCGATGGCAATCGAGGCGGATCATCAGCCACGACTTGTTTCAACTGCTCGAAGGGTGTGCCCCATTTGGGATATGGAAATTCGCCTGTTGCTAATTCAATTAATGATATACCCAAACTCCATATATCTGAGCGGATGTCGTATTGGGACGGATTTCCTTGAGGATCTATTCTTTCAGGCTAAAATTATAATAAATTTATAACGCATTATTGTTAGCTAGTTAGTTACTTACAGCCATATATGGTTTACAACCAGCATCAATAGTTTTCGCTACCGAGTCTACTAAATATCCACTAATTCCAAAGTCACACATTTTGACCTCACCCTGTCTATTGATCAGAATATTAGATGGCTTAACATCTCTATGAATAACTTTAAGTTGAGAGTAAAGATAATGTAAGGCACTGACAACGGCTAAAGCAATCTTTCCTAAAAACGTTTGTAAACCATTATCACATCTTATTAAGTTTGAAATTCAAATACCTAAAACACCCTCGGGTATTTTCCTGCCGTGTTTGTAAACTTTAGCGTAAAATTTGTCTAAACTCGTATCCATCACTTCCATGCAAATCCAAACGTCCCCTTCTCTGAAAAGGGCGCCGTAAAACTGGACGGTGTAAGGACAAGCGCTGCTTCTCATTGAAATATCGAGGTCCATTAACAACCTCTTCTGTTCTTGGGTGTTCACTGTGGCTGTGATTCTTTTTACAGCCATTATGGTCTCGCTGGGAATGTGTTTCATTTTTTCTACCACACCATAAGCGCCTCTACCCAAGTCACAAAGTTTCTCAAGATCATCTGCTTCAACGTCGAAAGTCCTATCTCCGATAGTGATTGTTGTTCTTGTGTCTAAATTTGCAGGAGGGATCCTAAAAAATCGAACAGTTTAAATGTGGGTGTATGACAAGATTTTTATAGATCGTATTATTTTTTAAATGCCTTTTGATTGACCTTGAAGTACCTACATGTAAATTTTTATAAATGGTAAGTCAAGTAAAGTGACTATACAACTAAGAAAATTAATGCATTTGCTAAGGGAAAGCTGTGAAAAAATGAATAAATAAAACGTAATTAAAGAAAACTTACACTGCTGGTGGAACATTGTCTATGACATTCAGCCTAAGACCGGGCTTCTTTCTTGCGGACATGATAATTTTTAATAAAAATTCAAATCCTTTTTGGAACACACGTGAAATCGAGATAGGATTTATACTCTCAGAGTAATCCCATTAAATTTAAGTTTACAATTCGAGCTGAAACACTTAAAACTGTCTCGAACGTCGCTTAATTTATTGGAATTTATAATTATAGAATATCAGTAAATTTCGAACAACAAACGTGACCATATATGAAAAATGTTTAATATTTTTTTTACAAAAATGTGACACTGACAACTAATTGACAACCAAGGTCCAAGGTGACAGTAATGACAGTTGACCTGACAGTTTTGACACGAACGATTTTTTTAAATATTAGAGGTGGGCATATGTATATTACAAAATATTTAACTTTTTATTTCTGCCTTATGACTTCAATGTTTACTACTAGATATAAATGCATAATTTTTAGTATATGAATTAATTTAGTAGTGTCTTCATAATTTTTAAATTTTTTACGTTTCATATTCAAGGTGATTTCACAGTGCCACAAACCCACCTTTAACACTTAAGAATTTAAAAATTGTTGACGTTCAGTGGAACTGCCAATTGTCAGTGTCATTACTGTCAATATATGACAACGACATTCCGATATTCCAATGTTCACAATTTTGATTTAAATTCGCAATTTCACATTGTAAATTGTAAATCCCCAGGTTGTGTTTAATTTAAACGGTCGTCTTGCTGCTAGAAACAATCATTCATCATTTACCATGTCTGATAATCAACTAGCCAATTCCAGTGAATCCGAAAATATTTGCATCGTTTGCTTTAAAAACGTTGAAATATATTCGATTGGTTCTTGCGATCATGCCGTCTGCTTCGAGTGCTCCACAAGGATGAGGGTCCTTTGCAAGCAGAACGAATGTCCCATATGTAGGAAGCTATTAGAAAAGGTAAGAAGTCCTTTCGATTTCTGTAACACACCAAAATATGGCTGCTATTTTTAGATCAAATGTGTTGGTAAAATGGGTATTTCTCTCTTATATAATTACCTACATAGGTAATTATGTTGTAAACGCGTTTAGTTTTTTTATAAATATCTGTTTCTTTTCGTAAGATTATAGTGTTATTAAATATTTTAAAATTACAAACTGCAATTTTTTTATTTTTTTTTTCAAATAGGTTTAGTCAAAAATTGTTCAGTAATAGATCAGTAAAATACCACATTTACACGATACTTAGATTGTTTCCAAATGAGTTCATTCTAAACTATTCTTCATTCATTCATATTGTAAAAAAAAACAAAGTTAAATCTTGCTCAAACAGGTGTTTTAAATAATGGTATAATTTCTTTTTTTTTTAGATAATTTTCACCAAATCAATAGAACCATTTGCCGTTCTGTTTCCAAAATTCGAGCGCACCAATTTGGTGGATCGTAAATTGGGCATCTATTTTTGCACCTCTGATATTCAGAAGTCTTATTTGAAATTGCTGGAACATCGTTGTAACATCTGCGAAAACAATGGCAGGAAATTACAGTTCAAACAATTCCACCATCTTAAGGATCACATGCGCAAGGAACACGAACTTTTCTATTGCGATATATGCACTCAAAACCTCAAGATTTTTAGTTTTGAAATGAGGTGTTATAACAGACAGCAATTGGGGCTGCATAGGAGGAAAGGTGATCCTGACAATACTTCTCATAGGTAGATGAAATGAATGTTTTAGTAGCATGGAATTTTGGAAATTAATATTTTTTAAATCCCTTTGTAGAGGACATCCTCTTTGTGAATTTTGCGATGAAAGATTTATGGACAGCGAGGAATTATTTCGACACCTTCGCAGGAACCATCTTTTCTGTCATTTTTGTGACGCCGATGGCAAACACCAATTTTACAGTAACATGGATGATTTGTGCAGGCATTTTCGAGAAGAGCATTATTTATGTGAAGAAGGTGAATGCAAAGACATGCCATTGACTGCCGTCTTTCGAACTGAAATTGATTGTAAAGGTAAAACTTTGAATACATATTTCTCTATGAAGTTTCCTTAGGCGACTTCGAAAAAAAAAACCCTCGTTTTATTTATTTCTTTTTCAATCTTCATCTGTTCTATTTTAGCTCATAAAGCTACAGAGCACACTAAATTTATGACTAAGTCTGGTGCCAAACAAGCCAGGACTTTAGAGTTACAATTCACATTGGCTCCTAGATCAAGGGTCGACAACTCTAGAAATAGACGATATGCAGATAGAGACAGGTACAATTATTAATTATATTTCTTTTTAAAGTGCATTTATTTACTCATTTTTTTCTTATTACGTCTATTACCTTTCAATATTGTACATGATTAATGTATCTTGTTTAAGATTGGACGAGGAGTCTTCCAGTAGCTACAATGTGGAGCCTGGTGGACCAGGTGGTGGCGTCGATGATGAACGAGGCCAGATGTTTGTAAACTCCTTGACACCACAAAATTTTCCAGCCCTCGGTGGAACTTCAAGCAATATGACTGTTCATTCTAGACCAGCCAGCGTCAATTACACAAACAAAGTGAATTCTAATTTTACGAGTGATGATTTCCCTTCATTAGGTATAGGGTTTTTTCCTGCAGAATTCGTTTTATTTTATTGTAATGGGTTTTTATTTATAGGTGGATCATCGAAACCGTCATCGGCTCTTACAATAACCACGAACAATTTAACGAAAAATAGCAGAGTTCCAGATGTTACAATTACCAGAACTGTTAAAAATCAAAATACTCTTGCAAATACTGTAAAAAATTTCCCGGCTTTAGGAGGTCCAAGCTCCAGCTCCGGTGGAAGAAGTACAGTACGATTAAGCGTTAAGTGAGTATTGAGCTAGCTATTTTTATCAGAAATTTTATCAGAAACGAAGATTATCCTCTAATCATATTTATCGGTGAAAACTAATAAAACATAAGGGTGTGACGTTTTGCATTCAAGTTGATTTTACATTACGAATGCGAAACCCGGATAATTATATTATACTTCGGCATATTTTGTGCCATACTACTCCCCATTTAATTTTGTGACACTTTTTTTGAACACCCTGTATACCTTCATTTATATTGTTTGCAGTAACAGTCACGACTCGAACGCTCCGAACGTTTCAATACAAGTAAACCACAGACCAAATGGTAGTATTACGACCCATATCACCACGAGCGCTTCAACGTCGACTCAACGATTAACGGAAGCATTTCCAGCTCTTGGTGGCGTATCCACCGTCTCCCAACCACAGTGGGTGCCGGTGAAATCGAAAAAAGAACCCAAAACTCAGAAAGTAGCTCCTGCTCCTCAATTACCTCCTACTACATTAGAGCAATTTCCTACATTGTCGAAGAAAAAACCCAGTGCGGCCGCTGCCTCTAACAACTGGGTCAACCTCAATAATTTTAATAGTACAAGTTCGAAAAATAGTAATAATTCTAATGCGAATGCTGGAAGAGATCAAAATAAATCGAGTGATACTAAGAAAAATGAAGCAAAGCCGTCTAGTTCGAAGCAAAAACAATCCAGCACCGAGTCCAGAATGAACGATCTAAGAATTGCCGAAAATCATGAAACGAAAAGCAAAAACAAAAAGAAAAAAGGCAAAAGTGTCGAACCGGAGCCTCAAGTATCCTCTGAGGAAACGTATAGCTTAAACATCAAAGGTGGCACGTCGAGTACTGAAAAACCAGAAGTAAGTGCTCGAGAAAATAAGAATAACGAATTTACAGCAAATCCAGCTCCTCCACCGGGATTTAGTGTTAAACCGCCACCAGGTTTGAATCCTACGGAATATCCTACATTAGGAGTAGCGAGCGATTTTACGTTTACATCGAGCAGTGGCCAAAGCTACTCAATAATGCCTGTTAGTTCCTATCATCAACCTGCCAATTTCCAATCAAGGAATCAAAATCTAATACAACAATTAATGACTGTTCTAGACAACGATTCCATAAAGGAATTTAAAGCGTATTCTGATCTATTCAAGAACAGCGCATATCCTACTATGAAATACTATGAATACTGTAGAGAAATTCTCGGTGATAAATTTGACAATATATTTCCTGAATTATTAGTACTTTTACCAGATATCGACAAGCAGCAGGAATTGTACAGGGTGCTTGATGGTAAAAGTAAAAAGGCGTTAGAGATTTGCGAAAATTGTAAACAAGTTATTTTTAAGAAAGAATTACGTGAACACTACAACAGTCACATTTTAGAAAATCAGTTTCCGACATTAGGAAGAGCTCAACAAATTTCCAATACCTGGAGGAAATAATAACGTAAGTTGTTTCTATACACACATTGTCGCTATTAAAAAGTTTGTATAATTAAATTCTTTCCCAGGAAACGAAGACTATAATGCAATAAGGGGGCTTATTTGGGATCGTTTGTTTGCATCGTTGCAATTCATTTAGATAATTTGTAATCGTAAATCTATAAAATATTTTTTTATTTAAATTTGTTAGTTTTCGCCCCAAGTTTTCTTTCATTCGTTTTTAACTACGTTTACGAATTGGTCTAATTCCATTACTATTCTTACTGTAAACTTATTTTTTTTTTAATTATGATATAGTTTTTAAAATATGTTATTATCGTTCATGCTATAAAGATTATTAATGTTGGATTTAATTTAAGAGAAAATAAAAAACATAATTATTTTTTGGCTAATTTGAGCTTGCCTCAGAGACTTTAAAATTATCTCTTGGTACTAATTTTTATAACTAGTCTTTTACCTTCAATCGAGTTCATTGTAACTAAAAGTAACAGTTTGGGTTATTTACATTATTGTGCATTAATGTTACTTTTATTCGAAAGTAATTTATTGATGAAAATTAAGGTGGGTACTTGGTATAAATTTTTTTGAAAAAGCCATTTTTTGTTGGTTTTTTGCAATACATTTAGTTTTTTCTCGTAAATGCTTTGTGCAAGTTTTTGAAAAAACTAAAGATAAAAAAGTTAGTAAATGAATTTGACTTTTTAGCCATATTAATCACTATTAAACAAACCCTTTCTAAAAATATATTAAAATTTCGTTACTATTTCTCATTTTGGTAGTTTCAAAAGTACATAACTTGCTAAAATGAAATAGTATTATTATTGCGTACGTTATTAATATATTTATATTATCACTAGTTTCTATTAGATATAATAAAACTGGCTGTGGTACGTTTATAAACCATTGCTATTTATTGTTTAGTTACCTTTATTTTTTAACGCACTTTGCATTTGGTAATCTGGGTTAAATTTTGCGCTTTAAGATGTAATGTTTACTATAAAAAGTTGTCAAAAATACTCCATATTCACAGGAATAATATTCAATTACTTCTTCAACTTTCATTAGTCCCTTTTTTAATACAATTCTAAGTTCAAGTCATGTTTTCTATGAACAAAATCATCGTTTGATTTAATTATTATTAAGCATACATTTGAATGAAAAATTAAGGTAAATAATATCGTATTTAACGAAATATGAGTTCAATAAATAACGTCTCGTGTCTTATAATAATTGTTACAAAACCGCAACTTGTTCATGTTAAATAAATTATTTCTTTTGTAAAGTTTGTACATAAACATAGTATGTACTGTTCTTTTATAACAAAAGTTTGTTGATGTAATGTTTAAGTATTTTTTTGAATAAAATATTGATAAATTCTAATATCGCTTTATTGCTCTCTCAACCATTGTTAATATCAAACATTTTTTGCACTGGTGCCTGCATAGATCGAAAAAATTAAAAATATTTCTACTATTTACTCGTAAGTATTCAATTATATTTATAATTCAATTGAAAAATGTTAAACTTAGTACCATCCTTTTTTGGGGGGTCTGTATAAATAAATAATAGAAAAGGTGTGGTTCAAGAACATTCAAATGCATTTATGCAAGTCTCCTATAAGTTGTAATGTGAGTTGCCTAGTTGTGTTTATTTGTATTTCTATTTTCAATCTCAGTGATACTGCGCAAGTTTGCGATCTCTTTGACGTTTATTGTATGTTTCTCTCTCTGTATCGGGGTCACTACGTATTTGCCTCTTTCTCTAACGCAATTTTAGTTCAGTCCGTTGTCTTTTTGTCTTTTTTCTTTCAGTTTTGTTAGATGCAAGTGAAGGGTTGTGTGTGTGTACTGCTGCTCTCAAAACATCACTGAAACGTCCAAGAAAAAATAAATAATTAGGGTTTCTCTGATCCTTAGCTAATTTTAAGTGATTTCTATGTGTTGTGCGTGATTTTCCGGTGAAGGATTTACTCCTGTCCCCTGTTATTTGTCGTATGGTAAGTGCCCTTTATTCAGTCGAGCTAAATGAGTTCATATTAACATTTTAATTAAAAAATTGCCCAATTAATTCGGAGCTTCTTAAATGACCTCAAAAACCCATCTATGCGTTTCAATGCAACCCGAAAGAACGGCTTAAATTCGAAAGAAAAGGTTTTTCGATCTATTTTAGTTGCCATCTCGTGTGGGAGGAAAATATTTGTAGAATCTCGGAAGTGTGTCTAATTCCTTTTTGCCTTTTTCCTCTCTCTTGACTTACACATGCAAGATGCAAACCAAAAACACCAGGCTATTTCAGACATAATTGAATATGCCATAAATACTTTATACTGCACGATTTTTAATGGGTTTTCCAATGATTCAGTTACAACTCGTTTTTTTCATTACATGTTTAATTAATTATAACATAACGTATTTGTGGTAATGCTTAGATTTATTTTCCAGTAAACAGTGATAAAAATATAAACGGCAGGTTTTGGGTCAAGTGTGTACTTAAGGAAAGCTTAAGCCTCAATACTCAACTTCAACTTAGTGCTGAGATATCACAAAAAACGTTTTCCTGTTACGGTTGGGCTATCATCACTGATATGATCAAGTACAAGCCTCTAGAGCACATCAAGTTCAACAAAGAACAAAAGCCTAGTACTCTTTTGAAATTTGAAACGGTAACGATTTGAATCGGTGATTTCCTGTGCTTTATAGGGACAATGTTACGTTGCGAAACAATATTATTTAGCTCGAACCAAGGTTGCAATAATTGGAGTATTTGCTTACTTTCTATTGGAAATATTGTTTTTCATATTTTCATTATTGCTACCTATGTTATCAATTGATATGTTGAATCATACATATGCTACAATTATGAAAATTGGACAAAAACTATATTTTGTATCTCTATCATGCTCTTCTAGTATTACAGTTTATAGTTCTTATCCTATTATCCCCTAGTATCTAAAGGAAACTTAAAGAAATTTGTACTGGGATTATGATTATTTTTGCCTAAATACTATCATATAGTTATGTTCATGGCTATATCTAGATATTGATTGATCTATTGAGAATCTGGAGGTCTAGCTTTGAATTATCAGGTTTATTGTATGACTAAATGATTATTAATTTTTGCCATTTTCAAGCCTGAAGTACTTTAAAAGTGGCAAAACATAGCAGAGAACTGTTATTTCCGTGACAAAGAAAACGTCTACTTTGAACAGAATTTGCCACCAATATGAACTGGTTAATTTCTGTTTATTACTGAAAACTCTTGGGATTTTAATGGACTGTGTATCCCCGTGTTAAATTCAATATGTGAATAGCCTAAATTAGAGACAAAAATTTAAATGTACTTGTTTGTTTTTAATGTAATAAAACCGTGCAATATTTTGGGATCAGGTAAAGGTAATATTTTGGAAACAGGTAGAGGTAAGTAAATTTAAAAAAAAAACAAGAAGATACCAATGTTGTTTTTATGAAAATAAGCATCAGAGTGGCGTTACCTGGTCCTTCGAAAGATATAAAATTAAATTACTCCACTGATTTTAAATACTAACCGGCAATTAAAAATTCATTATGTGTTATAATTAATTATCACACACCGGCATTTATTCATTATTCAACAACATAAGCAATATATATTTAGGCACTGTGACATTTTATAGTTTAAAATTAGAATCTTCACGCTATCTGCCTCTTTTTTCATTCAAATTATGGTTGATTAGTACCGTTGTGGAGTAATAGCGTTACAAAATTACTCGACTATATATTTTTTAATTTTCATGCTAGTGTAAGTAAAACATCTACTATGTAATATTCGCGTAATAAGTGTTTACCTTTTAGTAATAAGAAAGATTCATAAGCAAGTTTACAACAGAAATAGAACAAAAGCCTAATATATACAAGCAAATAAGATGAACCGAAAAATGATATGAATTTACAAGCTTAATACTTGGAAATAAACGTCAGCATCTCAATTTTCTTCAACAATAATAACAGCTATTTTTAAATTACCGTTAGGTATCATTTGTGAAAAGATTGCACTTATATTATGTACAACATCTACAACATAATTTTTATTACAACCATTGAAGTCTCGATAAGTCAGTACCACAATTACGAGTGTACCTACGTAAATCCAGACAAAAGAATTGCAATTAACTTTTTATCTCGACTTGCGGTTCATGACGCAACGAAAAACCCATTAACTGTCTTCATAACGGTCCGGGAAATTACAAAGTCCGTTCCTGCTAGAATTTGGAGACAGCTTAGGATCGTTGCATTTGCAAGGTCTTTGACCAATAAATTGAGCATAAACACAACTCGAAGCCCATCCATTAAAATTGTTGTCACGTGCGCCGTTGTATAGGTACATTACGTGACAGGTGTAATTTTCGTACCTATAAAAAGTTTCGTTGTGTTTTTTTTCCGGGGAAATATGATAGATTATATCCTGACAATAGGGGTTTCCGAATCGATTTATTAAATGGGTGTTAATTATTTTATTATTGCAATGTTGGTATAATTTTTGTGCACCAGGAACGAGTTGTTAACGATGGCCAGATTAACGTTTCGCTTTTGTAGTATTTTATTTAGGAGTGTAAAACTACAGGCGTCTCGCTGTACAAGCAGCTGTGCATTTATATTGAAGACAATTACAATCAATTACGATACTGTGAACATCAATGACTAATAATAATATGTTTATGCTTTTAATAGAACCCGTTATAATCGTTTGTTTGCATAGTTGGTGGGATCTTTATCTACGAATACTTCGTGCCTCTAAAAGAAGTGTATTAGAATACCGTTAAAAATTCAATGCATTCATTTAGGAAAATAACAAAAGCATAAATAAATAGTTTCAATCACTTGCTCGTATGCTTATCAAACGACACTAACGCAATCGTTATTATCTTAAGCAAAACGAGTACATGACCTTTCGAAAGGAAGTGCACAATGAGGAGAATTCATTTTAATATACAAGTGTACACCACACACGAATGATTACATGAGGATATTGCGGGTTTAAACAACTTATTATAGGCATTTTGCACGCTATATTAATGTAAAAATTCGCAGAATCCAATCCGGGCAATTGTAATCTGGCTTTTATTTTTATAAATTCCTTATCGTCATAAATCCGATTATTACGGTAACTAACAAATATGTCATTCTTTAGTTACCGAGATATGAAAAACCGAGATATGAAATTGTAAACGCTTTCCTCATTATTTTTCTCTTCTGTTTCAGACGATTTTCGATCCTAACAATATGACTACGTCGATAAAATGACCTTCCTGATGTTCCCAACATCGCTCTGCTGAAGAGATATCTGCCGGCTTCGGATATTTTGTGAAGCGACCATGGCCCGTGCGAAAGTAAAATTGCGCGAGCCGCTCGGGAACAGGGGCACCTTGAACGCCACCAGCTTCGTTTTGACCGTTCTTTTTCTATGTCTCGCCGTCGGTTTGTCGAATTGCGGGGGCGGCGGCGGCGGAGGCGGTTTCGCCAACAGCCTGGATAAAATCACCAATAACTTGAAGGTGGCGATCGACGACCTCAGGGGTTACATGCCGAATTACACGGACTACGCGGAAACGCGGCTTTTTCAATCCGAAAAGGTCGTTTTCAAGCCGAAGGGCATGGCGGGATTGTATAATTTAACTGCGATAGTTATGGATTTTATTTTGCCGCCGGATTTCCTTATGCGAGGTGGGTGCTACCTGGGGAAAAAGGGTCAATGAAACGTGAAAATTTGTTGTGTTTATTATGCGTGCGTGGGTAATATGGTAGACGAAATTAATGGGGTTGGAAATTTCTATTTTTATCCTGTATAAATTGCTATATGCACCACAGAGTATAATTTTAATATTACGAAGTTACTCAAACCTTATTCTGATCCTGTGTCAGAGTCTAAAAGCATTCATCTTTAAATGCGTTTTTTCTAATTCTCTGCATCAACACTCCCATAATTTTAATACTTTATTAGTTAGGTGTATAATAAATTTCTCTTAGACTTTCTATGGTCATCTTCGTTAAGTCTGTAGTTTATACTGCAATTCCAAACAACTTGAGAAATATTAGAAAATGAATTGTGCAAAGTAATATATTTATTTTTTCCGAGTCCATTGCGAAAATTGATCGTTTTCTATCCATAGGCAATAAAATACTTTCGCTCCGTTGAATTATTCCGAACGCCAGCGCTAATTTAATCGATGCTGTCGTAACTGTAAATTGGAGTATGTAAAAACTATTTAAATTTTATTCCTTAGGTAATTTGCGGTAAATCGTCGAAAGGAATTATACAATCTGATGATATTTATTCCTATTATACTTGAGAATTTCTAGCTTAAATTACTTATTATTTTTTACCCCCAAAACCTTTTACCTTTATATTTATTTAGTCTTTTAAATATAGAATTGTGTATACAATTTCAATGTATATTCAAGGCAACTTCTTTTTCCTCTTTGTACATTTCGCAATATGCATTCGAGAACTTACTAAAACAAACATGAAAGCGTCCGTTTCGCAATAATTTATATCCTCAAATAAACGATTTTTCGAAGAATTTTAACGTCCGCAGTCGAATGGATGCTCTACTGACCTAGAAAAAAAAGTGATCACCGAAGTCTCGGTTGATCTAACCGTGCCGATCGATTTAACAGCAAACTGTTGTTTCCTACAGCTATATGTAGACGAGATTCCATTTGATGTATCGCACAGGTGCAACAAGTAGATATCTAATCGCGATTCCAATCGAATTTCACGCGCCAGCGAAGGAACTATCTATCGGAATTTTTCGATTAGTTATTTATTATTATTGTTTTCAAACGGAATTACGTGTTTTCGAGTAGTATACAATTAAACCTCGACCTTCTTACTCTGACCACGAATTTATTCAAGCGTGTTAATATACATTTTCATCAAGAAACAAATCATTTAAATTATATTATACTAATTACATAAGAGTTAATCTGAATTTATAATGCAGTCATGTGACATTTTGTCCAAATTTAAAATTGGTATTCCTACCTGCCACCTATGCTGCATTTATTGTGTCCATAACTCTATAAATAACCCTGTCTTTCAGATTTGATAATTTGGAGAAAAGGGCCCTACGAATACTACCCCGAATTGAATGACAAGATCACCGTTACCGAAATACTAAAATACTACTGGCCTCTGATCCTGGTCGTTGTGATTTTGGTGCTGATGACCGTTCTGATACCGATAGTGGGCCTGTTCTTCTGTTGCTGTCGATGCTGCGGCAATTGCGGCGCCCGGACGAAACCCTGTGATAAACGAAGAGACTTGTGCAAGAAAGTGATTCAAGGTGCTCTCTTAATCGTCCTGGGAACTGCTCTATTGTAAGTCGAACGTCGTGCGATAAATAAGAAGAGTTGTAACGCGACTGTTACAGGTTTTGCGTGGTTTGCGCGTTCGCCAGCAATCAGCAAATCCAAGAAGGAACCGACGAACTCCCAACGCACATTAACAACGCTTACAGCGATTCGGGGAGCTTCCTGGACAGCGCCTCTGACCAAGCTACGAATCTTCTTATCAATAATTACAGGGAATTCACTGTTGTTTTCAAGGATACCGTTCAAAGTTAGTACTTATTTATCTTCATCCCTATTTGTACTCATTGAATTCGACATTTTTTTTAAATTCTGAGTATTTTCCTTTGCAGAATCGGGCGTTCACGTTATGCAACAATTGAATATTTGGAGTAACGCGACCGCTATGATGGACTTGTATAATTTCGTCGAAGCCATACCTGCCATCATCGATCAATTGAAATACTTAAAAGATTCCACCAATCATTTGAGGGCTATGGCTTCCCAATTGAACGACGGTAAGCGATTGATCGAATGCAGTTAGTCGTTTGACGAAATCGACGGGATTTAATTATTTCAGCTATGAGAAAAGTGAAGAGGGATTTGCTAACGCTATTGAGGAACTGCACGTTGGACGCTTGCGTCAGTATTCAGAAGCAAATCGCCAATCTTCAAACCAATATTGATTTCAATAGAGTGAGTTAATATCATAATTTATTTTTTGTACGATTTTTTACATACCATAACTTGACGTGGCGATTGAGTTATCAGTACCACCAGGTTTCTCTGCTTTAAATCTATAAGATAGTAGAATATAGCAGTAAAAAGTTTAATATTAATGCTACCAAGCAACTACTTGCTGCAGAAATTTGGGACAATTTCAGAATTTTACAGTACATAATTTAAACTTAAATAACTCCTACTAAACTTGAAAATTGAGATATGTATTAAGTTATGGCATCTATTAACTGTAGTTCTAATGTACAATGTAGTATACAGTGTATAGTACTATAGTGCTAACTATATACTCTATATACTATATTCTCTACATACTATATACTCTAAATACTGCAACTCCAAGGAAATCATGCGTTAAATTTATTTACAATCATTTTTTTTACATGCAGGATCTTGATAGGTTTTTTCCAAGAGTAAGTTTATTTTCATTCTCTAGTAGTGACTTTGTTGAAGTATGCATACCTATTCTATTAAATTTAATGCCACTGTTAATGTTATCAATTTACTTAACTTTGTTTTTTTATAGCTTCCTGATGTGACACCTGCCATGGACGTGCTCGGTAGATTGGATTTAAACTTACTGAAAACGGCTGCCGAAGAGGGCAAAAGTAAATTAGACAATATCGAAAAACAGATTACAAGCAATCTGAACGATACTTTAGAGCAAGCTTTGGTTAAAGTCGAAGAAGCTGGTAAGAAATCATCCGTACGTCCTGCTAATGGCATCCGATCGATTCCCGTCTTTTTTGCAGGGACAAAAATAAAGGCCACTCTGAGCAACGTGACGCAGGTCATCTTCGAAATAAGAAGGGAAATAAACTACAACAACAGTTCGCTGAATTCAGGATTGGCCTATCTGGTGGAATATTCCGCGTACCGTTACTACGGCGGTTTGGCGTTGAGCTGCATATTACTCCTCATTACCATTTTCATTGTTCTCGGCTTGATTTGCGGCATTTGCGGCAAACGGCCGGACGGTTACAGCGACAATTGTTGCAACAAAGGCGCCGGTGGACAATTCTTGATGTGGTAGGTCCGGATTTATTTTTCATCGTCGACGATTCGTCTCTCTCTTACGCTCGGAATTTCTTTCAGCGCCGTGATGTTGATATTTTTATTTTCGTTCGTGATCGGCGTTGTGACTTTGGGAACGTTGTTGCTCGGCTTGGCCAGCGACAGGAGTGTCTGTTACCCCTTGCGACACCCCGATAATTCCGTTGTGATAGACACAATCGATGATTACCTATTAAAAACTCTTCGCTTGCACAACCGCAACGACGGCGTGGAAATTCAACTGAGCAGCGCCCTGAAAATGTGCTATAAAAACGAAAGTTTGTACAACGTTCTTAACCTCGAAAAGAGATTTAACATCGACAATCTTTCGAAGCAATTTAACGTAGATTCGATATTGGATACCATTGAAAATCAGTTGGATAGAATCGTGGATCCGAAGTTCACGATTTTGAACAATACCAACATAAATATACTCAGGAACTTGTCGCGTTTCGATCCCGGCATCAATTTCGATCATTTCCAGGACGAAGTAAGTGATTTAAATGCGCGAAATAATTATAATACCATCCCGTAATTTCAGCTGAGGGAAAATTTCACGAGTATGAGCTTGAACCAACTATCCGACACCTTGCAAAGAATCGTTGATCAAATGGATAATAATCCTATGTACTACTCGCTTCAGTCGGGATTAAAGTTAAGCATCCTCCACGTGAACACGTACGATGAAAAATTACTGGCGCCTATGAGGTACAAGGCCAGAGAAGCTATGGTACGTCGTGTAGAAGATTCGCACCAAACAAAGTTGTTTATGGAACATATTTGTTTTTAGGATATCGCTTTAAGTCTGGATTCGAAAATTAAAATGAACGCTTCTTCTTTCCCCGAAGCCATCCACAATCTTGTGAGCGAAATCGAGGAGGCGCAACACAAACTTAGAGAAGACGGTTCGAAGATGTTGATAGATGTAATTATCGTAAATTTTGTGAACATTTTCCGAGGTTTTAATCGAATTTATTTCATTTAAAGGCTGCCACTTCGTTCGGTGATATAGTGAAAGATCAAGTGCAAAGTTACATTCAACGGGTTGTCACCGAAGCGAAGTATAAATTAGGGAAATGCGATCCATTAAACGTTGCCATAAACGCTACACTAACGTCAACGTGCGACAAAATCATCAAACCTTGGGTAATTATTATATACAGGGTGTTTTTTAATAACTTGCTAATACTGAAGGGGGTGTTTCTTGGATCAATTTTAAGAAAAAACCTTCATATGAACGTGTCCTCAACCAAATAATTATTATTACCTAATTGTACATTTACAAAAGTTAAGACGTTCAGGACATAGATTCATATGAAGTTTTTTTCCCAAGATTTTGTCCAAGAATCACCCCCTTCAGTATTAGCATGTTGTTAAAAACACCCTGTATACATTATCTTGCGATAATTCATGATTTGCTCAATTTACTATATTTTAGAATGGATTTTGGGTATCCATGTTTGCCAGTTTGTTGCTTTTCATTCCCACCCTTATTGTTTCTGTGAAGTTATCATCGCTGTACCAAAAATACAAACAATATGGGCAATACGTTGAAACGTAAGTAGCTTTCAAATGTGTAATATTTTTTTTATTTTAATTATGTAGTAAACAATTATTAATGCTCAGTTCATGAATAATTTTCTATTGTCGAATATCAAAACGGAACGTCATAATTACGAATTGCATAAGAAAATAATATTTTCAAAAAAATGTACGATTATAACGCAGTATGAGTCTACAAGTAAAAATATAATGTTTAAGAGTCATTGAAAAGGATCATAATATGTTTTTAATTTTTCAAATTGGTCTTTACTTTTATACAGGGTGTTCCTAAACATCGTGCACATACAAAAGGGGATAATTCTTTGGCTTATTTCAGTACTAAAATTTATATAACATAGGTCCACAAACGCTAAAAAACTAGAAAATTTTAAAATTTCAACACCCTGTAGATCGACAACGAAGCGCTTGCGGACCTATGTTTATATGAACTTTTAGTCATGAAATAAGCCAAAGAATTATCCCTTTTAAGAATACCCTATATAATAGGTAGTTATACTTAATCCCAAAAATGATCAATTTCATTACATATTTGGATCTATGTTCATCAAATGACTTTCGATAGTAGTTAACAATTAAATAGTAGAGTACTGATAAACGAAAAAAAAATGCCCATAACTTAGACTTCTATATCGTGTTGCAGCGAATATTTGTATGATGTCTATGCCGATCGTGGGGACAGTGTTCCCTTGCACAGGTAAGATATAAATATTATGCACGGTAGCTGCAATTGGGGCTTCACTAAATGTTTGATTTTATTTTTTCATATCATCGTACTTTGTTTTTATTTTGTACATACAAAATTTCATTTCGATATAATTTAACAAAAGTGTATATTAGTTCGAGGGTTGTATTAAATAATATTGGTAGTAATTGGTACTAAAACCACTAGGAAGTTATTGTATACTAAGTTTAACTGTTGAACAGTAATGTAAAGTTTAAAAATCATATTTTATTTGGTGTTTGTTATTTTTCTCTTCTCCTGACAATTTTAATTCAAGTTGCACGTTATTTTTCTAAAAACTATTAGTTATTTGAATCCATTGTAATAATACAATTTATTGTGAATTATTTCATACACCCTCTTAGTAGTCATTATCGAGAATTAAAAGTAAATTAATTTGTCCAAAATGAGTTAAGAAAGATAATATGAATATGTTAATGAGTATTTTGGACAAGCTTACTTTTAAACGCAATTATTTTATTATATTTTTGCACTGTATATTTATTTTATTCGAATAAAAAGGATTGTATGGTACATAGGTACAGTATATGGCTTGCTAACATAAAAGAAATATGCCTGTCGATTTTTAAATGTTTTTACATTGTCCAGAACAGTATGTCCCACATTTTACACAATTGCTCTATTTTATTCCTGTATATAGAAAAATCTTGTAAATTTATAGGAGAATAATGAAAAATGTGGAAAAGTTACTGCTCTGGTTTGGTCAAAATGACTAAATTTTTATTTATATTATATATCGGATTAATCTGCTATTTAAAACATTTGTTTGTATATAAACAATTCTTTACATAAAATAAGTGATCGATCGAAATTAGTTTAAACTTCAAAAGACACCTTAAAAAACGTTTCAATCGATTACACTCTTGTGTGAACGTTCATTTAAAAAATTAATTTACCATTTATAATTTTATGTTTGATTTTTTTTGCAGTCGCAGCAGCAGTAAAAGTAGAGGCAATAAGAAGAAAAAAGGTAAAAGAGTGGAAGATAGGCATCAAATGAGCGAAGTAGCGCCGGCTGCATCTCAATCTTCAGATACGAGATACGCAGATATGGCACCTAAGTAAGTAAATTATGTTTTTGGTTAAGTTGGTTTTTGGTTTATGTCGGGTGATGGTCATAATTTAGCACTACAATTAAGGAAGCATTAACTATCGATAACACGTAGGAATTGTCTATGGTTTGTTGCACCTTGTAGAAACTCTTTATTAATACTTAACAAATAAGTCTAATTTTGTATAAAATATCTCCGACAAAATTCCTTTTTTTTGGTAGTCAGTTATGAATTTAGAAAATTGTAAACCAATGGTCCAGTAAGTTTATCTCCAAAAATTACATTTTATTTAGATAAATGTAGAAAGTTAATCGTTTTTACAGTTTATTCAAAACTTCTTCGGATAGTGTAGAGTAATTTGATTGTGAGTAGTTTCTTTTATTTGCTATTTTCTGCATAATGCACTGTGTGCTCGGTGTTACAAATTAATTTTTTACATGCCAAATCATTGTGTATTGGCTTTTAAACTTTCGCTTGATTTTTATTGCCCATCATATCTTCTATTTTCAACTTGTAAATAACTTCCACATCATTTAAATTCTATTCATTTGCTTCTTTACTATATCACTTATGTGAAATAGTAGTAATAGTAGTTTTATTTTTATTCCCCTAGGAAAGAAGCAGTTTCTACTCTGTGGCCTGTAGGATATCAACGTATATAGAGAATATTATTAAAATTTTCTTAATATCTTTCAATAGGATATTGTCGTGGATATTTTTAATGACTTTTCGTAATTGGAAATTATTCTCATTAAATACGTTACGTGTATATATTTTTGTTTGTTAATTTTGTTACGTGAATATTTGTATTTGTCAAATATATTTGTTATTTTTTTCGAATTCGAATATGATTAGTGAAATTTAATAAACCTGTGCTGCCTATAATATTCTTACGAACAATACTGTTTCCATTTTTTTGTATGCTTAAGATTATATCGTTTTACAAAATTTAATTTAGTTTTCTTTTAAAGAGCGTATATTGTTAATGCAACATTTCTTAAATATTTGTTTTCGAATTATTTAGGCAATGGGAAGAATTTCCCAACGGGGGTCCGCCGCAGTACCAAAGAGCTCCAACTGAATACGAAAGGCCGCCGCCGTATTATTATCCTGGAACTGCGTAAGTTTCTATTTCCTTCATTTTCTGTTTATAAAGCTTACCTTCTGGCGAAAAAGTACCCGAAAAATCTGATTTAAATTACATGCACTTAATATTTTTAACTACTTCAAGTTAGAATGCAAAAAATTAGAGAGATTTCTCAATAATTTGCCATCAAAGAAAATTCGCAAAAGGAGCTAAAAGCCGTAGCAAAAAGACCCTATAAAAATGCTTCGATGATTGGAAAAGGCGTCTGACTATGTGCATAATTTGAAGAAAATTCAAGAAATATTAATGAAGATTAGGAATTTTGCGTTTTATTCCAAATTTCCGGGTACTTTTTTATCACAGTAGTATAAATAATTATTTTTTTAATTTATTTTCAGCCAACAATAAGTCTTCAACGTCGCTTTTCTTATTTTCCAAGTAAAATAAAAATCAAACTTTGATAGACTGATTTCGATTTTGTAACATCACATCTTATTTTTCGAAGAAACTTATTTAAATGTATCGTATACTTTACTAAACAGAACTCGATCGAGTTAGATGAGATTAATATTTTTTATTTCGGGCAATAAATATTTGAGATGCAATCAAAGGATAGTTGAAAAAATGGTTATTGTGATATTTTTTAGAATTCTAATACGTTTGTAAAGGATCTTTTTTTGAAATTTGATATTTGCTTTTTTTAGCCTAATTGTTAGGAACTAATTGGAAAAAGAAATGCCATAACGTGTTTCTAGAAACTAAATTTTTCAAAATAGTAATTTCCAACAGTGCTGTTCTCTTAGTTACATTTTAGTTGTAATTTTAATGAAATGATATTGAAACAGAGTATAGTTGAATACAAATATTAGTCAATTCGATAGAATAATTTGCTTAGATAATGCATGAATTATTTTTCTCAAATCTGAATTTTGAAAAATTCGGTTTTAAATGAATTCGATGTCCATCTTGTGACTGACATCTCGGTAATGGCTAGTCAATGAAACTAATCTTTCGTGCAATTAAAACGTTGGTGTTTATACTAGTTTTAGACTTTAATGCACTAATGTTTCTCCCAACACTTTACTGGTTGAAATGGTTCAATATTTAATGTCATAATGTAATTTGGAAGCTTCCATTGTTTGTATTTTATGCAATGTGTCGTATTTTGTTACTAAAACTGACTGTTATAAAAAGACTTAATAAGTTTGTATGGTGAAGTTTAAAGATTCAATAGTAGAAATCATTTTCGATTTATCTGATTCAAAATACACACATTGCATTGAAAATTAACTCAGAAATCGATATGTATTGATATTCTGAATGTAGAAGCGAAGTTCGTACATTACAGTTCGTATACTTATTATTTTTAATTACATAAATGCTCATTATCTGATTAGTAATTAGTTGACATTCTCGAATTGTTTTTATTTGTACAATTGATAACATTTGTGTTCAGATATTTTCATATGAAGCGAATGTTAAAAACATTTATTTTTATTTAGCTAGGTAATACATTTATATTGTTAACAAAAATATCATTGGAATTTTAGTTTTCAAAGTGATAACTAGTGGTATTTTTGTGGATTTACCAGTGGCACAGAGTGAATCTTCATTTTAGTTTTCTTATGAATTAGTTCATTTAAGCAACTCGAATTAAACTTAATAGCGTTTACCTTTTAATACTTTACCTACACATGTGTTAAATGTAATTGAAGAGTCGTTCTTTATACGACAGATTTAACAGAATGGTGTAGAATGTATCTGTTAAATCATGTCCTATCAGTACACAAAACCATAATAATATTGGGCACATAATATCGTTAATGTACTATTCCAAATATCTATTCCAATATAGGTGTAAAGTTTATGTGTTCAAGTATACTTTTTGTGCTCAGTTTTTTACATTACTATATTATAAATTGAAGCCAAATTTTTGCCATATATATTCTACATATTTAATGGTATTTATTTCTACTAGTGTTAAATAATTATTAATTCCAATGTTTATAATAAAAATTTTAATGAGATTGGACTTTTATTCTTATTTTTTTTCATTTTCCAAAATTATTCTGAGTTGGTAACCGAATAATATACTAGAGAAGGTATCAAAATCAAGCTGATGTCAAAACTTGTGAAAGCATTGTTTAAAGGGCTGAATAGTTTCGACAGCTGAGACCTGAGACAGTGAAAAGAAGAAAGAACTAGGTTAAAATGTGCATTTCATAAACATGTTATTTGAATTTATTATTTTCTATTAAGTTTTTCACGTGAAAAATGGCACGAAGAGGTAAATTGAAATACAAAGATGTTGTTAAGAACCCATACGATGGTCAGAAGAAAAATGCGAAGAAATTCAAACCTCCCAAGAAAACGTACAGCTTATTTTCAAACAAGCAAGGCAAAAATAATCCTCGCAAAAGAAAATTTGCTCCTCAAAAATCGTATGAACCTCAAGCAAAAGAGCCAAAAGTAGAGAGCAATGCTTTACGAGAAGAGGAATCTTCCTCCGAAGAAGAAGCAGCAGACGTGGACAATCTATTGAGCACTTTTAAGAAATCTGATAAAATCAAAAATATTGCCATTGAAAGCAGTAGTGATAGTGAATTAGATGAAGAAAACGGTGCTGATGAAAACGATTTAGGTGAGGAGTTAACTGAAGGTGAAAATGAAGAAAGTGGTAGCGAAGATGAAGATACTGGTAATCAGGATGACAATGACATTGAGATTCACGTAGCATTAGAAAACGAAGAAGTTGGCGATTTAAAAGAAATTAACAGTAGTACAGATCCTTTTAATCAACACATTTCTTACGATCTGCACGATTCAATGCTGGATTCGTTGCAAAGCTCGCCGGTCAATACAAATAATTTTGAGGAATCGTGGCCTCAGCTGGGTAATTTAATAATTCAAATTCCAAAGTGTGAAATTATTGAAGAAAAATCTGACCATTTCACCATCTCCGAGAAAAAAACTTACGCATTACAAGGAGCAATACCTAAACAAATAAAATTGGTAAACTTCGAAAATTTGCACATTAAATCGCAAATTACAAATAACCTACTAAGAGCGAATAAAAGTGTAACCGGCAACGAACATTTTACAACGTTACAAGAAGAAATATTCTCCATTATAAATAACTATCAGGATTTATACTATCCCGAAAGGACTTTTACGAATTCTGAAGAAATCAGATACACATATTGTTTACATGCCGTGAATCATGTTTTAAAAACGAAGTTAAAAGTAATCCACCATAATGCTAGACTTACAAAAAAAGATGATGTACCTGAAGAATTTAGGGATCAGGGCCTCGTGAGGCCTAAAGTGAGTAGTACCGATTGTATAAAATTTATTGTTATATTTAATTTTTTTCAGGTTTTAATAATTTTGCCATTCAAAGATTCCGCTTACAAAACAATACAAATTATAATAGACCTAATATTAGCAGAAGATAATGGAAATGTTATGAATAAAAAACGTTTCCTTGACGACTACACTGGCAACGAGTTATTTATTTCAAAGAAAAATCCCAAACCGGAGGATTATGAGCAAATTTTCCAAGGCAACACTAGCGACGACTTTAAAATCGGAATAACAGTAACCAAAAAGAGTATAAAAGTATGGATAACATTTCACAAAATGCTCATCTAATAACACTAATTCGTTCGTTTAGTTATTTGCAGAATTTTATGCTTCTGATATTATAATCGCTTCCCCGCTTGGGCTGAGAACTGTACTAGGCGCAGAAGGGGAACCCGAAAGAGATTACGATTTCCTCGCTTCCATTGAATTACTCGTAATGGACCAATCGGAGATATTTCTAATGCAAAACTGGGACCACGTTATGCACATTTTCAATCATTTGCATATGCAGCCAAAAAATTCGCACGGTACAGACTTCTCAAGGTTTGTCTTGTTAACTCTAATAAATACTTTATACTCATAATATACTTTTGTAGAGTAAGAACGTGGAGTTTGAACGGCTGGTCAAAATACTACAGGCAAACGTTGTTGTTTTCATCGGTAAATTTTCCGGAAATCAACGCGATTTTCAACAAGAAATGCCAGAATTTCGCCGGGAAAATCAAAGTAGTCAATCCGATCAGGCACAGTCGTATCAGCCAGGTGGTGGTTCAAGTACCGCACGTGTTCCACAAATTTAATTGCAAAAATGCCATCGATGCCATCGACATGCGATTCGATTTTTTCATTAACAAAATTTTACCCCAGCAAAAGGAGCCTCTGATGAAGCAAACGCTGGTGTTCGTTCAGAGTTACTTCGACTTCGTTAGATTAAGGAACTACTTCAAGAAGGAAGACGTTAGTTTTGTGCAAATTTGCGAATATTCAAAGGTAGAATTTTCAATTTAAATGAACAAACAGCACTGGGTTCATGGGAACTATAAAGCGATAGTTAAATGGGGAAAAGGAGTTATTCCTGCGTTTGTGTCTCTAATAGTTTCTAAGAACTTTATCGATATGAGTAGGACAGGTAGATAATAATAATTGTATTTTAGGAAGGAAAAGTAGCGAGGGCGAGAGACATGTTTTACCACGGAGACGCGCACTTCCTGCTCTACACCGAACGGTTTCACTTCTTCCACAGGAAGAGGATAAAAGGTATACGACACATTGTTTTCTATCAGCTTCCGACGTGTCCGCATTTCTACTACGAAATGTGCAATTTGATGCAAGAGGCCAATATGAACAGGAAAATCGGCAGTTCTTCCAACATGTCCGTCACAGTTCTCTATTCCAAGTACGACGTTTATCAATTATCAGCTGTAGTTGGGACGGAAAAGAGCGGACGGATGATACAATCTGATAGAAATGTTCACATGATGGTAACTGGTAATGATTAACTAAGTACAGAAGGTTCGTTTATGTATATAAAAGAATTAAAAAGGATAATTAAATTCTGTTAGTACTAACAATCCTTTCGGACGTATTTTCAGTGATGCCAATTATTTGTAGAAATGATTAATTGGCTAAATGACTACACTTCTCATGGAATATTTTCGTTTATTTCTAAAAACTGGAGAATATCGAAATCACGTTTCTTATAAATGTACCTAAATTACAAATAAATCCTTACATATTCATCACATACTCGAAATTACCTCGTACTCTTATTAGCTGGTTCTATACTGAAAGTTTACCGATAGGTAAAATTTTCCCTTTTTTATTCAAATCATTCTTATTGACTAGACACTACAATTTCCTATTAGTAAATCTATGGAACACTTTGTTAATTTGGTCGACTTTTAAATATTCCTGTCGTTTTTATAGAACAATTTTTTGATAAAAACGCTAGTTTTCGATAAATCTTCCGGACCATCCGGATAGTCCTCTTGCCAATTGGTAGCGTTTTCTTCGGAAGATATCTCAGTAGGAGCGAGTAACTTGTCTTCTAGTTCTAGATTTACCAACTGTCGTTGCATATCTACAAAGTAAACAACATAGTTAATACTAATATTTGTACAGAGTGTCAATAAAACATGGGTTGTTTTGGGAATGGTTTCAGTACCGTCGAATTCACCGCTGTATTACCGCAATTCGTTCAGCTCGAGCATCAGTCCTCTTTCTTCGTTCTTACCTAAAATACATTTGGTATCCTGAGCCTGCTGGGCTTGTTGTCTGAGCGCAGCCGTCACGTACTTGGACGTAATCTTCTGATCCCCGTTCCAAAAAAGCACGTAGTACAAACTGAGCATAATGGCGGCCAAAGACACGAAAAACACGTAGGCCACCACCGTCAGCACTCTGACAATTTTCTTCTTGTGCTTGGGCTCGTAGAGGCGGTCTTTGGCCTCCTCGCCCGCCAATTTGACGGCGGTGTCCAGCACAGAGGCGGTCTTCCACTGGCCGGAATCGCTCGTCGTCAGACTCAAGCCGTTGTTGGCCTTGTAGGACATCTTATCCAGCAGAAAGTTGAAGAAATGTTTTAGCAGATCCACGCTGATTGAGTTTATTCGAATTTCGTTCGTATTGGAATTTTTGGACGCGGCACGTCTGCGTCTACTCGAGGCGGTTTCGGCCGATTTTTTTTAACGGTAGTTTAATATTCAACCTAGAAAATGTTCGGGCGATCGTGGGCGAGATTCGAGAATTTAGAGAGGATGGACCAATTTTCGTGTTTTTTGAGCCATGATATTTTTTAATGATCCCATTAGGGCATAACAATCTTAGATGAAAACTGAAATTAATCAGTTTTAAACTGGAAATAGCTCGTGTACAAAGTGTCCCAAAATTCTAAAAATCCTCATTAAATATTCTTTAAAATGTGACATAAAAGGCGTAAATATAGAGCAATTGTATAGAATTTACTCTGCGAAAATATGAGGGTAACAAGAACATAAAATTTGCCCTAGAATTATATCGATTAAAAGGGTATTGAGGGCACTTTTTAATTTTTTTGCACTAAAATGAAACCATTTTTATCATAGGCAGTTATGGAATTTTCATTATTTTCACAAATTAAAATATCACATAAAAAGAATAAATATTGAGAAATTTTATCATGTTTCCTATGTGAAAATATAACTCTAACAAGAACAACAAATTTGCCCTAAATTCCATCGATTAACTAAGTGCTAAGTGGGAACTAAAATATATTTTTCATCAATTTTCAATAATGGAAAAACTATATACAATTTTTCCATCGAATTTTCATAAATTTCTTGCAAAGTTATCTTATTTAATATTAAAGCAACTATATTCTAGGCAAACACTTTAAATGAAAATGAATCCATTCTCTCAAATTCCTTATATTGCTAGATAATAGGTCAAAGCTCTTACATCTGGATGGAGAAAAATCAACCAAAACTCATCCGATTTGAGGGGTAAATCCGCGCACCGGTGCACTGTCTCGTTGTGGGGCGATTTCGGAATGCAATTTTTTGTTAGGAAAACCGGAGTTTTCCGAAATTAGGACGGCGTTGTTTTGATTTTAAATGCCTCTCTTGTTAGTGCCGGCGGGAAATCGATACTCGAATAGACGAACAGCTGGACCAGATTTTCACGCGCATGTTAGGCGGGTAATGACCTGGTTTGATTTTCCGGCGCGACAATTTTCCATTCAATTGATTATTTCGCCGCAATTTCCGAAAACGAGCGCTTCAGAAAAGAACTCCCTGTATAGTTGCGAGCTATCCGATCGATAACTTTCGCAAATCCATTAACTATAATGATGTTTACTGATAAACAGGGGTTCAAGTAAAAATAAAGTATCGATTTATTAAACACACTTGAATTCCGAGTGGTTATTGCTTATAATATTTCCACATATTTTTCGTTTTATTCAGTTCATAATCTACGAAGCGTTGATAAAACGGATGATCCCATTTAACTTAATTAAATACGTATGCAATAAAACAAGAAGGTTTCCCGCGTTTAATTTGATAAATCATCCCTCGTCGGCTATCATACCTAATCCCATGGATATTTTTATGTAACCTTAATGAAATTGCCTCGGCCGCATTAACGAAAACTTACAAGTTTTATTAAAACCCGAACGGCATTGAACGTATAAACCAGCTTTTAGGATAATGTATTTGATGAGTCAATTCGTTTTATTCTGTTTAAAGTAGGTGATATAATATTTTACCTTCGTTTTCTTCAGATCCGTTCTTCGGTAACTTTGTTTCGGTTGCGTTCGCATTTCTAATATCATCGTAATTGTGTAGAATCAAGTGCGATTGATTTTCCAAATCTCCTAAATATTTCAGTCCTATAAATCTCTCTTCCACGCTAAAAATAACAACCAAAGAATTCATTAATTTGTAATCTATAGAGCTTTTTAGAATTCGATGAAAAAGTGCAAAACTTAATATTTACATATTCTCAAATTGGAATATAATTATAAAACTTAGGGTTCAGGAAGATTCAAAACATTTCCATTACTTCCAACCTTCCTCAAAATATCCTCTATACACACACTGTGTCCCTGAATGGAGTTAAATTAGTATATCTAATAATACAATAAGCATCTTTATATCATCAGAAGATTAAATACAATTTTCAAAAAACACTTTAGTTGTAAACACAGGAAAAACATTAGTAAAAACAGGAGTTTTTATGAAGATTCACTTTTTTCTCCTCTCGTCAACTACATCCAGAGACACACTGTATATTTGGAAAACCAAAAAAAGGAATTGGGCAACATTAATTTAGAATCATTCTCACATCAAAACGATGAAAAACCACACTATAAATACAGCAAAGGCCAGTAGCAATTAATTATAATTGGATAGGCAATAAACGCTTGTTTAATCGAAGCCGTTTTGAGCGCTCACTTCGCTCAAAAAACAGAGCGTTTGTCCACTCATTACTCACCTATAATTGTTGTAATTGAGGATAACATTTCTTCGAGCCCCGAGGTGCGGCTCCCCGTGCCACATAAAAATATAGTAAACCGATAGAATGATAGCGGCCATCGAAACGCTCAGTATGTAGGCCAGTACCGTCAGTATCCTAATAATTTTAGGCTTAGGTTTCGAATCGAAGAAAGCGTCTTTGGAATTCTTCGATTCCTGAGAGTGGGAGCTCTCCTGAGCACCGTCTTCCTGGGCCATTCCTGCCTAAGTCACGGGCGCATTATTGTGATTGTGCTGTGTTCTATCGCTATAATGACAACGTGATCAAACGCTGGAATAAAAACGATGCTAGTGAGAGTATAAAATAAAGGCATGCAGTGTATGTCATCACTATGGTCAATAAGTACATAATTAAATTTGGAAAAGTTGTGTATAAATATTTGTTGATAAGCTTTATGTAATGAAAATATTTTTGATTTGTTGATACATCTGGTTATATGAGGTAATTAAGAATTGGAAATATTAGTTTTAACTTTTTTATACGACAAAGTTGTATAAGCATTAATGTTTGTGGGATGTTCAAAGGAAGGCACCGAACTTCATGATTATATTCCCTTGGGAACCCTATTAATTGAGTTATTATAGGATAAGTGGATTGCTAAATGAAACGCCCGATCGCCAGATTTCAATTCTTTGGATTTCTTAATTTTATATGGGCATATTTAATTGTTCTACATTTCCAAATATTTTAAAGGCCCCTCGTCGAGGCACCACTCTACAGTGGCCGTGGAATGGCCATTTTAATTAAAATATTTCAGATGCTTGTAAATATTATATTGGGTGACAGGGTCTAAAGTTTATTTTCCACATTATATGTGGATTATAATGTTATAATCATTATAATTATAATGTTTTCCACATTATATGCTAAGCAATGGCATTAAATACTGATTCGAAGTCTACATCAAATTAATAAATTAATTACTAAAATATTTGTAAGTAAAATTTTCAGATGACCTCCCTCTATAATAATTGAATTACAAATATACCTACACGAATTTCGCTGGTTTATTAACGCGAAAAACCGTATATAATTATCCAGAAAACATAACATTTACTTGTAATAAAAATAGTAAAATCATAAAGTCTACTTACATAAACAACAGCTGGCATATTAAATTCCACGATTGATCGAACTTGTTTCCGGTACTTGTTCGGTGGTTCCTTTGTTTTGTGACAGCACAAAAACAAGTGCCCCGTACGCAGATGGAAAACGCGATGATCGCTTGTTATCTTAATCAGCGTCGCGGTGCCTATGTAAACAATCGCGAGCGTCGTCGTGCTTTTAAGTTTGCACACATGCGCACGCGTCTTTTTTTAGTTTTAATGCGATTATCTAAAAACGCCGATCATAAATTCGCGATGTATTTCAGTTGATTATTCATCATCGGCGATCAATTGTTCGAACGTGTAAATTAGTAAAAGGCTGCGTAAAATATTCGTATAATTTATTTACATGTTTTATGAAAAGTATATTAAGGGGCATTATAATAATAAATCGGATAAAATTTCTGTTTTGTGTCTTCTTTTAAATATATAAATGTACAAAATCTAATTTTCAGCGTATACAAATTAACAAATAATTTAAACTAAAAGCCGTTAAATCGAAATGATTGGTCTGGTGAATTCACGTATACCGAATATCGTGAGTAACAATTTCGTGGATTTTCAAAATAAACGAGCTGGCCTCAAAAATAGTTCGGAATGTTAATTGTAAAAAGGCGCATACCGAATGCATCCGAATAACTTTTTTACTCTCGTTAGAATTTTATTACTTTTTACAGAAGATTAATCGAAAAAATAATTTTCTGGGTTTATTTAAACATTTCATTTGGATGCTTTCAGTACAAATCGCTCGTAAATATTTTCGAATATCCACTACGAAAAAGGAGTGTTTGATAAGCATCTAGACTTGAGAAAATTCTAATTAAATCCATAAAACGTTCGTTTGCAAATAAACTGGCTAGTCTAGGAACTTAATAAACAATCCTCGAATAGTAAGTTTAATTAGTGCCCTTAAAAAAATAAACATTTTTAATTGACCATGCATTTATCTATAAATATAACTAAAAAAATGAAAGTAATCACCGTCCAAAAGTACTTTTTTTATTTACAATAAAGTAAAGACTATTGGTCACAAAGGCTAAATGATTTCGTGCTTTCAGCACGTAACTGGTTCTGACGGGTGATTGAAAAATAGAATTATTACCAAAAATTTATAATATAATTTATTGTATTCTGTATCGTTTAATTTTATAAGCAAATTAATCATCCGGATATAAAAGAAAATCGAGCCGATAGTAATTGTCTAAATATGAACAGAATTATTCTATTTTTCACAACACATTTAGTTTCGGATATTTTTAAAGGAAAATGTGCATAAATATAAATATCCCTATACATGTAGCGGTAAAAAAGTACCCTTAATCACAAAAATATAAGAAATCAACCGACACGCCTAATACATTACATTACAAAATGTCCCGCTTAAACGAAACATTACATTGAAATACAAAAGAGTTGCAGAATCGAAACTTTTCTCAACTAAACAACCTTCACAGTGCGTATAAAACTATTACCACAGTCGTCAAGATTTTTTTATAACTCTTCAGGAGTATTCTTCAATCAGTTTTTAAGCGTCCTTAGAATTAAAACAAAAAAAAAAGGAAGGAAAAAAAATAAAACGAACAGAAATAACCCGAAAGACGTTCCAAATTTCCAAATTTGCACTTACGAACACACCTCGCAAATTTTGCGGGTGTACGATGTTTTCAATAAGACGATAGGCGCGTGTGAAATTTTTCGGATGATAGGTAGAATTGGTCAGAGGATGGTGCACCTGGAGAGCCAGCTGGTCGGCTTCTTCTGCGGTTCCGACGCTCGGATTTGATGACCGCCTCTCGGGGGATTGCTGGCTTCCTAAATTTACCCAAAACATTAACACCGTAAAATAAAAAAAAATTAAACGAAACATTAAATCATTCAATTACACAAAACAAACCTAGTGTGCGCTACACTCAACATACAAAGGATCGCCATGATACTGAGAATTTATTAGATGAGGTGCGGTGAATTATAAGAACGTAATGTAAACTGATTGATATAGAAATTGTTTATTCTTGGTTACATTTACTAAATAAATCCCTGACTAATTGGGGTTTTTAATGGAATTATGTTATTAATTTATGGGGTATCACATTAATAGTTTTGAACCTATAGTCTATTCACTGAACTTTTCGCGGGGAGTCCGATATCAAGATTATTTATTGCTAACAATATTTAATTACAAGTTTCTTCCAGAATTCGAGTCAATTGAACTAAATTTGTTGATAAAATTTAAACAACTTTATAAATTAGGGTACTATACACCCTATGAACTATTTATACAATTAATACCATTTATGATTTCAGTTGAAACGATGGCTTTGTAGCATTAACAATGATTTGTACAATTCCAATACAGGTGGATTATTTTCTATTTTATTTTACCCAAGAAGTAAGTTCAGTGAATGGACTATATTGTTAAGTGTACCGCATTCTACAGACACAAACAGAGTAAGCAATTAAATAAAATACACATGCTTGTATACATGATTAGTGGAAATTAGCGAAAATATGGAGTTAATAAATTAAATGAAATAGTTCAAGCCTGATAAAAATAAAAAATAAACAAATCCTTTTAATGTATTAAATTTTGCTAAGCATGCGAACTACAGTAAGCAGAAGTTTGTTAGGGGGGTTAACATGCCTACAGAAAAATTACTATTTACCTTCTGCCAATACACAGGGTGAGCAAAAAAATACAAGATATCATTAGAATGGATAGAAACAAGTTCGTTGTAAACAAAATTCAAAGATGAACTTTGCATTTTTGAACTTTATTTTAAATACACGTTGTCTACAATAATTAGAAAACCATTTTTATTGTCTTACCGAATACCTACCACAAACAACATCTTTTAACATTAAAATTGTTCATTAAGATAATTGCAGGAATGCGACATTTAGAAACTGCCTCATTTCCATTGATTTAATTTTTTAAAGTAATAAAATTAAATCAAGCCTTAATTACACTTAATTTAGATTGAATATTTTAATTCCTTTAAAAATTAATCTAGTTGAATTCGGGAAATCGTTAAAAGCAATTTTGTTTATTCTCAATAAACATCCCGAGCCCACTCGATTTTAATTTAACATGTTTTCCTTGGATCAAAGTCATTTGGAGTCAAACTGTTGATTATAAAAGTTTTATTCAAAACATAAATCTGAAATATTAATTAGATTTTGTTGTTCTCTTTAAGTAAAAATACCAAATCTGAATCTAGTCATTAACCAAAATACTTTCGCTACGTTTGTGCAATCGATCAATGGCCAATACTTTTCGTCCTTATCAACTTATTCCAATATTTTCGCCGGACTTTGCAATTGTAAATAACTTAATAAACTGCTCCACAAAAGTTAAGGAAGTTCGCTAGTTTTGCGATTATTTTAAAAGTTACCGACTTTTTGATCACCAAATTTTCAAATATTCGAAATTAAATGTTTTCTCTCATATTTGAGTGGATTTTTTGCCCCTTCCTCTACAACTCATACTCAATTTGCCGATCAAAAAACCTGCAACTTCTAAATTAATCTCAATATTTATGAACTTCCTTAACTTTTGTGGAGCAGTATAGAATAAATTAATTACCATTCCATTGCGTGCATTACTGTTTTTGATGACATAATTCTCTACGATCTTGATTTGTAGAAGAAAACTCATCTAGAGAATTATATCGACGTTAACATGAAATGAATTAATAAGGAGCGACCACGCGAGATACCTCGCATGAACAACTCCACTCCCAAAAGGCGCGAGATTAAACGAAAAGTGTCGGCCACATAATAAAAGAAGATAAAAGAAAATATAAACGTACCAATTTCTTTTCCATTTTCGCCTTAATGTCTCTAGCTAATGTAAAAAACGCCTCTTCCACCCGAATGCTCGCCTTGGCACTTGTCTCTATGAATTTAATACCATACTCTATGGCAAGTTGCTCGCCCCTTTCTTTGGACACCTGCCTTTTCTCCTCCAACTCGCATTTGTTGCCTAACAGCATTTTCTCCACGTCCGCCGAAGCGTTCTCCTCGATATTTCTAATCCAGTTCTTTATGTTTTCGAAACTCTTTTCGTTCGTTATGTCGTAAACTAACATTATACCCATTGCTCCGCGATAGTAGGCTGTTGTTATTGTTCGAAATCTCTCTTGACCTGCCGTATCCCTAAAATGCAGTTTAATTATTACCTCAATAATAGCTAATATCAGCAGATTTGTTTGCAATATAGTCAATTTTATGAGTTGAAAAAAGAATGATTATTAAAATAACAGTGTTTAGTTGTTTCACATGTTTGACAAAGTTGTCTTTGTTGCACCTATAAATAGACCAAATTGCCTACTTTTATTTGTACTTAGTATAGTACAACTATAGGATGTCCCAAAAGTAACTGATATTTTAAATTTGCCGCCATATGTTCTGTCATAAGTAGGTAAAAGCTGAAGGTTTAGTTTTGTGAATTCGTGAAATTTCTCTTTGTTTTTGCAAGAAACATTTAATGAAAAACTCATGGTTACCTCTAAGGGAGGTATTATCATTTGACCTCCAAAATCTTGTGATTTGACACCGTTAGATGTTTTATTAAAGATTCAAATTCTCAGTTACTTTTGGGACACTCTATAGATTGTGTAAGTGATTATAAAAATGTCAAGTAATTAACACAATTTCTTACCATATTTGCAATTTAATTTTTTTCCCGTCTAAATCTATAGTTCTGATTTTAAAATCGATACCTGAAAATTAGACAAAAATAAATGATGAATAAAAGATAATCTGAATACGACTAAACACAAAGTTAAATAACAGTTGTATGATGGTATTAGGAGATCGAAGGCTATGCAATCCAGCAAATTGCCATCTATTATAGAATATTAAATTTACAATTGAAGACATTTGGGAGCCTTTATTTTCCAATGTTTTATTCACGTTCGTATGTATACTTACAATCCCTTTGTAAATCACAAAAGAATTTACAAACTCTTTACACAGGCTTTGTGTAAAATTTAACATTTTGAATTAGCATATCGTATTTGACCCAGCAGAATAAATTGGAGAAGAATTAAAAGTTAAAATTGAATATTGCATTATTAGTATTTCCTTTTCCTCTTCACATTGGATTGTTAAACACAAAAGAAAACATTGATGATAATAATAACAAGAAATTTCATTATGTTCATTTGACGTGTTTGAAAAGTAGAATTTGTTTATTAACTATTATAAGTGTAACGATTACTGTATTACAATTGCACCTTTAGAAAATTTGATTAGTACCTACTTATACTATATCAATTTGGTATCTTACATTTTTTTATTAGCAAATTAAATTAAGAATGCACTTCAGGCAGTTAAGTAATTCGCTTCACTATTCGGAATGTTTAGAAAACATAAAATAATTATTTACCTAATATAAATGATGACAGTACCAAACTAATTAGTTTAGGTCATTCCAAAGTTAACGTAAAAAATTAGTCATCTTATTTTTCCAGGAGCCTGCATGAACATGATAGGGTAATTAATCTCTAGTTAGTTTAATTGGGGAATATAATAACGGTTTTATTTTGAATAAGAGTGTTTATTAGGTGTGGTTTGAAAAAAAATGTTTTGACCTAACCTAGTTCAAGTTCACAACTAATTCGTGAGACATACCGTACTTTTGACAAAACGTAACATTTCTTTTCAGCTTAAATTAGCGAACTTAACCTTCAGTTTCAAACGTTCGAAGATGCATATGTAAAAATGTATAAATAAATATAACCTGACTCACCTATTGTCGATATAAAAGTTGTATTGAAAGCGTCTTCGGAAAATCTAAACAGAATACAAGTTTTTCCTACCCCTGAATCACCGATTAATAGTAACTTGAATAAATAATCGTAGGTTTTTGCCATTTCTATCACAAAACACTTCGCACTTACAGTCGAGAATTTTTTAATACTTTTTGAGCTCGACGAACTCGAACTTCCAACTTCCTTTTTCTACCATCTATAAATATCACTAGATAATTTTTGTTTAAAAAACTAAATTCCCTGTAATATTACACGTCTCTGCAATTTTGGTTGCATACGTGTTATAATTATCATATGTCAAATATGGTCCTTTTATCAATCAGTTATGCAGTTACATTTATAAAAAAATGTTAATTCCTATTCATATTCTTTTAATAATGCGATTATTTATGGCTTTTATTACTTTGTTAATTAGTAATGATTTCCGTCTTCTTAAATAGTTCTTTAAATAATATATTATCGACCAAAGTTATTCGTGTAGCAAAAAATAAAAATTGACAATAATGACATTGACACAGGTGACGGATAACAACAGTGAAGTCAGCTACACTTCAAAACATGTCAATACGTAAACATAATTTTTAATTTTTAACTCTTGTTTCTAAATTTTAACAATGGTTCTGAAACGATCAAAAGGTTACCAAGATATCGATGAAAATAATGGATCTCTACCGCCTACCAACCCTGTTATGGACGCGAATATTATACCTCAAGAGATTGAGATGGCTTCCGTTTCTGTTGTACCTGATGGTAAAAAGTGCCTTAAACAAAGAATTGTTGAATAAAACTTGTATGTTTTAGATACCTTTACTGTGACACAAGCTGTGAATGCCCTAGGATTTGGTTGGTTTCAAGTTAAATTATCATTATGGACGGGATTGTGTTGGATGGCTGATAGTATGGAAATGACGATTTTATCAATATTATCACCGGCTCTTCACTGTGATTGGCAAATTTCTAGGTAGATAAATTGTTTATTCTTCCTGTTTATTTCGTACAATATGATTGTAATTGTTTATGTATGCTGTCTGATTAATTCTGATGACTAAACCTCATCCTGCATAGTACAGTTATGTTTCTTTGTATTTAGATTTTGTAGGTCTCAAAGAGACATACACTAAATGCTTAAAACCTCCAGTTATAAGAACTTCATTAGAATTTGAAAAATTCATATAAACATTAGAATATTCAAATTCGATTACTTATTCATTTTCTTAGTAAATTTCATAAATGATACACTTAGTCTACTTGGATTCTTGTTATTGCCTTCTTAATTATTTTAGTTTTCAATCTCTACCATTATTATTATTTTATTTTCTTTAAAGACTTTTTCTTTCTTAATAAACTACAAATTAGAAATGCTGAGCGTTAAATTTTTCTTATTTGAATGATTTTAGGTCGGTTTCGCATATTAATATTCAACAATAGTCTCCTAGTACACCATTTAGAACTGTCTAGAACCATTTAGAATTGCCTAGAACCACTTATAACCCTCTACAAATATTTAGAATTGTCTAGAACCATTCAGAACCGTCCACAATCATTTAGATTTGTCCAGAACTATTTAGAACCCTCCACAATAATTTAGAATTATTTAGAACCATCTGCAATCATATACGCTGTAATTTTACAATTGCGTTAATTGTGTTAACTATATTTTATTGTTGCAGGTACCAGCAGGCCTTGACAACAACTGTGGTGTTTTTAGGAATGATGCTATCATCGACATTTTGGGGTAACTTAAGTGATAGATATGGCAGAAAACATGTAATTTTATTTTTTTTTAATTCAAAATTTATTTAACACGAGTTGAATAAGCTAACTAGCTTATGTATGTTTTGTGTTAGAATTTATTTGAATCTATTTCTTCTAGGCATTGACATTATGCGCAATATTATTATTTTACTACGGCCTACTTAGTGCTGTAGCACCCAGTTTTATGTGGCTGCTACTTTTAAGAGGTCTCGTTGGGTTTGCTATAGGATGCACCCCTCAATCGTAAGTATTCATTTTTTTTAGATATAGTTTTGCTTAGATACATTTTTAGTCTATAGAAATAATAAATTTTGTTTGTGTTTGTTTTATGCACATTTTTGTTTGTAGTGTTACGTTGTACGCGGAATTTTTACCAACGAAACAGAGAGCAAAATGTGTTGTCTTGCTCGATGTAAGTTTTCATGCTTTTCTGTACGTGGTTTTCCGTTTTATTCGTTTTATTTTGTGTTTTTTAGTGTTTTTGGGCATTAGGTGCATGTTTTGAGGTAGCCTTAGCACTAGTTGTAATGCCTACATTAGGTTGGCATTGGCTGTTAGCTCTGTCTACAGGGCCGCTACTTGCATTTGCATTAATTTGTCCAGTAAGTGCATTTCTTTTCTAATTATAACAAACTATACATAACTGTTTTTAGTGGTTACCAGAATCTGCGAGGTTTCATGTGGCCAGTGGTCAAACTGAGAAAGCATTAGAAACTCTGGAAAAGATAGCCAAAGATAATGGAAAGCCAATGCTTTTAGGTAGATTGGTGGTTGATGATTCATTCACTTCCAGCCCTCATCGAGGAAGGTTTCGGGACTTGTTAGTACCGTCTTTGCGAAAGACGTCGCTTCTTCTTTGGTTTATATGGTTAGTTTTACAATTAAAAATGTATATTATGTGGTAAATTATGTTGTTTAAGGATGACTTGCGCATTTTGCTACTACGGATTAGTTCTGATGACGACGGAATTATTCGAAACTTCTGCAAATTTATGTTCTGATAACAACGCATTTGTTCAAACAGTTGATACTTGCGCTGCCGAATGCAGGGAATTGCAGACTACAGATTACATGGATTTGTTATGGACTACTTTAGCAGAATTTCCAGGTATATTATACCTGCAATTTTCTTTTAAAACGATGGCCTAATTAAATATATTTTCAGGTATTTTTATTACCATAGCGATTATCGAGAAGTTCGGTAGAAAGAAAACTATGGCAGTGCAGTTTGTTACGTACGCGTTTTGCTGTTGTTTTCTTACACTGTGCACAGAAAGGTAAAACTTCAAAACTTCTAAAAAAGTAATAAATCGCCAATAATGTTTATTTATCAGGAGAGCATTTCTCACCGCGATGTTATTCTTTGCAAGAGGTATTATAGCGGGAGTTTTTCAAGCTGCTTACGTTTACACTCCAGAGGTTTATCCTACATCATTGCGGGCTGTTGGTGTGGGATCATGCAGCGCTATGGCTCGATTGGGAGCCATGATAACACCATATGTGGCTCAGGTAAAGATGGCGATTATTCGATATTGCCACGTGCATTACTTTAAATATATTTCTCGAGTTAGTTTTTACTAAGTTAGGGATTTGTTCAACAGGTATTATTAAAATCATCTGTGACATTTTCTACGACCATATACGCTACGGCCGCTATTATGGCAGCCGTCGGTTGTATTTTACTTCCAATCGAAACGACCGGTAAGGAATTAACTGAAAACGTTCAACAACAAGCGATTTCTGCATCAACGAATCGATGATATTGTTTTTTTAAGTAACTAACAATACTTTAAAAGATGTTGTGATTTACGATTCTAATTCTTTTTTGTTCGACTTTCTATAATCAGACTGCCTAGAAAATACTTTATAAAAAGGAATAATTAATCCTTAATACGCTTTCATGTTTCAGGAGTTATTTTCTATTTTTTAAGTACTATAAAATTTTATCATTTTCATTTTTTATTTCGTTTCATCAAGTTTTTACCTCTCTTTAATGTATCGATCAAACTAAAAAGACTAAAAAAATACTGGCTCAGTATTACATTTATTATGTAGTATTACTAATGCTTTAAACCAAAGGTATACGTACTTATTTATTTATTTATAATTTAATTCGCTAAGAAATGAAGGAATTACGTTGAAACTTTGCAGCTACTTGTACAAACTATTTCGGAAAGTTATGTGAAATTAAGAAGTTTCCTTGCTAATTCCTTAAGCAGATCCTTAGAAAATATATCTTTTTATTTTATGAAAGAACAGAATTTTGCTAAACAATGCATTGTACCTTCTGGTACTTCGTATTCTTTTTTGAATTATGAATTTTGTGAGTACTTATGGATCGTTTCTTAGCTTTATTACATACATATAGGCTGTAGATTTCGGTGATGGTTTATACGTATTTACATTTTTACATTTTTATATATCGATGAAAAACGAAAATTAATTTATTTACATTTTTATAAGGCACATATTATTGATTAAAATGTTATTTATTAATGTTGTTTGATTTATTAATTTCCCATAAATAAATTTACTTACATACCAGTTTCATAGTAAATTTTATATTAGTGTTTTAATTTTAATACATATATGTATAGTGCTTCTTGCATTAGTTTTTTTAAGTAAAAATCGAAATTAATACAAATAAAATGGAAACCTTAAAATATCGTCTGCATTTCATTTGCATTCAATTTTCCTTTGGTAATTTGAAAACTACCTTTCCTGGAATTTTCCAGATTTAGTATCCTGGAACCCAATTTAACTGAAATGAGATTTTTAATCCAGAATTAATGGGAATTGCATAGGAAGCTTACCTGAAATATGAAAAACCTGATGCGTAATTTTTGAAATTGCTGAACTGAATAATTGCACCTTGGGTTATTTTGCACCAGAAAATTTTTAGTAACAAATTAACTACAAATAATTTTGCTATTAAATAACAGTGGTTATTATGCAGCGCTTTTTAGATTTAACTTGAAAATTTAGTAAATATGTTTTTCTAAGGAAACCATTCATGAAATTTTCATCATTAATAACTTTGGGTTTTCAGTGAACTGTCTCCTTTTCATACGCGATCATATCATTTCCCTCTCAGTTAGGGTAACTTAACGAGATAATAAAAAGTTGGATTTTCTAAAGTGGGGAACTTTTAAGGCTATCCTTAACAAAAATCTCGTTCCTTTAGAATCCATTTACTCAGAAAAAAATCAACTAAATCTCATGCATATTGTATATTATACATCATTTCTATAAAAATATATGTAAGTAAAAACAGGTGATTATCGTATCACTTATAAATAAAACTTAATTAGTAATTGCAATCATTGTTATCGAGTTATGTACACGGTGTAAATAAAGCATAAAACATTGATAAGGGTTGGAATTATCACACTTTTGAAGAGATAAGGGCCAGGATTGGATTGCTATGATTACAAGTTTTTTTTTTTCGTAATGAATATTTGGATATCTATTTAATTACAAAAGTAATATACAACATATAAGTAATTATTTTAGTATTTATACAGGGTACATTGTTTGCAACTAATTAATTTGCATCAATTTATTCGATTCAAAGTAGATAATTCTAATAATGTTAGAATAAATTGTTGATAAAATATTTATGCGAATTATTTAATTTGTTTACAATAAATATCAGTAGTGCTAGAAAAAGAATAAATAGTTTATCTAATCCGGCCCTGAGGCTTATCACAAATCCGCTTTCCGGTAAAAATTTCCAAATCCCCATTACTTCACGCGGTATTCCGTTTGCGGTATCGGTATTGAAACCCACGTGTCGCAATCGAACTGGAAAAAAAATAAATCGTCGAAAATCCACCGTTCCTGCCTGAAAAAACCGCCGACACCGGCGGCAATTTTTATTTCGAGATCTCCCCGTGAAAAATCGATTTTCTCGGCCTACACACAGTACGCCTCCGGTTCGGCTCCAGCGCCCCGACGCCGACTCTATCGTCGAGCTACATGAGCGTCGACCAAACATTCCTGCTCCGGCGTCTCCGAGGGACGCGTTTTACTTTTGCCCAAGAATTTGTCCTGGAAAATTCGCGATACATGATAGCCTACGTCAATATGCTGTGAGAGTGCTTCAGGTTTCGGACGTCTGGTAAGTGCAATTTCCACTAATGTTTGCAATAAGGCGTATAAGCGGAATGTCTGACACCTGTTAGGCAGGCAAGGGGACTAGGAGTGTTAAATGTAACCTTGGGTGGCCGATATAATTACGTATGTGTTTGAGCTTGCACCTAATGGTAACCCTTTGACCTTTTCAACAATACATATCAACGGTTATTAAATCGTTATTTGAGCTTTTTTAAAGCTCGTAATATTGTATGTGACGCTGTAAAAGCCAAGCATATTGGAGGTGATTTGGATTGACGTCATCGGTTATAGCAAGCTTCTCTTGAGCACATCAATAATGTTGTTTTTAAAGGCCTAACGATTCATTATAGAAGATTTGATTCTAATATTAGTCTCGTTATTATTAGAAGACTTATTTATTTAAGGAATGTTTTAATACACTATTTACATTATTAGAATATTTGTTTTATAAATATTTTTAAACATTAATAGTGAATATATATTGGGTTTATGCTTATTAATTATTTGTCACTTAATGATAGTTATTGAAAGAATAAATTGTTTACTAGAAAATATGTAGTAGCTTTTTAATTTTGTTGTAACAATTTTTTGATAGCTAAATTTGCTACAACCCCATTTCATGTATAATGACCAATAATTTGATCTTGATATTTACATTATTAACAAATTTGAATGCAATAATCCTGCATTTCATCCTGAGCTTAATGTAATCGAGCATCCATCCAATATGCAGATTTTGCAATTTACCTGCGGTAGGATGCACTTTGAGTTCGTTTGTTGATATAGGATTGCTTCAGCAAGTTTAATTAATGGATAAATTGATTTGACTATTCATCGATATGAATGCAGTTTAAAATATGTAGGTACGCTGATAGGATTAATAATTATATTTAAAGTTAAATTAATGTAATTAATAATTTAATTAAATCGAGCTTTATTTCTATTTATAGGCCATGCTGTGGCCCAGCACTTCACTGAAAATTTCAGTAATAATTCTGTTTTTTGCCGGAAATATACCAGGGTTGCTTTCTGAGGGTAGTGTTGGTAAGTATTACATTATTTTATAAAAGGTGGTTATACAAACTATTTGTTTTATTAATTGCAAAAACCAACAAATAATTTTCAAAAATCCCATATTTAAAAGCTTTTAAAGAGCAACTTTTGTTGCCCACGATAAAATTATGCAAATTTTATTCCTATTTTAATTGAAAGTAAAATATGCCTTATTATGCCCATGCGGCACATTAAAAATCAATAAAACCTTAAAATAAAAATATCAATATTGATTTTTCTTTTGTTATTTATTAATTCGTAGCAGTTGCAACTACTTACTTTTTAGCTTTTTATGTTACAAGGAGGGAAATTGGATTGGCATTCTAATATATTGGCTTAGCGTTTTCAATTTGTAATGAGTTACGACTTTTATTTACAGGATGTCTTTACAGCGAACGTATTTGTTTGGAAGAAGAATGGTGCTACAATGGTAGGATATTTTGCTAATTTATTTTATGGAAAATTTACACAAATTCTTGTATTTGTAGATTTGGTTTTTGGACGTTGTTTGAGATCCTACGGGGATGTCGACGAAGACGACTTGTACAGGTTGGTCTCGTTAATTTTTTTTAAATGAAATCGTTTCCTTTATTACATATACTTGTCTACTTTTAGGTTTTTCCTGGGAAGGGAAAGCCTGCACGAGCTTAATAGCGAACTTCGGAAATTATTCGCCCTAGGATACAGATGGAACCATGGATACACCCAATGCCGTCTGCAAGCAATTTTATATGCTATAAAACACGAGTATGTATTAACTTTATTTTCAAATTTACCCTACTAAAAATGTACCCTTCACAAATGCTTAACATTTTTTCTGTCATCGTTTTCCAAGACTTTGGAATGTACCTAATTGAAGGCATGAATTACCAATATCTCATTAGTTACATTTTTTCCTTATTGCAATTTTTATTAGTTTGTTTTAAATGATTCACAGAATGACCTTCGAACCGAACTCCTGTTCCCATCTAACAGACAGTGATTTAGAAGGCGCTCTGACCGCCTTGGAAGGCCAAGTCGATTTGGATCCGAAGGAAATAGCCGTTATCAAATACACGCCCAGCATTGAGGACGCTCACGCGCCATTTGCCGACGAGGTTTTCTATCCTCCCAACAACAATAAAGCTCGCGATGATCTCAGACAGAAAATCCTATCACCGAACGCCGTAGATCGTAAGCCAACTTTAATTAACATCATTTTCTTCTTCATCAGACGCTTTCGTTTTGCAGTGGACTTGCCCGACCCCTACGCCGATGTCGATTTCAACAAACGCGCCTGGATACCGCAAATGAAGCGCAGATCGTCGGAGCAACTGGATTTCCTGCCCTACGGCAGCGACGACGACTTCATATCTGATATAACGGCGGAAGGGATCGAAGAAGTGTACGCGACGATCGAGTTTCTGAAAGACATCGGTCTGTCTCGCGAGGAAATCTCCGAGTTGCTCCGCCCGGAGAACTACGACAAACTGGATAAGCTCATCGGTACGTTCGGCAGGCCCGAGGGCAAGCCCAAAGACGTGCAGGACATGCTGCGCGAGGAGCTCGAGGCCGAAAAGGAGCTGGAAAACGCCGCCGAAATCACCAGGTTCAATGAAAAGTTCAACACTCCGGACGACTTCAGGGCCGGATGGGAGTCGAAGGATGGATTTCCAGGTACTTATTTTTACACATTTGAGTTACTGCAGTCGAATTATTTACGCTATGTGTTTCGCAGAGTCGAGAATTTACATCGATGAGGTCAATGACGAGGAAGAAAACTCCGAATACGGCAGCGGCAATTCCGTTCCGCAACCGATTTTTAGGGAAAGGCAACAATCGCAGGGCGACGATAAACAGGTTTTCGGTAAATTGAAGGAACATACTGATCAATCTGCTCCGGGTGTTTATTCCGAAGGAGGAGTTGTTTGGTCCGATCCCATCAACATAAAAAGTATCTAACTGTTCAAATATTTAACTAAAACAAATATCTAATATAAAACTATTACAGACGATCTATCCGGTCAAGGAGAGCCTTTGTTGCGAAGCAACTGGGATAATTTGCTGGAAAAATACAACCAAGCATTCAAGAGACCCGAGAGACTGGACGTCAAGAAACCCGGACCGCTCTTTTCAACTGGAAATTACAAAAGTACGTAAATATATTTTCGAAACGCCCCAAACCATAGATTATTTTATTGGATCAGTCGAAGCTACGAAACCGACCAAACCGGCCATGATGAAGAAGGAGCCACGCGGCGTCCATCCTAATCCGGATTTCGAGCAGGCGAGAAAAGAAAATCAAGACTCGCACGACTACGTTTACATCAGCTTTAAGAGCGATTTGATCAACTGGAGGCACGGCCGTCACATCATGGGCAACCTCTCTGAAATTTTGAAATTAGATCCGAAAACACTGGATGATAGCAGGTAAGGTTCACAGTACATTTCTCTTCTCATACCTTTTTGCTCTTTTTATTGTTGTCGCCAATATTTTGTAAACCTTAGGAGTTCTAAGATCATTGTCTAGGTCTTTGAGATCTTTTTGCCAGGATGTTTCAGCTGCTTTGTCCTGTTTACTCCGACTTATTATAATTTTGAGTGATTCATACGACGCTATTAAGTGGTTTTAATTTTAGGGTATTTGGTGATTACATAGTCTTTAGAGTGCTGCCAAATAGTCGCGGGTTAAACGCCACTGAAGTGGCCAAAGAAATCGTATCAAGCAAAACCAACATAGAAAAGGTCGCTGAATTAGAAGTCAAAAGCGTATCCATAGGGAACAGAGTAAGATTTCTCTAGTTAGCTATGTATCAAATTATTTTAAGTAAAAATTGTATTTGGTTCAGGAAAACAAAGAGATCGAAATAATGGCCGCGACCTACTACTCCGATCAATTTTACGTCATCATTTTCATGATATGCGGGGTCTTGGGAGCGATGATAATCGCCTCGGCTCTGCTGATATTCATTCGAAAGCACGTGAAGTTGCGGGAGAAGCTACAAGGTCTCGTCAAATTTGATACAGAAGCCATCAAGGTACACCCAGAAACCAGCAAATCCAAAGTCATCAATAAAGGGCAACTCTCTGGCGACACGATGCACAGCAGATTATCCAAAGAATCCGAGCAAAGTCCTTCGAGCAGATCCAGCACATCATCTTGGACAGAAGAACCGGCTTTACACAACATGGATATATCTACAGGTACATCTCGAGGTTGATAGATTAGAAAATTTAACGCGCTAATTGTCGTATTAGGTCATATGGTGTTAAGTTACATGGAGGACCACTTGAAGAACAAGGACCGCTTGGAGCAAGAATGGGTGGCTCTTTGCGCGTACGTGGCCGAACCTTGCGAGATCTCGATAGCCGCTAAGAAATCGAACAAACCGAACAACCGCTACCCGGAGGTGGTGCCCTACGATCACGCCAGAGTGGTCCTGAACGATCTCATCAACGTCAACGGCTCCGATTACATCAACGCTTCGAGCATCACCGACCACGATCCGAGGAACCCGGCGTACATCGCGACGCAGGGACCCTTGCCGCACACCACTCCGGACTTTTGGCAGCTAATTTGGGAACAGGGCGCCGTCGTGATCGTAATGTTAACGAGGTAAGCCTTACCTAATTCCTATGAGATTGTCTTTAAACTGCAGGATTCCAGATTGACCGAGGGCGGTGCGGCGATGTGCCACCGCTACTGGCCGGAGGAAGGTTCCGAACTCTACCACATCTACGAGGTCCACTTGGTTAGCGAGCACATTTGGTGCGACGATTACTTGGTCAGGTCGTTTTACTTGAAGAACATCCGCACGGGCGAGACGAGGACTGTCACCCAGTTCCACTTCTTGTCCTGGCCCGAATCCGGCATACCGGCATCCACCAAAGCTCTACTCGAATTCAGGTAAATAACTCGTTTCAATTTCACTACTACTGGATTTCGATTAATAACAGGTATTTTAAACCGAATATATTTCCAATTTGTTATACCCATTTAGTTTTCCAATCTTATAACTTTTCCAAGCTTTTAACTTATGAATCTTTGAATCACTCAGTATAATTATTTGATATTTTGCACAGATAATCTATACGTTTAGAACAATTTATCGACCCACTAAAAAAAATCAAAATCCAAGTACCGCCTAATGAAAATTAATTAAGTTTGTCTAACCCTAAAACAACACCCTGTACATCAAATTTTTAAATATCGAATTTCAAATTTGGAGAGCACAAAAAACTGAATGCAATCATAAACTTTTTACTTTTACTACTTTTTAACGTTAAAATGTACATTATGACAATTTTTAGGGGTTTTAATTATTTTTTCTTTGTTAAAATTAAGTTTACTCAACTTTTTCATGGACATTTCTTTAATAAACCGAATGAATTTGAATTAATATTCACAAAAATCAATAAAAATCATTATTATAGATCCGTCCTTAAAATAATTTAAATGATTGAAATTCATTTATTAATTAACCATTAATTTTTGTGATCCCCTGGGTGACCTCTATATAGGGTTAAAATCTTTCCGTTTTGCAATGAATCACACTGTATAATCTACATCCAATTTTGTAAGTACTGCATCATTGTAGCCAACTTAGCCTGTAGCCTCAATGTAGGCCAACTGTAGCCTCTTAATCCAACGAACAACCTCCCAAAAGCCTCTTCAAGCAACCTCCTAATGAGAATCATTTATGTGGTGCAGTAAATATGGTATTAATACATGGATGAATCTGATTTTAGGAGAAAAGTGAACAAGTCGTACCGCGGGCGCTCGTGCCCGATCGTCGTCCACTGCAACGACGGCTCGGGCCGCACGGGCACCTACTGTCTCATCGACATGGTGCTGAGCCGCATGGCCAAAGGGGCGAAGGAGATCGATATCGCGGCGACGCTGGAACACCTGCGGGACCAGCGGCCGCGCATGGTGGCTACCAAACAGCAATTCGAATTCGTGCTGACGGCCGTCGCCGAAGAGGTGCACGCCATACTGAAGGCGCTGCCGCCGCAGCCCGGCCCTGCGCAGGCGCCCGACAAAGAGAAGTAACCGGTTTTGTTTTCTCGGACGGTGTTCGTTGTCCAGGCTCCGGAGGAACGAACGCTGATTTGCTACTCTTCGATCCAACCTGCGAATTGAAGATTGCAATTTCTTACTTTCAAACATCTAATAGATATTCTACAAACAGGATTTTTGTACTGATGCTTCTGAATTGCAAGTTTTCGCCTACGGTTTTACGTTGACACTACAAATTAACAGCGAAAATCAATTTTACCAGCATTATTGATTGTCGCTGGCGAATGTTACCTTTGTTCAAAGTCTACATATCTATTTGCTTGGTTCTGATATTTTTGAAACAGAAAATATTTTGATGATGAAATATTTTGCCCTATTTCTAATGAAACGGGAATCGTTTGGTAAATTCAAGGGATGCAAGTACCAAACGACATTCCACCGTAACACAGATTATAGTAAACTTTGATTTATTTTTATATGTTGTTTACGCTATATCTAAATTATATTTATATGCATATTACAGATATTTGTTAGAGTATATCGATTATTTACATCTATTTATTTATCGAAAATAGTTTGTTCAAATTATTTTAACTAAAGATTTATATTAAGATATATTATATAATCAGTAAAGAAGCCGTTTGAACGTCTACTTTTGGTACCCAGCCTCTCAAAAATACACCTTCAAACGGACTATAAATGTTGACGCTTATAAACAGAGAATATATATTTAAATATTTATCCAACTTGTATGTCTCAGACTGACAAAGTATTGAAACGACAACAATATGGAAACTTATCAATTTTTGTCCAACAGGGAAGACAAAACGACTATACGGTCGCTTTAACTTCTCCAAAACTCAAAGAAGGTATAATTACAAAATAAAATGTTCTATGCTATATTTATCAACTCTATTTTGTCAAACATGTTATTAATTGTGAATTATAAATGTACTGATTCATCAGAATTAGATTCTTAGTGTAATGTAACCATATGTGTATGTATACAGCATACTTGTTGTTATTCTTTCGCCTTTTTCACCATTCCCTTCATCATGATTACTAAAGTAAATTTAAAAATATAAAAAATTATTGAGATACCTCCAGTATTGATTAAAATGAAACTATTAGGTAAGATATGTGCTAGATAATAGCTTTCTATGAGGAAACATCGATCATAAGAGTAAAAATATAAAGTACCGGAAAAGATAGAGGAAAATAATAAAAAAATATACTCTTTTGTTTATATCCTGCAAGACTTTTTGTCATGGAAATTGCTTTTTGTGCGAATAACTAACTAATCTGGAGAAATATTGTAAGTGTATACTAGTATAATTTTTTTAGACTGCACCAAGAAGTTATATTACTTATTTCATACTAAGTTATTATTTCATAAGTTATCATTCTTGCTTAAGGACCAACACAGAAAAGAAACACAACAAACACTAACAGGCCTTTGGTATTTTAAAGTTTATAACTCGTTCAGAACTTAATTAGAAGAACCAAATTATATAAAGTCTACAGGGTGTCTCACATAAGAACCCACGTAGAGCAGGAGCCCAAAATATATTGTTTAACCCAACAAAATTACATTCCTGAGAAGTTAAAGGCATTCAAAGGGGAGTTACAACTTAAAACAACTAAATTTGTTATGAGATAGTTATGAGGGATCAATTGGATGAGACATATTGGATTACCCGATGGATGATTTAAAAAAATTATTAGTTCATTTTATAGGTTACTTCATTTTGATTTTTTTTTGTTTTTTAAAATTCTTTGTCGTTTCAAATCACTATCAATGTTACTTAAAATCGTCGCTAATTCGAAAGTTGGCTCTGTAAGTTAAAGTTGGGTTAAACAACAAGTTTTAGGCTCCCCTGTTCTGTGTCGGTTCTTATGCAGGACACCCTGAATAGGTCACTATTATAAAAGCATCTATTGTATAGTAAATTAAATTCAATTCTTAGAGAAGAATAAATAAGAAATCAAGTTCCTGTTGTTGAGACATCATTGTAAGTTATGCTTCAGTTACTCTTTTTTACAAGTTCCATATGAAATTATTGGCAATTGTAACACTACAAGTTTAGTTGGGAATGTCTCAGTTGATTAATGTTTTTTTTTGGGAGGGTTTAGAGAAGAATTTCTTCTTTTCTTAGAAAAAGTCCATCTCGCAGGGTTAAAAGATAATGAATTAAGATTGTTTTTCCGCACCATTGTGCATAATCATTATACATTGAAAGCATCTTAAACTCGTTCATTTTGTGTACTATCAATACATAGTAAGTGAACCATTCAGTGCACGATTAATTTACAATGATTAATAAAAGACTCCAGAATCCTCCTTCTCCAAATCCTCCAAGTTCGTCCAATCCACCGAAATGCACTGCAGCATCATAAATTCATCGAACGTAAACCGAAATCATCTCAGCCGTCACCTCCAATTCCCAACGAACATAAATATTCAATTCCACGCGAATACGCGTTACATCCTCCTCCACGTTCCCGTTTTTTTATCGCGCCATCCCGGATTATTAACGAGCCCTCCAGTCCGCGTCCGAACGCCGGCTCACCTTCCTTCCGGCGCTCTTCTCCCGATCCCGGTCGCCTCCTTTCCGCTCCCGAAAACTTCTCCAACGCAGTTCAACGGCCATTGCGAAAACACATCCAAATGCGTCGTAACGGCGTTTCGTTGCCACGGCGACCCAGGAGCACCAGTCAACCACGTTCGGAGATATTTTATTCTTCTGATGCTGGTGCAATGAGGATGCGTAAAGTGATGCGCCGTTGCCGGATCTCCGGAAGATTTTCCGAGTCTGGGGATTTTTTTGCCAGTACGGCGAAGGGCGGGGGTGTTTTCAAGGGATGGTGAAGTGGAGGTGGTTTAAAAGGATTATAAAGATTGTTGGGTTGTTTTGACCTGGGGATTTTTTTGCTATTTGGGCGAGAGGGGTGTTTTTAAGGGATGGTGAAGTAGAGGTGGTTTAAAAGGATTATGGTGAATGTTGGGTTGTTTTGGCATATTTGGATATGGATTATTAATTAAACTGATATTTGCAGGAGTTCATGCATTTATATTTTAAGTATTGAATTTTATTAGCTCTATTAATTTTTGCAAATTGTAGTATAACAACACATTTACGATAGGATATGTAAACTTAAAAAAATAGAAATTTAAACGAAAGCACTCGTATCAAATCTATAACACCCCAGTAATTTCAGATTCCCCAATATCGCCTGATAGCATTGTAGATTTTTTTGCGATCAAACTATTTTGATGTCTTAATGTGTGAATATGGGCGCTGGGAAATTTTCTGGGGATTTTCCCGGCGAGAGGTTTGGCAACGTCGCAAGGAGCCACCTTCAGCTATCCACACACCCCAGCCAGTTACGGCTACGGCATCAACTTGGCGCGATTATTGTGCTACCGTTCAAGTTTCGAAGCGGACTGAAAAAGCTGAAAAAAAGGCCGAGGAAGCGGGAAGTAGGGAGACGGTGGAAGTGCGACGTGCATGATGGAACCGGTCGCGGTGCTCAAGTAAGATGATTTTTACCTCATAGTTTTACGACGCGATTTTCATTCATAAAGACGGTTTGATAGTGGATTGAGTACGTACGCGCGAGGCGGGGAATCCTGATCCTTGCCCTTTGTTTTGGTTTTTCTGTTGTTTGTCAATGACCCGGGAGCGGATACTTTTTCTGAAACAGGCCAGAGTATCCGAATTGTTCGGTTTTCGATGCGGTTCGTTTTGTAATTAGCTTAAACGAGAGCGCACGTTGTTTTTCGAGTTTGTGTAACGCCCATTCTGTACGAAATTCGCTCCTGTAATATATTTTTGATTCTTTTTTTTTTGTAAATACTTGACTATTTTTTTTTTGATTGAAATGAATTTGTGGTATTGTAAAAGTATTTATTAGAATGTGAATTTACCTATAGCATTTATTCAGGTCGTTTGCTAATGAAACGTTTGTTTAACATTTAAGGATAATCGATAAATAGAATAAATGTGAGGAAACATATTATTACATTAATTCTATTTTAATCCTACATGACAAAATGACGAATGACAAAATACCTCGTATAATTAAACAACCCTTAAATAAACAATTTAACCATTCATTTTTAAAGCAACCCTCAATTTTCCTGCAAGCGTTTATAAAAAAATTATTTCAAAACATAAGTTAATAACGCTAGTAGATATTTTATCGAGCTACATTTCATTTTTTTCATATTTTACTCTTTATTTTAAATACAGGAGTTTGCGCAATTCCCTTCGTGATCACCTTTCCACCTTTCGATATATTTTAATACATTCCAGTTGAGGATACTCGTAGACTAGATACAAGAGTAATATTGCCAATCATGGGACAAAGAAGACTCAAATAGGCGTGGCAGGAGCGCAATTTTAAATTTTGGCAATCGATTGACTATTTAAAAAAATGGAAAATCATGTACAAAACCGCCCGAAATAGCACCATTAAATTATTATACAATTATCTAATAATTAATGTCTTAATTTATATATTTTTTACTTTATAATCTGTTAATTCGGGGTGCACGATCCAATTTAACAACTCCTTTAATTAAACAAATTAAACTTACATAACATGGATAACTTAGATAAGTTACAATGCAATTACGCAATATTTACTACATAAAATTGTCTCAGTAAAATTGACTCCCGGAATTAATTCTACCTAATGAATTAAGTCCATACAATTACTGCACGCCCTGTACAACAAACAATCAATTAAAAAGCCTCATTCTTGACATGGGATAGATACCACGCACTTCAAACTACTTATCGATTCTTTGTCTTTGGTTTTTCTATAGGATCGTTTAATTTAATTTGTTGATTATGCAATGAACAATCATCGATAAGGCTTGTTTAATTGCGCTTTTATTACGTGTTTGATGGCATCTAATGTATTTCGTTGCTAGTTGAATCTGCCTTGATGTCATTAGTTTCACTTCCGTATAGGGCATAGGGGAACGGGACAATTTGTATCCGCCGTGTTTTTAATAGACACTACTTTGTATTTGATATTAACTAGATTTTTAAATTTTATTTAGTTTTTTTATTTCGAGTTGCAAATTTTGGTATTACGGATATTATTATTAATAGGTTAATAAGTTTATATTGAAAAGTACTGTTTCATACGAGCCTAATTATATTTAATTAACAATGAAATAATGTTTAAAAGAAAATGACGAAAAATATTGTATGAATGACCCACATCATATTTACAAATCGTGCTTAATCAATTGACATCAATATTAATAGGTTAACCTGTAGTTATGTTAATTATGATAACATTTTCGATGTATTGCAAATCGTGATGCAATTAAGTACATAGAAATCACCTAATGGACATACTAACATGATGAAAAAAACTCTAATTGTAGATGTAACAACATTGCCTCCCATCATTTGACTATTTACTTTCAAGAAATTTACAGTACCTAAAAGTTGATATATTACATAAAGTATTCACATTAATAAATTTAGTACATCTTTGTTTACTAACATTAAGAATTAAACGACCTGTATACAAGGCGAATTCCTGAGTAGTAAAATATCCTCTTTAGTTTTTCATAAGAGTGAAATCCTTTGCAAGTTTACGCCATCAGTCGGCGTTATGCATTTTCCTCTTCCATTTACATCCATATGTCAGTATTTTTAGACTCCCCTTCTAGGGAATTACCGCATCTAAATTTGTTCTTTTGACTGCCTTTTTGACTTCTCGCTTAATAAAGCAGGGGTTCTTGAATATATGCAACAGCTGTTTCACAAATAGCACAGGGTAGTAATGTTGAAAAGTGCATTTAAACTGTATTTTCTAATATATAAGGGTCTTGTCTATCATAATAGTTACTAGGAGAAGGAAGTTCAGTTATATCTCTGAATTTCACCTATCTACTAATAAATACATGAGTAGTGAAGATGATATAAAACATAATAAAAAAAATAATTTTAAAATAATATAATAAAAAATTACAAACTTTCAAATGATTTCATTTAATTCTGCTTATAAGTATTTATACATTTTTAATATACTTACACTGTCCTCTTTAGACTCTTCATTTAATTTCTAAATATTCGTTGAATAAAACAGCATTTCCGGCGATTCTCATTTATTATTCACCCTACTTGTATCATTCATCAAGTTACACGTTATAAACTACCTAATTAAATGCATGAAGATGAAAATTAGACCCTTTCATATTTTTAGTTTTTTGTAAAGGACTTTTTCTACAACTTCCAACTGAAAGTCTAATTAACCAATTTTCAAAATACTAATTTCCAACAAAATTTCCATGACTAGAAAATTATAAGCTCTTCAGAGCAAAACAAACTGGCCTTTAGTTTGACTGAGTTTATCTTATGATACATTTGGGTCGTTGACACGCCGCATTCGCGCTGCACGGTCGGTTTCATCCCCTAGGGGACACACGGCTTATATAGTTTATTTCAGTAAAACCATTAAATACCGGTTGATGTACCATAGTTTTCACTACTACGAGTATTCTACCTATAGAATTCTTTATAATCATGCATTGCGTTCGCGAATCGTGTTTGCACAACAGCTGGGTTTTAAATTTGTTGTTTTAACGAACACATTTGGGCACACAAACGAAAATAACCATGACGGGAATGAGTTGGATTTTTTGCATTTAGATGTTCATAATATGTGCGTAAAGTCAAGCGACTGTATAACCTAAACAAAACAACAGGCGGGTTTTTTCAGGTCTTTCTTACAACGTATAGGAATAGGAGTCCTGTAATTTTTTTATAATCAATTTTGTGGACAAGTTTCCGTTTTGCGAAATAAACAAATTCTTTTGGGTGTTTGTTTCACCTATACAGCTGCAAGTTATTCCCCCTTACTCACGGTAGAACAAATAGTCGCAATCCTAGAAATAGAACTGTGATGTTGTAAGTTCAAGGAAGACCAATGTCATACCGGACCGGCTATTTTAAGTTTTAAAGTAATTTTCGCTTTTCCGGCCGCTTGCGAATCTCAAAATAATTCGAGTTGAGTAAGCTCTCTGAACGAGTTTGTACAACAATGTTATCGCCGTGTTATTACGCTACTTTGAAATTTGTTTGTTCAGTAAATTGAGTGAGCTTTAACCGTATGAAATAAATTAGCTTATCCTAAAATGTGGTGCTTCCTACAAAAAATGCTGGTTTTAAATCGACTGCTCAATAAATTTTACTCTGTTAGATGCGAGAACTTATCTATTTTGCGACTTAGGAAGAGCCTGGAATACCTGAAGGGTCGACAAAGAAAAACGTATTGACACGACGCGAATATCGATCACTTCGACTTCAATTTCCCGGGACTGATAAACCGACTTTTCAATTTTGTTTTCATTGTTGTCGATCGATGACCTTACTCAAACACACATTTGTTTAATAAGCGTCGCTCTAATTGAGCTTTTCCGAACGCTACGAGCGGAACTCTTCAGAGCGGGCTCTCGAAGGCGGCCGTAATAAATATTTCGTAGGCGATTGTGATTTATTTTCTAAATTTACCTCGAGCTTATACGTGTTTTCATTCATTATTCACGGTGCACCGAGGTAATAACTCTGTTAGGAATTTATGCGGTATTGTGGTTTAACTCAGAAAAGGGCTTTTCTTTATTCCGATTTTACAACCTAGTTTCTCTATTATGCCTTCGACCTAATTTTGGTGATTATGTATCGAAATATACAATGGGACTTATAGGAGGTTTGGAGATATTTTATTGTTGAATAATAATGAAAAGGTACCAGCATCAATTATGTTGCTTTTTAAGAAATTGTTTTGGAAATAAAATATAGTTTGACACAATTTGAGTAATATATAAGAAGTTTAAATAAAAATTTAAAGAAGGGAGAGGGTAACCTAAGAGAGTTTAATACTCATGGATCGAAAAGTAATTATTGCAGGATTTCCAGTGATGCAGTTGTATATTTTAGTGTATTTTGTAGATAAAATATATATTGTGAATAAAATATCATTGTTTATTTTCCAAACCCTAGCAAATTATTGTGTGTTCGCGTAATTAATTTACAAACCCAGAAAAATGTGTCCTCCGCCACTGTATTTTGTTCATATTCCTACCGCAGTGGCGTATCTAATGCAATTTTCGAGTACTTTTTATATCTGTTTTGCTAACTTTTATTTTCAATTCGATTTATTTATGCGTATAGCGTGTTTTAAAAAAATATTTATTAATCACAACCGACCACCAGGTGTCTTCCTATTAGTAACTCACCTGTAATATTGAAAATAAGTAGGTCGCATTTATTCGTCGAAGATTGCGTGTAGTTAACTAAAAAATTAATCAACACAACGACCAAAGTAATCAAAGAGGTGATTGGAATTATATAGTTTCTCAACTAATCTAAAGTATGTTCTATACCCCTATAAAGAAGTTCATCCGAAGAGCTTAAAGTGATGAAGCTGCTTTGCCTATGAGAACTTTGATATTGGTAAGCAATTAATAAAAACCAAAGTAAAAAACTACTTGTAAGTAATTTACCAATATAGTAGAAGGAGGAAAACTATTAGTAAATACTATTTTTATACTAATTGTAAGAAAGAAATATATTAAATAATTGAAATTTCTTTGTACACTTTACTTCCGTGCATTACTTTATTCATTAGGTAATAGTAGAAATATACAATAACTACCCAAATGCTACAATAACAACGACCAAGAATATTAATTAACGAAATAAATAAACTACCTACATATTATATGATATAGGTATACAAAGAAAACTAAAAACTTTTACTTCTTTTCGTAGGAGATGGCTGTGAACGACGACTCGCTGGGACGCCAATCCAATTTCTCCATTATAGTCGGATCGAAGTCTCTTTTGAAAGAACTAAACCGCGAAACGATCTTCGATTGTTGCACGGTATAATTACCTGGGAAGCTAATTAAGAAGCGCGTGTGACGCACGTCAAAACAGACGGAATTTTTGCCAGTTTTTCGACCGAAAATCGCAGAAAAGTGAGTACACAATTTACAACCATAAAATTTATGTAACTGTAGCTATAATATAAGTTTAGATATTAAGCTTGTTTACACCATCGACCAATAAGAAAATTTCGTTATAAAGGGGCCGCTTTTGAGGGTTGCTTGTGGTTATCGAAGCAGGGGACGTTAATGGAAGCTTTATTGTGAATTCTAGTACTCTTTTTCAGTGGTAATGGAGAACAATTCGGTGTCTCCGATGCCTGAGCTAGCGCCGATAGCGGAATTCGATAAAACGCCCCCGACCCCGCCCGACGACACCGTACCGATGGATGATTTACCGCCTCCGCCGAATACCGTCGTAAATGTCCAAGAGGAGAAAGAAAAAGAGGCCGCCGCCGAAGCCAAAGAGTGAGTATTCATTATTATGTATAGTATAACTTAAAGTATTTCCTGTTGATAGACAATAATTAAGAATTATTCTAATTTATGTATATAGAGGGCGACACAGATAACCGACAAAATATGAGACTACTTTGCGCAATATTAGTTACTTATCTGCAGTTGAATGATTTAAAGTTATTTAGATAACATTCTTATTGTTTATTTAATGGGTTTTGATAATTACATCAATTCTAAAACATGCATTTGGTATTGAAGTGTTAAATCTGTGGATAGATGCCATAACTCGGTATGCAGAATTTATCAAATTTTGCAGGGGAGCTACTTTATGTTTGGGTTACAGTCAAAAGTCTGAAATTGCCAAACTTTCTTCAGTATTTAGTTTTACTGTTATAAACTACGATCTTGTGGAAGTGGAAAATATTTAGTACAACTCTGTGTATTGCGTGCTGGGGTTAAAATGAAAATGTAACAAACTTGTGCGAAGTTTGGGTGGCTCGGCTTTTAATTTACTCGCACATTTTTCGGTTTTTATTACGTAGGTGTGCCAAAAAGTGTCCCAATACGGCGTTGCACTAATTTGCATAATTAATTGTATATCTAAAGCTGTAAATTTCGATTTAAAATACTACATTAGAGTGCGGTAGATTCATGAATAATTTTCTCTTTCCATATTTTATGGAAAATAATGAACGCTTTTTAAAATGAAACTCATACCTGGCTATAGAGTTTTAAAAGATTAGTGGTGATATTATTTTATTGTAAGGGATTGCGTGTTAAATATAATTTTACTATAGATAATAATTCCGTTACTCGTTGTTTTTATTTTAATAAATGCGGAAGTACAAATTTTCTATGCTCATTTAGGTACTAATTAGGCAGGTGTAAAATTTTAATATATACGAGGTGTCCTAAAACAAGTATGGAACTAATATATTTATCAAACAGTATCTATTAAAAAGTAATTAGGTACCTATCTAAATCTAATTACAATTAATGATTATATCTGCTTTACTTTTGGCGTTATTAAAATTTTGGCGTTTTAAAAAAATGGTGAAGGAAATGGTCAAGTTTTATAGCACAATTTTGTGGATTAGTGTTTTACAAGAATTAATTCTATTGCAATAAAACTATGTAAATTTCTTTGAGAGAATTTTCTTCTGCAAATGTACTAGTACTTAATATTTAATCCTATATGTATGTGAACAATTGATGTTTTATTTCAAGAATGAAAAGTGATAGTGTAGGAATTTCGCATTACAAACAAAGCGAAATTGTATCCAATTTTTTAAACAAAGACTAATTATACCTATTATCATTTTTTGTTTAGTTTTGCAGATAAATATTTAAACTCAGTTCGCCTATACATATACATATTCAAATCGTTTGTTACTTTTAAATTATTTTTCGATTGACATCCTCTGCCGGTTCAAACAACTATAGCAAGTGTAGGTATTGATGTTCCGAGCAAATGTGAATTTCATAACTATCTGTCAACGTTAAGCTAAACAAATGGCACTAGCATTGAAAAATTCCCGTCAGGGAGATCCGTCTCGCTCTCATTCGAGACTGTACTTCCTCATTTTGATCCTTTATTGGACACATCCTCTACTCGCTCGTTACTCTGCCGTTTTTTTCAGTGTTTTCGCGCCTTCGCGACGGGACACTTTATTCTCCCGATTCGGGTCGGTTTTATTTTTTACTCTAATTTTAGTCGAACGTAAACATGACTGTCGGATTTAAGTTAAAATAAAACTCATCGTACGGGATCCTACTCTTTGGTTCCGGGGAGTAGGATACCACACAAAAAATGGGATCCGGGTAAGCGAAATTTCCACATTTACATAGAAATTTACATTAAATATCTGTTATGTAGCAAAAAAGGAGCTTCAAAGAGTTTATAATTACGAATTATATTAATTATAACAATCGATAAGCTTCGGGTTATTCGAATATTAATTATAGAGTAAGTAAATTTTAATTTCCTGATGTGTATTTGCTGGCTTTTGATAGTTCATCATTACCACGTATAAGTTACGTTATTTTCAAAATCAATTAATGGTGTTGTGTTAGAGAATATTAATGATACGAATTGTTTATTTAATGCAGCCACAAATTTCCCTTATAAATGAAATATTTATAAATATTTATCTATCATGCAGATCAATAAAAAAAAATCATATATTAACATTACATGTGCTAACAGTTTAATCGACATTTAAAGAATATTATACTGAATCCGGATTATATTACATAATCCAATCTAATTTTAAAATTTTATTCAATTGAACCATTTTATTACCGCATATAAAGTGGCATAAAAAGTGGAAAGCATCACATCATTCTCGTCATATCTTTAAGAATGTTTTTTTTTCAAAGTTTATTTTATTCTTAAGTATACATGTTGATGCCTATAAGAACACCATTTCTGTTTATGTGACCCATGGTATGTATCTGTTCAATGTAACTGCGCAAATATCGTGAGATTAGGCATTCACCTAATCACATTTGCCCGTCCTTTTCTACACAGCATTTTATTAGAACATCCTCTTTCACGCCAATCATGCAATCAAGACCAAATTAACAAATTTAGAAACCGAACCGCTAAAGCAATTTTTATTTATAGGAAGACATTATACAAGTGCCATAAAAATCGCAAATAACATAACTTTACATACGTTTACACACTTGTTGAGTATTATACCGGGTGCAGATTATGAATAATTGAAGCATTATGAGTTAATAAGACTGTAATTAAACTGTTTTGATATAAATTATTAATTTTATATACGTGCACTCGAAACTGGAATTAACGGGTGCAAATTGGGATTTTAACAGAGAGTAAACATATGAAGATATTTTGATTTATTTTCCAATTTATTTAACTAAAATTTCCCAGTTTTAGCACCACTTTATAGTTTCCTATACCTATTTATATTATTTAAAATTATTTATAATTAAATTGTATTTATAGCAGATATGCTATTCAACAATAATTAGCACTTTAATTTTACTTAATAAAAGCTGACTGAAACAATGAGCTTTATGCGCTGAAATATGAACCTATTTTTATTAATTTTCTAATTTAGTAACAAAAGTTTTTCAGTTTCAACAAAAACCTATTAACTTATTAAGTACTTATTTTATTAACATTATTCAACAATAAAATCGCTTTAATTTCGAGCCGATTCCCCGATTTCCAGTCAATTAGATTTGAGTTTTAATTTGAACGAAAAATAAATCGAATTCCCATTACATTATAGCTATTATAACGGCATTACGAAACGAACGACCGCGAAATAATTTTGCCGGATTTTTAAACGGGCGTTTATTAGCCTCGCCGGTCTGGTCATTACGGGAAACCAGAAAGCATGCTAATAATGAGCGTGAAAAATTTCTCTCCGGAGCACTTTCTTTTTCGAACCTCCGCGACAGTCGTATGACTGACGATGCGTGACCGATCGTCAACCAATATCTAATGTTTTAGTCGAAATAATAAATATTTATCGATGGGTATCGATAATTGTGTTGCATTAGCCGATACGGTGAAGTAAATACGGGGAAATCGATGCTTTTCCGTCTAATTGAAACAATGTTGTTTTTGAATAGTTCTTTCGGTTTGCCGAACTGATACAACACCTTGTTGGTATGAAAATGAAAATAGTGTGTTTCATTTAGATGGAATTGCTTTATTAGATTACATCAACACTGTATTATAAAAGGTAATTAAGTAATTCCAAAGCCTTGTTGCTCGACAAAATTAAAAAAAAAACCTATTATTAGAAAGGTTTCGTTATATTCATATAATAAAATTGAAGAAATATCACAAAGTGATAATTAAACACCGTTTTATTTATTACTGCGATGGCAACAGAATAACAGATTTTTTTCCTTCAATCACAATTAACAATAGTGTCGAATTTCCTCGAGTGGTCAGCGCAAGAATTGTAAGCAAAGTAAATTTAACACCATTAACACTATCTATTGTGATATCTGGTGTTAGTCAGAACAGAAGATACTGACCCGCATTTCTATTTATCTAGATTTATAAAAGACGCCCTTTGTCTTCGCTGCTCATTCTTCTCCTTCCTCTTTCTCTATACTCCAACGGTCAGCAGGACCGTCTTCGCGAATTAATTTCCATATAATATCGAACTAATTTTAAGAATCCACAAACATTCAAAAATTATTCGAATTTTAACGTACTTTTTACCTTTAATCCTATCCAAATGTGCTGAGCTTTATGCGACTTTTCGTAGTAGTGTATTAATTTTAAATAAACGAAATTTACCTTTTATTTTAGGGCTCGAAATCGCCTGGAATACGGCCCTGTACATTCGTGTTTTCTTTTTTTATCTATTCAGTACCTGTCTTAAGGGCCCGAGGCTAAACTGCGATGCATTATCTCCTCTCACGTTTCGAAATCTTTAAACTCTCCCATCTTGTTGTCTGAAACGTCAGTCTGCGGCAGCGTTGCCGCACTTGACACGAAAATCCTCCAAATCAAGTATACTTAATCAAATAACGCCTACATAAAAACCTGTGAAAAATTGAAGTGTCTTAATAGGGAAATATGATTAGATGAAGGAAGAAGTTTTAATAAATTACAGTATTGGTGTTTGTATGAAAATTTAGTGGTGTCTCATACAAGAAATGGTTATTAACACGTTCAGTGCAATGCTAATTTTACGTAACTTACCTGACCCATGGGTTAAAATATTGGCTCCTTTGGCACTCAATTTGTTAATTAAAAAATACCTCTGGGAATTCCTTTATATAACATATAAAATATGTATGATAAAACAGAGCTGTAGAGTGTAGAGGGTAGGGTAAATTTGCTTAACAAAATAGTATTGGTCAAAGTCAAACACGAACAAATTAGTTGTATAAAAATCATCATTTTCATCAAAAAAGAAGAAAGAACTGGAAATCTAATGAATAATAAAGAAACGATTTTCAAAATAACTCAAAAAGAATATAATTATTTACGAATTCCAATTAGACATATAAAAAAAATGGAACCAACATTATCTTCACCGTGAAATCTGATTGCCTCATTTTATTCTTCGTTACCACTTCTATTGAAAAAGGTAATTTATATGACCTCGAAAGGTGTTTGAAGTGACTCAATTGTACGACGCATTACTGGGGAAAATGCGCGACGCACCGGCAACGGCGCATTGACCATTTTCATTGCTAAGCACGTCTTTTCTGTCAAGTCGATTTAATTCATTTTAGTCTCATTGGTGACCGCTCGAAAATACGACAAGCGCGAAAGTTCAGTTCTGGCTTAGCGCTGTTTTTTTTTCTATTTCCTCAACAACCTGTTGTTTTTCTCTCCGAGCTCGATCGATAGTTTTGCGTGGGTGTCGTACAAAATCGAGTGGATAAGTCGTTATTTTTTTTTTGTTACTTTTGGATTTCGCCCGGATAATTTTTGATTAGTGACCACCATGGCCAAGAACAAAATGCATTCTACGTACGTACTTTTTGAATAATAGATTATTTTTAATGTTGTATATTTAGTTTGTAAATAACAAAAATAGTAAAGGGCAAGGGTGAATGCCCTTTGAAGTTTATTTTGAGTTTACATCTTATCTATTAACTAAAAATTTGTAAAATACAATTTAAATATGTTAAATACTTAAATACTATTTCAAACGGTTTTTAAAATACCATCAGAAAAGCGCTTTAAAGTATAAAAATTTCTATCGAAAATAAGGAAAATATTAAGGTTTCAATTTCAGCTTCTTCATAATTCACCACCTTTAATAATATAGCACCGCGCGAGTGCATAAATGAATCCTCGACAAATCGCGATAATAAAAATTAAACAAGAAGCAAATTAAAGCAGTTTTTTAAACATAAAATTTAATTTAAATTTGAATTTATATCTTTTTTTCATAATATAGAGACAAAAGTAATTGACTATGATGATGACCGTCACTTTCTTATCCCTGGGGCTCTTTTGTTTGAATTTTTAATGGGTACTTACATTTCTTTTCGTTTCATTAAACGTTTTATATTCAAACCATTTATATTTTAAGAGGTTTATTAGCCTTGATATTGGTTTGGGTTTTTAAACAAATTTGTAATGCATTTAATATTAATGAATTCCGAAAATAATGCAGATATATAATATAAAAACTTGCCTTAAATGGGATGTATTTTCGTGCTTGCAATTACGATTGCGCCCACATCACAAATATTATTGTTTTCATAAGTGCATGGACCCGGTTATTCACGTTCATCAGGGATTTTCCTGCAAAACAACGATAATTCTAACAGTGATAGCTAAATTCATCCTCTCCGATAAAATATATACGGAATTACTATAAAAAAATCAAAGTTACCACGCGCATCTGATACTGAAAGTGTTTCTTCTTGTTAATAAATTCGATTCAAAAACAGTATTGAATTGGTCTATGCAAATTTGCATTTTACATTTCTAACTAACGGACACATGCATAATAAAAGAAACCCGATTCGAGTTTGAGAGGCGGGTAAACGAGAACGTGAATTTTTAACGGCTCGAAAATTGCCTGCAATTTTTTCCCGCATTTTCCTTTTCTCACTAGACGCCAGGAGCGGAAAATAAATGCAGAAATTTCAACTTCTGTGTGAAATTCAGAATAAATCCCGCAACCACAATAACATTCTAAATCCGTTTGAAACATAAACCTAACTTATGGAAAAATAAACTTAATAATATTGTAGTTTGAATAAAAATTGAAAACGTGCGATAAGCAAGGAGTTTCCTCCGCCGATTTTGCATCAGGTGCTCCAAGCTCTTTACTAACACTAATAATTGTATAACACGCGGTACCTACTAATTTTTTTAATGCAGTATTGGGCGTAGGCGAATAAACTATTATCCGTAGGCAGTACCATAATAAATAAATTAGATGCTGAGAAATATTTCATTAACTTCCTCCTCTAGTGGGCACAGTACAATACAACACAGATGTGCAATATTCATGATAGAAAGGAAAATTCGTACCAATAAACGATCCAGCCAGATATTTTTTGTATTGAATAGAATTTGTTGAAAAATGTTCAGATTATAGGTGCTTATTATTTTCAATAAACATAGCCAATTTTTATATAATTGCTTCATAGAAGCGGATATTTACGATTCTATTATGTAAACAATTTTTTATTAAACAATAGCATCATCGCAACGTTATAAATAAAGATAGCTAGGTAATTAATTGGCTTTGGCATAATTGCAAGTAAAATCGTTTTATTAATCCCATATTGCGGATAAGCGGCATCTCCATATAGATAAGGAAGAGAAAGCGATAGCATAACTGCACAAATTATAAATGGTGATTTTAATGACTTAATGAAAATAAAGAAAACGCGCTCATGTACACCAACAAACGAGTTACAAACATGCAACTTAAATAGAAAACTGCAAATTGGAGATTTTCGCCAAATTTGGACGCCAATTAGAGTTAATTATATCGGCAAATTTGTAATGTGGTTAATATGAAACCTCACCCATAATTGTGAATTAAATTTGCACAAATTTATTAGATACCTTTATACTAGAAAATTTATTATACAGTTAACTTATTCCTTTATTTTGCACATTTAAGAAAAATGTAAATCTGCTATTCAATTTTAGCATTAGGCTAGACGGTTTCTTACATTATCGTGTTACATAAGATGTAAATCTCTTCAGCGATATTTATTGCTCAATTTTAGTTCGATTTAGTTGATAGCTCTTTTATTGACAACTCAATATTTATGTCAATGGCTATTACACCTGCAAGGGGTGCTCTAACTTCGGCTGTAACGGCTGGTGAAGTAGGTACAGCAGACGCCGCGAGAGTTGGCAATAAAAGAAAGCCATGAAATTGATAAAAAAATCGAGAGAAAGGGAAAAAGGATCTGTAAAAGTTGAAAAATTATAATAGTTTTTTAAACCATCAAAATTGGTTAAAACTTAGGCAGTGAAAGTTAGAGACATGTTTTAATTAAAAGCGTGGTTACAATTGTCAGAAGAGAATATTTTTTATTACAAAAATTCCGCTTTGAAACTTTTAATAAATACTGAACAATGAGATGATATTTTGGTAAGTGCAGTCTCATTCAAACTTTGCATTTTAATCATCTCTTCGTCTTTTTAGTTACATTCCAATCGTATTCATCTAAGATCTCCCTAAAAAAATTTAAGAAAGTATTACGTAAACCTTAATTAAAACGTCTTAATACTAGTTTATAAAATACATGCATGATATGTTCTAATAACACAGTGTTTTTTTCAAACTAATTACTAATTACTAATTACTAATTACTAATTACTACCTATTCTTTTATTTTCCAAGATCCCTACACATAATAGAACCGTTAAAACACCTGTAATCATTGAATACCAATCAGTTAATAAACAAAAAGCAAACAATAATGTTGATGTTGGTACGAAGATAAAATTATCGAACCTACCCTGATAAGAATTATGTTTGCAATCGTTAATATATCAATAGCGTATTCTCTTTGAACAAACCTACGCTGGTAGTCCTTGGAACACCTTGACTTACCATTACGAAATGGTATGTTAATTTAACGGTTAACAGATTATAAATGATCTTAAGCGGAATTCCTCGGCGAGAAAAAATGCAAAAAATTCACAGCTAGAAGTTACAATTTCGCTATCTAGGTCGAATTTAATGCTTATGTCTATATTCGGAGTTAAAGAATAAAAGATAAAACAAATTTTACCTAATTTTCGAAAGTAAACAGAGCTAATAATTAGGTGTATACTCGCTCATAATGTGCACGAATTTTATTTGTTTTCAACAACAGTAGATATACTTTGTTTACTGCAATAAAACTTCCACGCTCAATCGACATATGTTTCAGTAAAAGTAAACTGAAACGTTGTTTTGCCGCACGAGAAGAATGTTCTGTTAAAAGGAGTAATAGTGAAATTTAAATCTCAATTAACGCGAATTGTTGCATTCGAAAGAGAAATTACGTTATGTTATTGAAGTTACTTTTATTTTCTCCATTCGATGCAAAACGATTTGTACGTAGATAATGTTCATAAAGAAATTGAAATTATGAGCCGAGTAAATTATGGGTTAGTACATGGTATAAATTGATGATTGAAAGGAATTTATATATCCATCTTCTTCACTTAATATAATTTCTTCTACACATTTTTTGTTGTAATTACACTCTTAAAAGGCTGTTCTAAATTTATTATACTTTAGTATTCTGTTGACAAATATTATTTTAGAACTTTCCCCGTTTAGCATGCGGGCATAACTTTCGTAGATTTTTTTTCAATACTCTTCTCTCAATAAAAAACCGAACGTATAAGAAGACCCATAATAGTTTCCTCCTACGCTATCATTTGAAGAGTCATTTCGACTTGGTTCTATAAAAATTGATTATCGTTTTTGCGAGAAGTTTTCTATACAATTGGAAATCGAATGTTCGAACACAATGAGTTTTGGAACAGATGTTAAATGGCAGTGAAATTATGAAATGAAAGTTAACTTAACGATAAGTGCCTTAAACAATAATTATTTTAAATATATTTCGAGGCCGGACGAGAAAACTTTGCAAATGGCGAATTGCTTGTTATCATAGATTAGTTGTTTTGCATAAGCAATTAACTTTGTTAATATAGGTACCGTATAAATTCTATGTATTTAACATAATGTACTGTTCGATAAGCTGGGTTTCCTAGGAATATACGAACTACTTGTCTATTTTATTCATCAATAATGCTAAAAATAAATTGCTATAAATTATTTATAGCTTTATTGATGAAGAATTGCACGATTTACATATACGAGTACATAGTGTAGTTTATTTAGCTATTTGAAACACAAAATACATCATTTTGTAAACCATTTTGTACGAAAATTCATCATTTTTTAAGTGCATTTTAACTACTTACCTACTACATCCAACTTATCTTGTACTTACAACAAATACTATACAATTTGCTCTATCGCAGGTACTTACACGGCCTTGACCACGGTACTTTTTTCGATGCGCCTCTTCTTTATTTTCATCCGGTGTGGCTTGCATATAAGTTTCTTTATTTTTATCGAACATAAAAGTTAAAACTACTAGTATTTCAATATAAGGACAGTTTCACTTGGTACTCTTGGTAGTTTCTACTGAAAAAAACAGGATATGACTAAGTACGTTTAATTGAGGCTTTAATTCGAAGTAACAAGTTTGTCGTGTAACGCAGCATCGAATGCGGGAAGGCAGAAAACGACTATTTATGCGTGTAAAGCAAAATTCATATAATAAGATGATAAGTACAGACCGTTCCTTGACAATAACCAATAAATTTTCGATACAGTTTTGTTAACCTCAAATCTCTACATGAGCAATTCTTCATTCACCAGTTTACTCGTATTATCAGTAAAAATAACCTATTTTATAGAGAAGGTTCATCATATAATTTGAATCTTATAAAAGCAGTTTACAAATTTTAATCGAAATACGAGTATTTTTATAAAAATTTATAATACTAAATAATTGTAGACTTATATTGCCGATTGTATCGATTTATTTAATATTCATATTATTTTCGTATTTCCGACAATTATATCATTTGTTAATAATCTAAATATAGCAATGCGCATCATCGTGGTGAGATAAAGTAATTACGAAAGACTGCAGTTTTCGATTTTGTTACGCTAGTTAACATTCGGCACAAAAAATAACCAATTGCATTTATTTGTATTGTTATTTATTAAGAAATTAACCTTCGACGTAACTAGCGTTATTCGAATATTTTTAATGTTTTTATCGGCGTATTAAATTCTCGGAGGCCGCTTTACATTATTGTAAGATTCAATAAACTTTTTTTGTGACCTAAAATTGTACTTTACCACACACGAGAAACATTTATTATAAGTATAGTCGTAAGGATACGTTAAAAAAATTTTAACGACCTTCATACGAAAAATTTAAACAACAGCCTGTAAAATTCATCAATTATTACCTAATGGTTGAAAATATTAATGTGTAATTGGAAAATTCAATTTATTGAATAGGTAATTTTCTTGTTTTAATCGAGCATTACCTAAGCAATTATTTAAACAAATAGAACTTTGTTTCACTATACCTATACCTACTAATAATACACCGGGGCTGTATTAATTTTATTTGCAAGCTAACAATTGGTAATTTCATTTAGAGCTATTAGAATAATAAGAAAAATAAATAACAATTTTCTAATTCAGTCAATTTGTATTGTGTACGTAGGCAATATTTATTTAACTGTATATTCGCGCTCCAAATTGTACTCAGTAACTTTCCTATTGTACATTTTTGGGTGCTCACCTAGTGTCTTTTAATTGCACCTACTTATTTACGTCGTAAAATTATATGGTAGAATAAGTTAACGTAGAAATAAATGTATTACGCATCTCTGCTTATTGTTAGTAACATCTAAGCAAAAACTTTATTTACTACTTGCATAACAAGTTTAATGCAAAACAATTTTATCTGTGATGTCTATTCCTTGAAATTAATTTCTGTGATAAGCATTTTTAAAGAAACAAAATTAATCGCGAACTCCGATTCATCTTCCTGCTAAATCTCCTTCACGAAGACCTTAAGATATAAAATTGATTGAATAACCCAACGAAGATCCAATTATAATCCCATCAATGGCCACGCCACAACGAAAACTAGTTTATATCCAATTCAGTAAGAGATTCCGGTTGTAAAACGTAAAAATGCTGCAATTGGATTCGGCGGAGTTCCATATTAACTCGCTTACGATGGATCTAACGTCGTCGAAGTACCGCTAGACGACTTAAAAGAGCTACTTAATTTGACCTACTGTTGGGTAGGTATAAGGTTTTCATTCCATCAACGCGTTCGGTCACCGAAGAATTAATAACCATTCGAACCGTGTCGTACTGAAGGACAAACGAATTATATACAGAGTACTCCAAACTTAAGAATAAGACGAATAAATAAGACGATGAGTCGAAGATGACTAGATTAAGAAAGAGGCTTTTTTAATCTGTAATTATATGTAAGTACCAAAGGTACTCCCAATCCAGATGAAATACTTACTAGGTACCTACTTCTTGCGTTTAAAGCTATTTATCAAATTTTATTTTTCCTTTATATTTTCTCTCTAGTTTTTCAACGTTAGTATGAGGTACTTCCTGTGAGTCCTATTAGTATTTTCCTGTATCATCGTTTTGTACAATCGTATGTAGTTGTTGAAATTTAACATTATTATTCATAGTTTTCCTAAATTATTATCTAACGTAGTTTCACTTGGACGATTTGCTAGTTGGTTATCTCGCGAGACTCGGATAGAATGCGGGTTTATTATAATTTGTTTAATAATTGCTGGGGAATGATAACGATGCGAGTAGTTAATACTGGGAGGTTTCTGTTGAATGAATTTTGAACTTTTAATTAGTTTGAAATAACTTGATATTTCGCAACTTTATTACCTGTGATATTTACTTACAAATTGTTTATTGCTGTAATAATTTTTATAGGCAACGCCCGCTGTCCGATCCGCATAGTTATTAATTAACTACGTTATCTATTGTTTGAGGAATTTTAAGCAGTCGATATCTACAAATATTTAGTCATTAATACAGGATGATTCTTTTGTTTGTGTCTTATTTTACTTCTGTGAATGAATTAATGTTTTTAATTAAAAATGATGATGAAAAAAACGGAGCAAACCCTAAATTACAAACTATTATTAAAAAAAACTGCTATATCATTTTTAAATCATTATCAATTTGATGATATCGAAATATTCGAAATAAAATATATTTTGGTTTCTATACTTCGAAATTGAGATAAAAATTAGTTATCATCACATAAAGATTAACCAATTAATTAAATAAAACAGCAGATTTTTATATTTATGCAAGCATTATCTCCACTCTGTATAAAAAAGTATATTTATATACTTATCAAATTACCTTGGAAATGTAAAAACGTAAAGCAAGTAAAGTATATTGTGCATCGAATACTACCTACTTTACACTTGAGAAATTAAAATTGTTCAAAGTGGTTTTGTGTGTTATTTTGTCGTGATTTTGAATTGAATATCAGTTCTATTAATGCGCCAATAACCATTAAGGTGATGTACACTGGTAGTGACAAAAAAAACTCGTGTGTATTCGGTTACAAACATCACTTGCTACTTAGGTAAGCGACGATTTTCTATAGGAAAAACTAAATGTTTGTTCTATTTACAACTTTTTGGCATATTTATTAATTCAATCTAATAAATTATAACCTGCAAAATCATAAATCGTAATGATGATACACGTTTGTTAATTTGTTAATAATTACTTTAGTGGGTTACATAAATTTGTTGATTAATTTGCTTAAGATTGGAAATTTACGAACTTGACAATAATATTGTCACGCGAATTTCGTAAATTCTCGGTTTATTTCTAACTGTTAATGATAATTAGGTATTCCTGCCCAATTTAGCTTCTTAATAACGTTGAATAAACTTGTTTAAATTAAAACAAGTCAATTATCTGGTTCACAGGGAATTCTTTATAGTCGGGCTTATTTATTTAAACAAGACCCGAATAGATAAATCAACCGAAAGGCTAAACGTAATCGAGTGCAGCAAAGTGAACGTACTACATCTGGAATATTCAAATACGAAACTACGGGTGTTTTAGCATTTACCATAAAACATTACGTAATACTTTCACAAAAATGCTGAAGTTCATTCAACTCCGCCTGTTTTTGTGCTGCTCAAAGAATCGGCTCTTCCGTTTTTCTTTCACAGTTCATTAATAAAATTTCATTCATTCCACCTATTTAGGCTCGGAATTAATTCACGTCCTCAAAACGAAATTGTGGCTGACGGGATGTGACCATTTCAATTTTTTTTCCAAAACGAGATAATTGTATTACATCTCACTTTGCATTGCGTGTAGAAAATGTACAATTTGCACACACGATTTAGTTACCTAAAAGTGCAAAAGGTTAATTTGATTCTCTCGTTGCAGACATCGACATTACGAAGAGGAGAATGAATGGGGCTGCGGCAGCTGGTTGGAATACACCCTGGTGGTGGTATGCGCCAGCATACTGCTGCTCGGATCGTTGGCGCTCACCCTCTTCTGGGTGATACAGTACCAACACGGGTTCGCTTGGAGGGAGGATCCCAGGAAAGAGTTCAACTTACATCCCGTTCTTATGGTGGCGGGTTTCATCACCTTCAGCGGATTTTGTAAGTATTGTTTATCTGTAAGTTGGATTGAAACTAATTTGGTTTGTTCGTTTCCTTTGCAGCTATACTGCTGTACAGGATATGCAGATGCTGCCGGAGGATCTACGTTAAACTGTTGCACACTGTGTTCCATGCTTTGGCCATTCCTTGCGTAGCCGTTGGATTTTTGGCTGTATTAGATTCGCATAATCTCGAAAATCCTCCAATTAAAAACTTTTATTCGCTGCACAGTTGGATCGGTTTAGTTACTATGGGATTGTTTGCTATACAGGTAAAATGTTTAAAATTTTATACCGATAATAACCACCTAAATTTAAGAGTTGTTTGAGGTAATTTTGTAGATTAGAAATTGTCCCAACGAAAGTGTTATAGATGAAAAATTAACCGAGCTGTAATAACACAAGTCGGGCATTGGTAAATTACGAGTATTTTAATGATTTATGTTCCCTGCCAATCAAAATTTTACGATATTTGTCGGTCGAAGAGAAATCCACCGAACACTTGACGGTGCAAAGTCAAAAGACGAATTTTCACCGACATTGATCTTAGAACGGTATTAAAAATTCATGTATTCGCATAATTCAGCGAGATTTCGAATCTCGGCGTCTGGGAAGCGCGATTTTACGATCGCTCGAATAATACGGAACCAACGAGAAACTGAGAAAATGAAATTAGCATTTCGCAAACAGAGAATGTGCCGTTTACAACAGGCGTTCCAATTAAATCGTTCGTTCTTTCCTTTTAATTTCAAATAATTAAAATGCAATCCCGGTTATTTCTACCAAGCAAACAAATAATATAACAATGGTAATTGAAACTTAATAATTAAATCTGTCACTGTTTAGAATACTCGACATTTCTATAATTCAAAACACTTACAAATACTCCGAACATTTTAATTTATTTGTGAATTTCTGAACAACAGGTGAACATGTAAAAATGCAAATTTATAACTGCAAATTAAGTGGTGGGTAATCCTAAATAAATTACCGTTAACTGTCACATGGTAGATTTATTTTTATATCTAGATTCCCCGTACAAATTTGAACATTTTTATTATATCTGTCGAATCTACCCGATTTTCTATTCGAGAACAAAGAAGTTTTTAACTATATTCAATGTCATTTAAGCAACAACTGGCACCTGAAGCCCAAAACCGCGCACCAAAACGCCCCAACATCTCCTCGAATCCGATTTGCACGTAATCGCCTCTTCGCCGGCCAATCTCGCGCAACATCTGCACGCTTGCAGACTTCGGAATATGTAATTCAATTGGGCGATTATGCAATTGATTTAAATTTAGGTTAGCACTTAGCGACCACGTATATCACACGGAAAGGCGGCAGAGGTATAGGCTAAATGTTAACGTAGGCGTATTTTTTTATCCGAATCTACTCGTTAAGTCTTCATAATTACCGAATCATGTGAATGATTCAAACTTTTACTTAATCATTGCCGGCAATTGCACCCGGAGGGTCGACGCTGGTTTGCCGTTATTGTGATAAATGCGGGCTTTCCCTTCTTGTTTGATATTCCACGAGATGTGTTTTACATGATAACATTATTAACTATCACACATGCGCTGTTATTTTCTGTTTTGTATGCTGTACATGATTGAATAGAATCTGCCCACTTGAACCTTCGTGTAAATTATTTGGTTACAATAATTGCATTAAAATATTAATCGATTGGCGGAATAATTGAAGTGTTGTAAGATAATTGAATACATGAGTAACTCCCTGGAGTAGTTGATCAGTGGAAAAAAATGTTTATAAAAAGCCCTGCTTGTCGAGAACATAAGTTTGTCTTATTAAAATCTGGAATCTGATGTGTTGCTGATGTAAAGAAACATTAACATGTGTCGAGAGAGCAGTACCAGTATTAAACTTTTTTAGAGCTAAATTAAAAATTAAAAAAAAAACAAGTTGTTTTTTTTTTAATTTCAATTGATACGTAAATACAAATTTTCAAATTTTAAACTTTTATAATTTATCTAATAACACGTCCTATGGTGCTATGGTCAACTCCATCCAGGTATATTCAGTGATCACAATATGAAAGTATCATTTTTTGACTAACTGTTCATAAAATTAAATTTTGATTCTAAATACATACCTATATGACCCAAATTTCACCAGCTCTATCTGTATATCAATCGATTATTCTGCTATTTAACCGGCTTTATTTTTTTTTTAGTTCATCGTTGGTTTCTTCAGCTTCCTGGTGTTGCTGTGTTGCGAAGGAGCCACGGCTGGATTTAGAGCGGCTCTTGTTCCAATCCACGCTTCATTCGGACTAACAACATTCATGTTAGCTATTGCGGCCGCTCTAACTGGTCTACAGGAGAAGGTTTGGTTTTCGCTAAGGTACGTATTTTTTGTGTAATGTTCATTTAGAAATTACTAACACGTTATTCCGGAATTTCACCTGTTTGTTACAATATGTTCACGATCGAGAGTCAACAAATCATTATGGAACTATTTTCGTTTTTATGCACAATTGAAACGCATTAAATAATATCGATTAATTTTCCAACTTTTCGTAAAGTAACACGATAGTTACATATAGAATATTGCATCCAAATTATTCAACAATTCCAATTTGGAATTAACTTGTTGGATCGATTTTACCCGCTAACGTTTCGGCATGGCTTTTTTTTGTTAGGTATATATTTCCGAAGTATTCGGAATGCACTTGTTGGCGATATTGCGTAACCAATTCGCAACTTTCATTTGATACACGTACACATAAGCTTAAAAGTCAAGGATTTCCGCACGGTAACTTGTTTCGCTTGTATGCTAAATTTTGTACCCGGTCTCCCAATACAACAGGTTCGGTTTCAATGCAACAACAATTCGGTAGAATGTCATTGAGTCCGCGAAATATTGATACTTTATTCGTGGAATTTTTTAATGATAATCGCAAGGAATTGATATTAACACAATATTAATATAGGTAAGCAAGCATCTTTATGAGAATTGAATAAATTCAAGAAACGTATGAAAAAGTAAATCCAATAGATTTCAAATTGCAACACTATATACCCATAAGCGTGTATTAATAATCGCCATCATTGTGCATTCATTAATTATTTATAGCAGCTCGTTAACGTCGAGGTACGGTAGAAAAATTTTGATTCGTTTTCCGTATTCAGTTGAAATTAATAGACGTAGCGACGTGATAAATTGCTTTTGTTGTATAGGCAGTTAAAAGTCACACCTATTTCGCTTTAACGAAAAAGGATCTTTATTTCAACACTTTTAGTAGGTCACAAAACATCCGAAATAATCATCAACAATACTTTAAATTTAATTCACGAATAGAAATAATCGATTCATCGAGCTTTATTGATCAAGTGAACATTGAGGTTTATTTTTAAAATACCTTCGATTAAACGATTCTAACAATGTATGGGTACCCCAGTAATTTGTTTGTTGGCGTATCGCGTTTGTTGTTCTTGTTTTATTTAATGTCAAATTCGATTACCTTCCTACTTTAGTCTCTGTGTAAAAATAGAGTAAAAATGTGTCATTAATCTTTAGCGACGTTACAGTTTTAGAAGCCTTAATTACTTGTTCCCGACTGGTTTGTCCAATTTAAGACCCGATGACATATTAATTACGCGAAATTTAGTCTTCGCGAAAAAAATACGCTGTAATAAATTAATAACGTCTATACAGTGTGTCTCAAAAGAGACGCAATAGCAGGTGTAACATACACCTTCAATAAGTTCCCTCTTTCGGGGACACACAAGTATGTGTCTAACCAAAAGAATTAATAAATTTTTTGGAAGTTTACTAACATTATTATTCTACAAGGTGACTCGCTTTAAAGACTTCCAGTTGCAGAGTAATTAAAGAACAGAATCACCCTGTAAAATAAACAGCTACATATAACCCGACAAGGCATGAGAGACCACAAAAACGCACGGTACTTTTAATTTGTAAAAAATAGATTATATTTAACTCTTCCTTGTCGGGTATGAATTTACGTTTGCTTTGCTTATGTATGATCTAATTTTTTATTTCTTTTTGACTTGTTTAGAGATCGTTATTCGCTTCGTGACGAAGAATCCATCGTTGTAAACACAATTGGCATGTCACTAGTGGGGCTTGCAATCGTAATGAGTTACATATTGCAAAGAGATGAGTTTAGATTTAGGGCGCACATTCTCATACGCTCAGGAGATCTCTAAAAAACCGCTTAGCATTATTTTGGATAAAGATCTGCTTACTTTTATGTATGTGTATGTAAAGAGGAAGGTTCGTTTTATCGAAAAAATTCAATTGAGCGATTTATTTATTTTTGGTCAGTCGTGAATTTTTTTATTTACTTGCTGTTTTTGTGCAAAAAATGTATTAGCACGTTTATGGTCACCTATAGCTGTATTCTAACATGGCGCCTGTATAATTCTCTAAATTTGTTATTTTTTTGTAACTACTTGGAAAGTTCTGCAAACTTGGATGGGAAATCATTCTTTGTTCGAGAAAGTAGAGCGGCGTATACAGCTTTGTTGGCAAACGTGTTAATTTCGATAACGCAGGCCTTCACAGAACTTTGCTAGCTTCATCATGAATGTTTTTATTTTAGATTTTATGAATAAGACAATAATTAGAACTCTGTAGGTGTTAAAAACACAATTTTCTGTATGTTTTTAATTACTGTAGGTGTATAAACTTTCAGTAGTTGACTGTACATTTTACTGATAAATCTGTGTTAAATAGCAATAAGTGAAATATTCATCATTACAACTACCTATAATATATTCTATAGATAGAGGATAAGTTTTTCTTTAGTGGTATTTTTTTAATACTCGTAGAAGATGCAGCTGTTGATTTTTTATGATAATAAACGTGACAATTACTTTCTTTAAAATTTTAATATTATTTCAAAATAACCACGTATGTCCCTAATAAAAATGTTGGCATATAATTTAGCATTAATTAATTGATTTACACTTTTATTTTTGGACATACGTGGTAAATATTGGAAGTAAGTATACCGCTTTTAGCTTATTGCATGATTCCACGTAAAATACTCACTGAAAGCACATTTTTCACGCATTATCCCATTAATATTTTAAAAACCAGAGCTGAAAAACAAACCTATAACGTTTAACTGAAAAAATAGTACTTATATTTAAATACCCTTTTACGATTTATAATATAAGGCTGCATGAAAAGTAAAAAACCTTACAAACCAACAATAATTGGAGTGAATTTGCTCGTTCTTGACACCCGCTTAATAGTTAACAACTGTAAATATATTAACACCTAACTAACCGTATTTCAGGGACACGTACTCGGCGACCGCCTGGCCAGAGGAGGGAATCATCATAAATTCTTTGGGCATGGTGTTGGTTGCTCTGGGGATCTTGGTTTCCTTCGCAGTGCGCAGCCCGACGTTGAAAGGCCACACCAAGCTAACGGTGACCGACAGATTGTAGGAAAAGGCGCTGTCAAGCGCCAAAGTCTCGGACGTGAACGCCACTTTAGAACCGGAGAGGTTCTAAGTTTTTTCGATATTATTTTAGTTTATTTAAATAATGCATGTGTAGTTTAGTAGGTTTCTGGTTTGCCAATGCTTTCCGGCCGATTCGCGCCGCGGAAGATGTACTAATAACGGTTGTAAAGGGGACGATGAGAGTATATTTCGACCCCGAAATAATGTTTACAATTGGGGACGAGCAGTATATTTATCCGACTGCAGAATATATGTATGCCAAAATGTTAGATGTAAGTTCATTAAATTTAGTCAATGGTAGGTTAAGATTTAATAAATTAATTGTTGAAGTTTGAAATTTTGTAAAATCTCCGAAGCGCAAATCAAGAACGAAGAAAAAATATGAACTACAATGTAAGGAGTCAATTTTAGAAATACCTAATTATTCACTAGTTTAATATAGGTATTGCGTATAACTCAAATCAATTGTCTACTTCTCACACAATAAATTTTTACAGCAGGAAAATATTTTTTGCTTCACATGATCTGATGATTCAACCACAACCTGCGACCTTCAGGAATTTACTTAAAATTCATATACAATTGAAAAATAATTGCTTTACTAATCTCTATTACCCACAAAAACAAGACTAGAGTATTTTGTTAAACCAATAAAAACAATTTAATTCTCCATCGGATTTATCTCGGAGATTTTATAAAATTTTTTGTTTGAACAAGTCTTTACGCCTCAAACGGCTTTTCAATCAAGAACATTCCTTCTAATTGAGAGAAAATTCCGAGATATCGGAAAGGTTAATTCTTGTCAACGCTTGGATTAACTTTTCAGATTCTCTTAATTTGGAATCATTAGTTTTATAGGTAAATCGCTTTGATTCCGTCGTGTTCGAGATGATTTTTTTTATTACATTTTTTAATCATTTCGATAGTGTAGAAAATCAAAGCTAATATTATCTTAACCAGACTTAATTAACTAAAAAAACCTGAAAAAGTGTACACGTGAATTAAACAACGGTTATTTTAGTTGATTGAATATTGTTAGATGATTGAAACCCACTAGTTTAGTGAACAAGTATATTAGTCGTTATTTTATACTGTAGTAGGTAATAAATGTGTGCATGTGTAAATCAAAAAAAAATTAAGCTCAAAAAGTAATCAAAAATCAATACTCGTGCGTGTTAGATTAGTGGATAGAGGTAATTCATGTTAACTAATAAGCGTTTGCAAGGGAAGCGATAAGATCGACAACCCCTTAGCGGTTTTCTTGCAAACAAAATTAGGCGTTACGGTTGTTTTTAAGGTATATCTGTTTTTCGATTGGCAAAATGAATTGTTTGAAAACGACGAATGAGTTCGGACGGGACATTATCGATGAACAACGGGACGTTTTGTTAATTTCTTTTTTTCTTAAAAGAAACTTTACGTTCAGTGCATATCCGAGTGTCGTGAAACTATGCATTAGTAACAATTTATTGGACGTTTTTGTTAAATGGATTCCGTGGTTTCCGTACTATTTATAAAATTTTAACGTTTAGAGTTTATTTTATCGAATATATTTAAAGTACAATTTATTTAATGGACCAATTTTAGAATTATATATATTGTTTGTTGCGATATTGATATATGTTGCATTATTTGTTATATTGATATACTCTACTTCTTATGTTATTTAATATATTCCAGATTTTTAGATGTTAAATTAATACTATGTAAGTTATTGATATGTACAAGTAATGTAAGTTTTAATAAATGTATTCTCCAGTTGTAATTATATTTTTATTTATTCCATTGGAAATTATACTTTTGTTCCGCTCCCTCAAAATGACTGTTTTTCCTAACATAATTATGAAGTAATAATCTTAAATACACGTGTAATAAATAAAACAAATTATAAACGGAACCATAAAATTTTTATTAACAGCTAAATAAATAGCCTATTATTTTAAATACATCTTCATAATATCTAAAGCTTCAATAAATAAAATACAGTTATCGAAGTAAATTCACTGGCCTCATAATGTATAAGTTATGGATAAAGCCAGATAAACGACTAAACCTAGGTTTACCCGGGTAAACTGTGAAATATCCAAGAAACATGGGTAAACCTAGGTTTAGTCGTTTATCTAACTTTACCCGTAACATATAATGAACGCCTAAATTAAAATTTAGACATTAGAAAAAGCTTTGGCCTTATTCGGATAAATCAGGAACAGAGTAAGCTGGAACCCGGATAATAAGCTTCCAATGAGATTTGGAATCTGCAAACAAAATTCAATTCTTGAAATTGTATTTATAGTAAATAACTTTGGCTCACTTGTATGTACGTATCCTTGAGAACAAAACCATAAATGAGCCATTGCAAGGAAACGATAAACGATGAGAATATTAAATGATATGGAAGGCTCTCTGTACTTTTAACTCTAATAACGTGCAGAAGAGAAGCAAGTGGAGCCGCAAAGAATACTATGGTAACTCCACTACAAATTAGACCTAAATGGGTCCTAACAGTGGCCGGGTCATCACCTCTGTGCACATGTAGAATGATTATTATAAACAGTAGAAAAGAGCACATGAATTGACGTACGATAATTGTCTAAAAAACAAAATGTTTAGAATATTTAACAGCCAAACAACTACATTTGTACTTACTTTATTTAATGTATACCAATAGAATGTTACTACGTATGCGAAAAATAACGTAGCGCCGATTGTATTGACTAATATTATGGAACTATCGTCGATTAGGAACCCATATCGCAGCCACAAGCTGCAAGATAAGTACCCGCTGGTAAATGGAAATGAGGAAATGTCCCCAGTGCTTCTATTTTGGACAATTTTCTGACATGTTAATCTAGAGAAAAATATTACCAAATATTGGAAGATACCTCGGTGAATTAAATCATTATATTAAATTGGTAGGTACTTACGTTCCTGTTAAAAATTGCAATATTGTGCACACGGATGCTGTCGTGGCTAAAATGTTTTTGAAATCGCTTTCGTTCATTTTTGTTTGCAGAAAATTAATAGATTCGTCAAACGTGAGATCTTTATAGACAACCAAACATTTTGATTAAATGCAGCGCCCTGCAGAGATTTTTAATCTTTTATGCTGACATTCTGAAATTGCCCACGCAATTTATGGTTATTTTTAGTAGATAACTTTTAAACCAAAGTGAAAAATACCTTCAAACCTCATTTACACATTCGATAATTGTTATTTACAACAATGTTTTTTTCTTCTGTTTCCTTATAAAAATTAGTAATTGGAATTGGCAATTGGTGAATAATTTCGATTAATCGAATCAAGTGTAGCAAATCGTTTACCTTAATATTTATAGTTTTCTGTTAATTTTATTTTATCTCGCTATAAAATAATCAATAAACATATAACGAAACTTCACTAGTGTTTAAAATGAAATATGCCCTCATAACTAAGAATTCTAAATTAAAAGTTGAATCGATTAAATAGAATCGAATACTAAACACGAATTCGCAGTTCTGTCATTGTCAACTGTCGTTGTCATTAGTGTCATTGTCAAGATCAAGATTGTTTAAAAACAAATTACTACAAAAAAAAACACGGTTATTTCCATTAGTTTTTCAAAAAATATGTGATAATAGAACAAAGTTACTCATATGGAAGGAATTTTGTGGAAATGGACTAATTATTGGAACGGTAATTAAATGATTTTAATGAATTAATAAACGGCAGCCCTCTTATTGTAGGATGGCAGACGAGATGGTTCGTTTTAAAAAATGGAATTCTCTCTTATTATAAATCGCAAGATGAAGTCAACCAAGGTTGTAAAGGCTCTCTAAAAGTACAAGCATGTGAAATCAACGGTAAGAGTTAACATTCAATTTTACCTACCTAAATTTATTTGCCCTCATTCAGCGCCTCTCTTTAACCTTAAATATGTATTTAGAGAGTCTCTTTTACGTAAACATAGACTATAGTTACTCCATAACAACAATGTACAACTGTCAACTTAAAGACTTGTCTTTAACTTTTACAATGAGGGGCTGAATATGAGCCCATATGTTAAGCCCCGTTTAATATTCAGGGATTAATTTTTAAGCATTGATTATGTTTTAGTCAACCCTGTTGATACAACACGAATGGATTTGGTTATTCCTGGTGAACAGCATCTCTACCTACGAGCAGCCACGTCTCAAGAAAGGCAACAATGGTTGGTAGCTTTAGGTAGTGCGAAAGCATGTATAGAAGGCAAAGAAAAATTATGTAAGTTAATTAATCATCGTGATTTGTTATATCAGATATTATTTGAGAATTACTTTCAGTTGAATCTAATCCGGACACTTTGAAATCAAAGAAATGTGAATTACGATTATATTGTGATCTACTGATGCAACAGGTTCACATAATTAAATCGTCCACACAAGATCAAAATCGGCCTAATATTGAAGTGAGTTGTTGTTTCGAAATTTTAATCGTTCTATTTTAACCCCTATTTACAATTAATTTACAGGAAGTGGACGAGGCTACTAGATCATTAGGTGCAACATGTGATACATTCATTAAAACCCTCGAAGAATGCATGAATCTATCGAATATAGATGTAAAAAACCCGTCGACTCCAAGTTGTGATAATTCATTTCCATTGCCAAAAACAATTCCATCCAATAGAAAGTTAAGGTAATATCATACAATGTACTATGACTATTGAATTATTGTACCTTATGAGGAATAATAATGGCTTCTGGAGACACTAAATGAGACTAAAAGAGACACACCTCTTTAAATAATTTGTTGTTAAAATTGTAGCAGAAAATTTGAAAAAAAAAGTTTATTCTAGACTGCTTTGCTCTTATGAATTCTATTACTGATGTTTTAACTTAAGGAATATATTATTTCTTTATTTTTCAGAAAGTTGTAACAAAAGTCACATCTCAAGACTAGAAGACCAAAGTTAATTTAATTACTTCAACTTTATTGTTTGATGGCCACCGAAATATTTGTCAAACGAAATAATTTTCTGTTTAATTTATTATTTATAAAATATTCTGTTATTTGTTCATCATTTGAGTTTTTATAGACTCTACTGAATTTCGTTATATTTTATTCAAGCTAGATTGTAATCGTAAAAAAAAGAATAATTTCAAATGAACAATATTTACCAATTTATCTCAAACAGTTATTTTACTATTGCTTTTAATTTAAAACTATCAGTTGATTCAGTATTTTATTAGAATTAAGATATTTTAAATAATCTAGATGAGTAGATGTGTTTGAAGTAAATTGTTTGTATAATATTCAAATGTGAATTGTGAGGTTTTATTCATTTAATGTAATTGTTAAATAATGATACAAGACAAATATTAACTCCTATCAAGCTTAGCTTGGGACTGAAGCAAAATATAGACAAAATATTGATTTTTTATGTAAAAATGTACTTATGTGCTGCGATAAATGTGTATAACATTTTCACAATCGTGATTTATAATGAATTTTATTTTATGAATATCTATTAAGTAACTACAGTTATATTTTATGTTCAAAATTTGGAAATTTTCCAAATTTTTTTACAGTTTTTCCTTATTCAAATATTTATTTGCTAAAGCGAACTTAATAAATCGAATGACTTATGCCAAAGCCGAATAGACCTAATACTAATATATAATATATTTATTTAAATTGTACTAGTATTCGAAGTAAACTTATTTATACACCTTACATGCGTTTATTTTAATTATTTCATTTCCTCAATATTTATTTAAAAAAAATTGAAAATTTTCTGTGTGTTCTGAGCGTTCCATCATCAAAAACTAATTGACACATTTGACAGTCGACAGTGACATTATTGACATTGACACTAGAGACATTTGAGTTGAGCGACAAATGTTGAAGTAAACATAAATATAGGTTGTTTATTATTTAACTTATTTAAATATCGTAGCAATAAGAAATAAAACATGCCTTCGTTTAGTGCCTTAACGTTAATTTTGATCTTGTGCCTTCAAATATACCAAAGTACGTACAACACAACGAGAAAATCGTCAGTATAAATTAATTTAATGATTCATTTTTAGGCGTTTCCCTTGAATGTTACGTTTGTCACGATCAGGAGGATAATAAGGGCAAATGCATAAATACAATTAAAACTTGCGACTACGAGGAGGACGTATGTTTATCGGAGATTAGTTGGGGCAGTACGCCTTATTGGCAACAGGGCGCCCAAAAGCAATATTACATATCGAAACGGTGTGCTACGAAAGACAGTTGTGAGAAATACAGAAGCAGTAATATGGCTACATGTACTCACATTTGGTACCAGGATTGGAAATGTTCGGAGTGCTGTAAGGGAGATAAATGCAACTATTTCATAATCGTAAGTGTTTTGATACATTTATTGGTATCTTATTTAGTAATGTTTAATTTTTTTAGTCTGGAGCCACGACAAATTATTTGAGGAATAATGCATTAATAGTGATGACGGCGCTGCCTTTTTTAATATACTTTAAATATTTGTAATTGAAACCCATAGTAAGTTCAAATGCCATGAGACTATTCCAAATAATTTATAAATTTGGTACACTTGATTTTGTAATACCTAAGCAAAGGTAAAATTCATTTGATTAGTATTAGATATATATTTTGCCGTCCATTTTGATATTTTGTGGGTATTGTTTTACAAATCTTTTATAAAAATAAGATGAAATATTTAATTGTTACGTTTTGTTAGTTTTTGTACCTATCGAGAATCTCAAATTATTAATATGTAAATTTTTGTGTTAATATTTTAGCTTTATGTATTAATATGAATATTGTATTCCGTCCATTTGAAATTATTTTTATGTGAACGTAATTTTTGAAAAGTTTCTGAATTTTATGATTACAAAATAATAGATATTATAAAAAGTTTTTTTACAAATCAATGACAATGTTTACTGATTAGATCTAAGCATTTATTTGTAAATTTTGTTACATTTTTACTATTTAAAATAAAAATTTTTGTGAATGTAGCTTACATTTACTCCTCTCAAAACGTTATATTTAAAACTAAATTCAATATTATTAGTAATAAATATAGATATTACATAATTTTAAAATTTCATAATCGATGATTCATGAAACTTTCAGGTTCAAACAAATGTCTTAAATTTAAATGTAGGCATTATAATTAGGAGAAATGTATAATTACAAGAAATCAATCTTGTAGTTTTTTATTGATATCAAATTATAGGCACAGACGAGTCTGTCTCTTCCGGTATCATAACAAAGTTTGCTAATAGAATTTAAAATTACGAGACCTTCTGATAACTACAGTTTTTTGAACTTAATGATCATAAAGTTCTATGATACATATGATTTAATTATTTGATTTGGTATATTCAAAGAGAATCCATGCACATACTAAATTCAACTTTATTAGCTTTCTTTTCTGCTGAACAAATATGAAAGTTTCCAAATATAAATTTAAGAAACAAATTTATGTAATCCTCTTAATATCTACCTTCCTTTAGTCGATTTTTTTATAATTCACAGTTAATTGTTATTAAAATATTCCTAAAATATCATGTAGGACTTGCATTCGTTTTTCAATCAATGAATAGAGAAATTTTTGGTTAAACGAAAAAAAAACGGTCATCAACGATTTTAATTAACTAATTGCTATGTGCATTTGTTCAGCAAGGACGCAGTTAATGCTGTAATTCTTAAGGAAACGAAAGGCATAAAATTATAATGAAGCTTGAAATATCACGCCCTAGGTGCTTAGAGCACTTCTAAATTTAAATGGTTCAATTTTTTTCGTTAAATTTAATTAGGCACTCCTTTCACTCGAATCATCTCGAAATCAAGTTTTCAAAAAATTGAGATTAATTTCTAATTATAATGCACAAACTAGTCTAACCATGAATTTTTTATTTGTTCTTTATAAGCACGCAAATTCATATTCAATATTCAATTTGTACTTATATGTATACAATTTAGGCTATCCTAAATTAGACAATTTTAGATCCTATTTTATATTTTATATATGTTAGTTATCGAATAATAAATTCCTATTGGATTAGACAAAAAATATCTCCAATAATTGGACCGTTTTTTTAAATTAATTTTCGTTGCTAATTTTGGCGATGCTTTTAATTATTTATAAGCCATTAGATTATTCAAGTTGACTTCCAGCGATATCCGCGTTTAATGGTCTCGGCATTCGTTTCCTCAAATTACATTCGAAACCGATGAGGATTTTTCCATAACTACAAGACCGCCTCGCCGGTAAATACCTGCAACCACATTAGCGATTTAGAACGCAACAAGCTTTCTTCATATCGAACAACTTTCACTGCGACACACGATCTCGTATACCGAGAAAATAAAAATATTGTTCGGCAGAAGTAGAAGTGAAGTGGCCAAGGCGAAATTCGCCACGGCAGTGTTCTTACAGGATCATCGTATACCTTACACATACGAGATTAGTTATTCTTTCATTATTTCATTACCTAATTATAAATTATCAAGTCCGGTCCGGTTTGTTTGTACAGTGGATGAACGTAGTTTATTAAATACCAATTGGTAAGTTAAAGGAAAACGTTTTTCATGGATACAGATTGTTCTCGATTAGTCCAACAAAACTATAATCAAGTAGGTAATTCAAATTGGCGAAGGCTAAAGGAAGTTTAGCTTACAAGGAGACTTTGTATTCGTTAGATTAATAAAACGTGTAGTTTAAGTTGGTTTATCTTCACGATTCCCAAAGCGATTTATAAAGTTTAGTACGTATCACTACAATTTTAATAATTTTATGATAACCAACATAACTTTTCTTAAACGTAACTAAGCTTGAAATATTTTACGTAGTTACCTATACAGAAACTCCACAAAACATTTCTTAGACATTATCTAAACTCCCCTGAAGTTCACTTTTATTCTGCTTACAGACAACTTTCAACATTACCCAAGGGATTCCAAGTAGTTATAAGTACTTAGGTTTTTAAAAATGACGTTAAAAGATCGTGTTGTACTCCTATAAATGCAACAAAAAAGCAACAACAAAATCGACTAAAAAGTACAAATAATTCGACATGACGGTGGGTCCGAATTTGCTTGTCTGCAGGCTATCCATTTTTTCGGCAATGGTAGCCGCAACTGTGACTTTAATTTATTTGGCTCCTGTTCCTGGTAAGTTTTTATACCGGTTAAGTAATATTAAATGTTAATTATTTTATGAAGTTTTATTGCGTCGTTAACAGTTTAATGAATTTGTTTATTACTTCTTTCGTTAATTTTTTTATGCTTTTCTGGTTCTGTAATTATATAATAGGTATTAAAACCGTTTGCATCAGTATGGAAATTCTAAAGTAGGTACTAGGTACTAACTGAAGTCGTAAAATAAATTAATGCTTCAGTCAGATAGAAGTTTATAATCGTTTTATTTACTTTGAATCTTGCGTACTCAGTACAAAAACCATTAAAGAAACTATAAAAATCCACAATTAGTAAATAAATGAAGAAACAACATTATTATAATTATGGTTATGTAAAATTTACTAAGGAAATTGGATAAATACCTAGAATACAAAAAATAACTCATAAATATCAATTTCATCAATTTCATCAATCATTCTTTCAATATGTTTAAAATATCATTAACACAACTAACTAATCTGTAAAACCTACAACCTGTAAACCTACAACCTGTAAACCTACAATCGATTCGGTTTATAAAAAACATAATTAAAATTAAGCAATTAAACTTTATAAGTGGTTATAAAAATATTTAGTTAATACCCACGTATTTATTAAATCGAACCCAAAACAATCAATACTTTCTACATCTTCAAATTAAGCCAATCCATCAATCTTCAAAACACTTCAGAAGTATTGAAAACAAATCATATAAAATTCATTTGCATAAAAAAATTAAGATATGCACTAAGCCAAAGAAAGCGCTTTTACATCATAGTTAATGGTCAAATCTCCCTGCCTAAACGTACAGTTCATTGTAATTAACTTATCTAGTGAAAGTCAAATCGTACATTGTCTGTTATAGGCAAGCGTACACAAGAAATCCATTACATAATTTTATCGGCAATTTTGTAATAAACCAATTTTAAAATAAAACTTATAAAAATTTTTCTCTTGTCGCTGAGAAAATTAAGTTTTACTCGAAATAAGCCCTTTCACTTCGAGGTTAATGAACCTGCAGTTGAATTTGCTCAAGAAGTTGTAGCAGAAATTAGTATAAGATATTAGGAAGATTTTACAATAAACAAAATAATATAAATTTATTAACATCTTTTTATTCTTAATGTTTGTGTACTTTATTTACAAACATTATGGGAATAATAATGAGATAATTGTACATAAAAAGGGCACATGAAGAAGCTGATAGCAAAAAAAAGTAGGGATTCTGCAAAAAAAGAACGATACTAATGTACTAAACGAATATGAACGTATGAAAAAGAAGCATAATAGCTCTTTCAAATTAGAATACCAAGCAATATTTCCATTATCACTGCAGTATCATTTTATTTCCAGACCAAAGCTATAAAAACTGTGATCGTCCTTGCCATGACCTCGACTGGCCAATGATTTGTAGATTTAAATTAATAATAGAGAAATTACCTACGCCTGTGTAAGTAAATCGAAAATACACACGTGTCCTTGCATTTCTGAATTCCCCATTAAATTTCCAGGATATGCCGTGATTGCCACAATTGTTCCTTCTGTTCCTCGTCGAGCAACGCACCCCGAGAACTCGTCGCATTGAATCGACAGTTTCCAGGACCTTCCATGCACGTCTGCCACAACGACGTGGTGATAGTGGACGTGGTGAATAAATTGCAAGGCCAGAGCGTGACCTTCCATTGGCGCGGTCAAACGAACGTCGAAACGCCTTTCATGGACGGAGTACCGTCGGTGACGCAATGCCCCATCGGGCCTTACACCACGTTCCAGTACAAGTTCAGGGCGTCTTCGTCAGGCACTCATTCCTATCACGCGTTTTCCGATTCGGACAGATCTAGCGGCGCATTCGGGGCTTTGATCGTCCGCAAACCCGAAAAACTGGACGAGTACCGGCAGATATTCGACGTGGACAACGAGGAGCACGTGCTGGTGCTATCAGAATCCGACGATTCGGTGTTGATAAACGGAGCCGGACCGAAAGACAAGCCTCTTAATTTGCGCGTGAAGAATGGCAGCAGCAATAGGTTTAGAGTTATTTACGCCAGCGGTAGTGGCTGCCCGATGACGCTATCCATCAAAAACCACCCGCTGAACGTGATTTATGTTGAGGGAAATCCCATCAAATCGTCGAAGGTGTCTTCGATACAGCTAATAAAAGGGGAAACTATTGATTTCGTGTTGATGGCTAACAAATCTCCCGGATCGTATAAATTAGAAGTGAGATCGAATTGCAACGCTAAAAGTCTAATCGGAAAAGCCATTTTAACATACGAAGGAATTTCCCAAGAGGTAAACGCTGACGAGGAGGAGGCGTCGTCTAAATCCGGCGAGGAAGACTGCGATGCCGGAAATGGAAAAACCTGCTTGCAGGAATTCCAAAATACGGAGGAAATGGATAAAGACTTGTTGACCGTCCATCGAAGGATTTACCTCGGATTCGATAGCGTAGGGGTAAAAGCAGCTAAAGGTTAGTTATTTATGAAATACTTACTAATAATAATGGCACATAATTCCTACACTAATAGGCTCTGCTTGTATCTTACAAGTATCTACATACATACAAATTGCTACTTCAACAACAATCGTAAATTTTATTAGTTGTCGTCAAAACCTTGCATTTGAAAAGCGACCATTGTAAATCGCACGCTGAATAATATATTTACCTATTTTTCTCTATTATAATGCAATTCTTGTTGTTGTCATTTCGCAGGAAACGCCGACGCTCGTCTTCGTCAATTTAGAACAAATAATATATCGTTCCTGTTTCCGCCATCCCCGATCCTCACCCAACCGACCGACGTTCCCGTCGATCTTATGTGCAACGAATCCCATTTGCCCGACAGGTGCAAGGACGAGGAGAGTTGCGATTGCGTGCACTTAGAGCACATTCCCTTGGATAGCAGCACGGAGATCGTGCTCGTGGATCAAGGTAAGGTTTCTATCAGTAGCCGGAGCAGCGGGAAATTCTATTATCAAGTTCGTTGCAATACATATTCAGATGCAAAATACTGTAGGCAAATACTGTAGGATTGCAACTTCCTGACTCTAACAACTGTTATTTGAATAATCATCCTTTGTCCAATTCATAGAATTGACCACATTGCGAGCAATTTTGCATTTTTATTTGTATGTAAACGTAACATTGGAGGTTTATATTTGCCTCGTATTTGTTTAAAAACAGAATGGATGAGCTCATTTCTGGAAATATAGTAAAAATGTTCCAAACTTTTTATTATATATGGTAGATCAACGATAAACGAGTTTCTATATAATGATAAAAATAATAATGAATTCGCGACAGGGAGTTTTTTGTTAAATTAATTCTCCAGATGTTAATTCAATTTCAACATTTCTTCAAGGATTTTCCCCCTACTTTCATTTAATTTTTTCCCACTTTTTATGTGTTCCTATTTCTTACACAACAATTGCGTTTAACTGATGTTCTCTAGCAGAGTACTTGGTGTAAAATATCCGCTAATAACTGTGTTTAGTTTTGAAATTTTATTAACCAACTTTCTCTGGTTCCGGTTAATTATTAACTAGGTACTTACAAACAGCATAAAATATCATTTAATTTATTACCCATAATTCTTTAATATATGTGTTCATATCATTTAATATCATACTATATGCTTATTTGGTATTAGTTACTTAAGGGAGGTTTTTCTTTCTTAAGAAAAACTCTTCTTTCTTTCTTAAGGTTTTTCTTTAAGTTAACAAAACTCCTCTTAGAAATAATATTTGACATACACAATGTTAGTCTTTTAAATTCAACATTATATCGGTGTAGATTTTTTAATAATATCAACTTATTGCCGTGTTATATAAAAGAAAGAAGGGCTAGCTTTATAGATAAAATATGGTATAATAATACGATCATTTTTATTAGGTGGAGAGGAAGAAGATGGTTACATATTCCATTTGCACGGCTACAAGTTTTATCAAGTTGGCACAAAGATATTGGATCAACCAATGTCTAAATCGGAAGTGGAAGCATTGGATTCTAATTTCGATTTCATAAAGCGCAATTTGAAAAATCCGCTGATTAAAAGCACCGTGAGAGTGCCCAAAAATGGAGTAGTTGCCATCAGATTCATGGCAAAGAACCCAGGTAAATACTCATGATTATTTTCCATCCAAGTATATTTATTTTATTGTATCGGAAGGCTAGTAGCGTTTCGAACGCTTTCGTTTGCACACGATCTACCCTTCAGAGCATTTGGCTGAAAACTGGAAATACTGTATAAATAAGGCTTAATGAAAAAAGCTTCGCGTCTCAAACTCAAACGATTTTACAGGTTTCTGGCTCCTTAGAGACGAGAATGCTCAAGGGTGGACCAGAGGTATGGATATTTTATTCCAAGTCGGCGATACCGGTGACATCGTGGCTACGCCGAGTAACTTTCCAGTTTGCGGCAACTTTGTAGGTCCCGATTTCTTTTTACTGTAAATAAATAGCTCAATATTTACCTGTCTCCTATTTTTTCTACGAGAACTATTTTTGTGCAAAAGTCGTAGAAATATTTTGTGTATACGTAAACACAAATTTCTAAATAAGGATCAGTAATCTCCTAAACAAATACGCTCCCGGATATGTGATACTTTAATATTACATGTAGTTTCCGGTGCTTATGTTGAAGTGGAAATACTGTATAAAAATTATGCAGGATAATTATACTGTAGGTGGAAAATATAAATAAAAACGAATATAAACTCACAATCGAGGCCTAATCAGGATCATGAATTTAGTACGTTACTCCTGCTTAGTAACAATGAGAAATATATATTAAACTCAAAATCATGATAACCCCTATTAAGCTAATCAATATTTAAAATTGCCTTTCGATATAGCGTATTAAAAATATTTGATTTGTGTCTACGTTTGGTGTTTTTTAATCAAGTTAAATTATTACCTACTCATAATTACTCTGTAAAGTAAACTCTACAGAACGTTGCCAGGCATGAAGGTATTTGCTAAAAATCACAAGTTTAAAATTTATTAGCTACAATAAAATCACATAAGATAGGAATTAGTAATAATGCCTAATATTCAGCCTAAAATATAGATACTTTAGAAATCATAAATGTCTAGAAGTCTCCAGTTTAGATTCATATCCATAGATATTTTTAATTGTAGCTAGTTTTATGAAATTACTCTAGTCAAAACTAATAGGTACCTAGATTAAAATAAATCCCTATTCTATCCAGTAATGTTAGGGCGATTATATGAAGCTTTTTGTTGTAAATTTTATTTTTAGTACGAATAAAATTATCGAAGAGGGTTGTTTGTAAATAGATCTTTTTGTTTCAAACATTGTATTATTCCTACGACCCTAATTTTCATTATTTCAAAGGATTCTTGCAAATCTCGCCGACGCTGGGCCGTCGATCGCAAAATTTAAAATTTGCCTCCATTCTCTAAAAATACTTTCGCAACGTTTTCGCCATCTAATTTTCGGCCAACCAAGCGAGTTGCATCAGCTTTGCTGCCGTACCGAAAGTATTACAATATAGTCAATTGAACGATTTTTTGCCGTCTGGTAATAATGCTCTAGCCCGCGGATTCGTTATTAAAAGGCGGTGAGCGCGATAAAAACACATTGTATGCGTATCACGTTTGCACGAAACTCGCGATTCGAACGTGTCTTTCATCAGTATCAAGTGCAATAACTGTATCGACGATCCGAGCAAATCGGGAATCGGTAAGTTCCATTTTACAATTTTATTTTTTAACGATTCAAAATTAATATTTCAATAACCGTTTTTATTAATGAAAATATGAGGTTTACGAGCCAAAGCACATAATTCGTTTTATTTTGAATTTGTAAATATATCAATAATTTATTATAGGTATTCATTAAAAATATTTCCAATAAAATATTTATGTTTACATACACGTTTATATTTTCCCAATAAATATAAATCGTTTTATAATTTATTAATAAAAACAATGATCCAATTTTTTTAACATTATGTTCCTAATAAGTCAGGATTTCACTGGAAAATAATATTATATAGATACCTAAATTAATTAATTCTGAATAATGAGGCGGAAATATTGCAATATTTTTCTAACAAATTTATAGAGTTCAATTAAAATTCACTGCCAATAATCATCCACACATTTTAATTAGTTAATGAACATTCCGATAAAATAACGCAGACGCACCTCCAAAACAATGACGGTATTAACTAATAGGTAACAGATTAAATTCGTTAAATAATACCGTCAAATTATATTTTTGTGTTCGAACCCTATTTACGTGCTATTGCTATTCATTGTCCTTATTTTCAAATAATTCATTGAATGAAATCCATTTAGAAGCAACTGTGAATAAAATTGTCAATGGGCAGGAATTTGTTTACAAAAAATTACAATTAAATTAGCGATAATCTTACGTTGATCAATGAGCATCAATAGAAATTGATTGTGGTTGATTATTGGAACAGATGTTACGGGTCAATTTGATTAAATGACATTGTTAGGATGTATTAATTTTAACTGTATTTAATTGTTTTCGAAAATACAAATTCTTAGGCATCGTCATCAATCGTAATTAATTAGTGAGCAATACATATACATGTGTTGTTTTGTCAATAAGCTTTGGTGGGGTAGGAAAGCAATTTTTAAATTCCTTTTTAAAAAGTCCTATTTTTTATTCAAATAATTACAAGTATGGAAATCCAAATGATAAATAAGACAGAAAATTGGATCGATAAAAAAATTATACAATAATTATTACGTAAAAAAATGTTCAATATTATTCGTAGAAAATTCGTAGTAAAAATCCTTTGGAAATATTCAGTATATTTAAAAAAGGTAACATTTTCTAAACATTTAGGCATATAGATACTGTATGACTCATTCCATAAAAAACAATTACGATTGAATTATTACTTGTTGAACTATTAATATTTTTTATCTGCTGGTTACAGTTATTTTAATTACGCCAATGGTTTTAGAAGGTGCACCTACTTAAAATGTCAAGTAGGTTAACCTGCAATGAATAAACTTTCAGCATAATTAATTATTCTCTTAATTAATTTCTTTGGCAATTTTCCCTTTGACTCTCATTATTTATGTTTTTATTAAAACTTTCCTCTAAAATCCCCAAATATCACGCGGTGAAACACGCTCGAGACAACTTATTTTTTAACAAATAAAACGTCAAGAATAAATTATGTGCTTTGATGAGTACTATTTATGAATATTTATTGCAAAAAAAAATATTGTTTCACAGGTGGCACGTATGCCTTACCTACTAATTATATTTGACATTCTGTTCGAACCAAGTTCAGAGCATTTATTTTAAGAGTGAGAGTAAACTAACGCCAATTCTAAAAATACTGGATTATCTAAAAGAAATGAAGGTCTGTCTATACTTTCGCGTGGTTCAGTTATAGGTATAGATTGTTCGTGTGAAGTATGATGCAATATCGTTTTTAATGAAATGGCCGAATTTGTGTTGAAATATGGTAGGTCGAGATCCCGTTTACATCGCTCAAATATTCAAAATGTGAATAAGATTCAACTTCATATTTCCATTTAATATCCAATTTAGAGATCTACTGATAATTTTTATATATTTTCAATTCCTAAACGTAATCTCAATCTCTTATCAAGTATTTTTTCTCGGAAGTTATAGGCAAGTAAAATAATATTCGACGATGGTATATCCTTGTGCTTAGTGCTATCAAAGGTTCAATTCAATTGTATAAACATGTTTTTTGTGCGTGTAATTAATTTAGCAAATGGAAACCATATAATTATTTAAGGTTATCAAAAAATATATTTTTTAAAAACAAATTTTAATCTTTGAAAACGGAAAATATTTATCTAAACTTTACAATAAGTTAGTCATTAAATTTTAACAAGACTGCAAGTGAAGAGTCTGCTTCCACGTGCTGGCAACTCGCAAGAAAGATTAAAGTAATTGAAATTTGTTACAAATTATTTAAACTATCACACTTCGTAATAAAATTCTGATTTACGAAAGAAATTATAGTAAAAAGTGATTTAGCATCAACTTTTCACAAACTAAATTATTTCATTTCGTCTGTTCCAGACAAAATGTCCAATAAAATATACATGTGGGACGAACACATGCAAATTGAGACCGGCAGGGAGAAAAAACCATTTATACTAACCGGCAATTCGGAAGAGAAAACACCTATTCGAAAGGACGACGACGAACGCGGGGGATGGAGCAACAAATTAGATTTCCTCATGTCCTGCATCAGCTTATCTGTTGGGCTTGGAAATGTATGGAGATTTCCATATTTATGTTACAAAAACGGTGGAGGTGAGTCCAAGATTTATTGATTAAAACCAGTGAAATAAGTTTACTCACTGACCTCTTTACTGCTGAATATTCCAACAATGAAAGTCTTATTAGGGTTACATATGTTACAACTAATACTCGGTGGGTCTATAACTCACTGCCCATTACAATCTATTTATTCTACCTGTTGCAGCGATTATAAATGTAATATTGCAGGTACTTTCTTCATCACCTACCACATAGCAATGTTCCTGTGCGGCATCCCGCTGTTCTTTCAGGAGGTAGCAATTGGCCAATATTTAGGCTCCGGGGGAATGACTTTCGTCGGGCAGCTGTGCCCCATTCTGAAGGGCGTGGGCTACGCTACGATGACCATCGTCTTCCTTCTGGACGTTTATTACTGCGTTATAATCGCTTGGACGCTGTTCTACATTTACAGCAGCTTAGCCAGCGAGTTGCCCTGGTCGCATTGCGGTGAGTCGTTGGCAGGAATTTGGTAGATCGAATGCTAAGTAATGGTTATTTTAGGTAATTGGTGGAATACTGATGTATGTTATGAAAAGACTAATTCTACTATAGGGCTGATTAACGCGACGAATATAACCAATCGATTATCGTCAGTTGAAGAGTTTTTTGAGTAAGTAAATAATCGTTCTCTCTTAATCCATTTTAATATTTCTACTATTATTTATGTTAATAACGACAATTTAAGAGTAGATAAATAACGAATTTATTAAACTTATTTGTGGTAGTAGGAAAATTATTCTATGTTACTCGAGAAATGGGTGTGTGAAAACGACATTTTCCTCATAACCTACTAATGCTTAATTTTTAGTCAACGTGTATTGGGTATTACTAATGGGTTAGAAGAAATAGGGGGAATGCAGTGGAACATATTTATTGCTTTATGCGTTGGTTGGATAATGGTGTATAGTATTATTAGAAAAGGCTTACATCAAAGTGGAAAGGTAAGAAATAATCTTTAAGTATTCCATAAAAAAATACATTCTCTTAAACATAATTAGTAGGTAAATTGACCAATAAAAATTGTTTCTCAGTTAATATGGTTCACTGCACTATTTCCGTACGTCATCCTAATAATAATGTTAGTTAGAGCAGTCACCTTAGAAGGCGCCAGCGATGGGCTCTTGTTTTACGTAACGCCCAAATGGGAGGCTCTGCTGACACCAGGACCTTGGATGGACGGTGCTTCTCAGATATTTTTCGCTTACAGTATCGGATGCGGAGCTCTGCCTGCTCTAGGTTCTTACAACAAATTTCACCACAATTCCTACAGGTACGTGATGATTCTAAAAAACCATGTCATGTTGAACTTGATATTATAATTTCTTTCTAATGGCATGTTAATATTTGGTCTTTTTTAGAGATGCTGTGATAACATGTTTTGTGAACACGTTTACTTCTATAATAGCCGGTATAGTGACTTTTTCGATATTAGGACACTTGGCCTTGGAACAAAACACCAATGTTGAAGATGTGGTCAAGAGCGGTCCTGGTTTGGTTTTCATCACGTATCCCCAAGTCGTGTTAAAATTACCAGGCTCGTCGTTTTGGGCTGTTGCGTTTTTCATTATGCTTTTGGTAAGAGGTCCAATACAATAAAACTCTCTAATTTTCCTTAATTCATTTTCTTTTCATTCACTTTTATTTTTCTATTAAATATTCAAATCCAAATAACTACTGTGTATCGAATACCCTCTACGTTCATTTGGGAATTCAATTATTTACATGCATCCAGCACACATCGGCGATCCATTTCCTTTTTAATAGAATAGGGAGAGATATACATTGCATTATACATATTTTGATTGCGTTTGTTCCAGTTATTGGGGATCGACAGCGAGTTTTGCTTGGTGGAATCTTTTATTACCGGAATATTGGACAATTGGTCCCAAACCCTGAGGCCTTACAGAAATACATTCACAGCGGCCGTTTGTATCGTTATGTTCCTCCTGGGAATACCTATGGTCACACAAGTAAGTTCGTTTTGGAATATACCTTTTTATTTGCATTTTATATGAATGATCTAATAATATCTCCCAAAAGTTTCAAATGTAAATTATTGCCGCAGGTAGAAGGTTACATATCTACATAGCTTTTCATATTACACTCCTTTTCCTTTCCCGTTTTGCATCCTTTTTACACTAACATTATCTAAAAGCATCGTTAAAAAATCATCTCCGAACAAATTGGAATTTATTCAAACTGCGCTAGAAGTTCCAACTATTTCCATATCTTGGGAATAAATAAAGCTGGACCGACCTACTTTTTCCAATGGATCCGCATCTCCCTACAGTTAAAATAGAAACTAAGTAAATGGAACAGTTTGCGGCTAGCAGATAAACTGCTAAATTAAATTTTATTCATAGTTGCCGGGATGCAGCTCATTGTAAATGCATGTCCTCCGAAATGAATAGAATTTACTAAAATAGGAGATACGAAGAGTTTTGAATGCGCTTAAGGGAGTTTGAGCACGCATATTAAATGGTACGGTAATGGAGATATGTTTAATTAAACAGCACCGACAATGTTTAATGATTTTAATGTGTTATAAAATTTCGATGCTGCAGTTGTAAGAATAATTTACTTTTGTACTCATACAGTTTAACTTTCTTCCTGCATTATTTTACTTACTCGAGTAGTATATCATCTTTAATAGTATACATTTGGACATACTTTTAAATGTTTTGATAGCGCAGCGAGGGTGTTTGCTGACAAAACAAGGACACTTCCTCGGGGCAATATATTCAATACTGTGAGATGAAATAACAATCCCCCTTCTCGGATATATAAGTCGCTAAAGAGAATATTAGCCCTTTTACATGCATTATTTAATTTCTGCTACATTCTTAATATACCTACATATATAAAATTCAAATCCAGTTGGATATTATAAATAATGAGTAAATTAATCAGTCGAGACTAACTAACATTCAAAAATAAAAATCTTTTATAATACCTGCACCATTTATTCAAATTAATGAATAATTAAATGTTATATTATAGGGTGGCATGTACGTGTTCAAATTAATGGATAACTATTCGGCGAGCGGGATATCGCTGCTGTGGGTCTGCTTTTTCCAAACCATCGGCATTTCCTGGTTTTTCGGCGTGGATAAATTGAGCGATTGCATTGAAAAAATGATGGGAATTAGACCGAACTCATTCTGGACGGTTTGCTGGAAATACGTTGCGCCACTCGTTATGGCTGTATGTATTTGTAAAAGTATAAAGTATGCCTTTTCATCAAGCGAATTTCAGGTGATATTCGTTAGTCAATGTTTCGAGTACCAAAGACTAGAATACAGCGATTATAAGTATCCTCTATGGGCTGATATGGTGGGATTGATGATTAGTTTTTCGTCGATGGCTTGGATACCTATTTATGCTATTTATTATGTGCTTTCACAACCTGGCAGCATAATGCAGGTAAGATTCGCTTAGTAATTTTTTTATAAATAAACTTGAAATGGACATTCATTCGATTTTAGAATATGAAGAAGGGGATCAAATCTAACATAGCTCAAAGGAAAATATCAATTTGCGATCAGAGTACAGGTACTCTGATTACTCAAAGCAACGTCGTATTGTTAACGCCGAATACATCAGTTTTGGGTGTCAATACGTGAGCAAAAATAATCACCAGATACGTTTTATTTATTAATTAGTAATTATCGTATTTTATTTAGACCAAACAAAAATTTATTTATAAATAATTACTAGACAGTAAACAAATATTATCCGAATTAAAAATGAACTCTAGACTCAGGGCTAAATATTGATATTGTCTACATCTAATTGTTAGATTCCACTCATAAATAGCAGTTTTATTAAACTATTATTTGCCACTGTCGGATGTATACGTTTTCAACGTCGCAAAATTATATTTATGCGATATTTTTGAAGCTTTTTTTAATGTTAACTTGAATATATAATGTAATTGAAACATTGTGTGATATTGATGGATTTTTATTAATAATTTTAAGAGAATTTCAAAGTAAACTCAGTATTATAGTACGTTACAGTACTTCAATTTTTGTATAATAAATATATAGTACTATAAAAGTATGTATTTATTAATTAAAGAAGACCTAAAATTTAAAAACCTATTTATAAGGGCTAAGAAAATTGCAAAAACTCAAAAATGCAAAAAATGTTTTAGATGAAAAATTGTTGTTCGAAAAACGTTTTCAAAAGAGTCTCTAACAACGGATATATGCATTAGTCACCGGGGTGAAAAGTGAATTTTGCACATAAATCGAATTGTTCTCACACAGTGATTTTTTCGTATGGTAATAGTTCATGCAAAAGGGCAAAATAGCACGTTCCAATATTGGATTTTTCACAATGCAGTTTCGGCCATTTTTCAATATTTCCTCGTTCGGGAAAAATTTCGCCCTCATAGGAGAAGTTAATAAGCATCGGAGGATTCCCGAGCAGTGTGCATGCTAGGAATACGTATTTTATTGAAACATCCAACCACACGCTGCGGTTTCATTTTCGGTCTATCGAATATCGAGGCAAACATGAATGCTGCTTCAGGAGCCGTTGGAAATAAATAAAATCTTCTGAAAAGTTAAAGGTAACGAGGTCAAAACTTGCCGACATCCATTAGTGAAAATTGGTTACGTATACGTAAGAGGTCACCCGTTAAAGACATTTTCCACCAGCTGTGGTTCTCTAAATTAATGTTAGAAAAATAAATTATTCCGGTGTATACCTTAAAAGACTTGAGTTCAGTACTATGAAAAAGTGTGTAAAAATTTCAGCAATATTTCATCAATAAGAAAACTGTTTATAAAAGTAGAAAGAAAATGTTCATGAAAGTAGCGAGACAATTTTATGCATAAAAGTAGAGAGAAAATGTTCATGAAAGTAGAGAGAAAATGTTCATGAAAGTAGAGAGAAAATTATGTGCATAAAAGTGTAGGAATTTTTTTTACACAAATAGAGAGAAAATTTTGTTGTTTCGTGAGGTTGTGATTTAAAATATTAAGAATTGTGATTAAAAGTAAGGACTTTATACTTTTTTACCGAAGAACAAGCTCATACAGGCCGTGCTGGGAAGAGTTTAAGTCCAAACAGGTTTTACAACGGTGGTTCCTATTCTTGAAAAAACATTTTGTAAGTACTGAATTCTAAAATGTATGAAATTGAATTTGGTTGGCATGTTTGTAAATTTGAACACGTTTTCCGACGATTTTGGAAAAATAACTTCTACACAAAAATATTTAAATTGGAAAAATCATTCCAGATTTAGTAATTATTATTCTTTGACATCCGTTTACCGTCGTCCGATTCGTGTTTTGAATTTTTTATTTCTAATCGATTAATCGATTGTGTATGAAAAATAAACAGCGATTAAATATAAATTTAAGTATAGCAACTCCAATTGAACATTCACATAACTTTCTATTTGAGTTTTTACAAAATGATAAAAACCAATTCTTTCAACATCAATATACAATAAGGCGGTAAACTTCAATAAGTGCAAACTCCCATAAAATCTCATACATCATGATACCTGTGACTCTAAGTGACCTATAATTTCTCCCCGGAGTAGACGAACGTGAATCTTTCCGGTAAAGTAGGTTTCGAGCGTTGTGGGAATCATCGATTTTTTAATAAAACCACATGTCAGACTCCCACTGGCCGTTCCAGTCATATTTCCGATAGAGCCAGCTTTTATACTAGCCCGCCCTTACTTCACTCAATTTCACAACTTTATGAATGCATAAATAAATAAATAAACGACGCATCCAAAATCTAATTATAATTGTCATTTGATCATGACATTAAACGCTGAACCTGTGGCGATCAAACGATAATAAATTGAAATGCTTTATTATCGCTTGTCGATTCTTTTTTTACCTTCAAGGAACTGCAATCGCATGCACATTGCAATTAAAGTCTATAAATAATGAAATTGATTTGTTACCATTGCCAGATTAGCTTCCGACTGTTGAAGATAAACAATGGCTGAGGTGAGTAATTTTGATAAATTTTTGTGGTTGTTCTATAAATTGTTGTATGTACAGTGAATTCCTTCTTTAGAATTACAGAGCAGTTTGTTCTATAACAAACTAATTAGTTTGTAAACTAGTTATGTTTGTACTAAGTAAACTAGTTATGTTGTGTTAAACATTGCGAATACCTAATGTCTTCAAAAGTGTTAATTTCACGTTGAAATATGATATATTTCTAGCTTCCACCGGTAGACGATGAATTAAATTATGATGAATTTGAAAAATTGGATATATCAAAAGAACAACTTAAAAGTAAGTGAATCGTATTGGACGAATTTACGGAAAATGTGCTTTAGAAAATAAATTCTATTTTGAACAGTGAATTGAGGGAACGCTAACTGATATGCAAATGGCAAAAACTTTTCTTATGCATAAATGTTTTCATAAAATTTCCATTCAAAATGAAATTCACGTTGGATTAAAATTTTCATAGCAAGTATCCTTTAAATTTTAGTGTTGAAGCAAGTTTTCGATTTATTCGATCTCGAAAAGAAAAAGGAAATTTCGGTGGACATGATTGGGCAGATTTTAGACATGTTAGGTCATAGACTTTTACCTGAAGAATTAAACGTAAGTATTAATCTTTAGTTACTCAAGATTATCATTAATCCATCAAACTGATTTGTTTGGTTTTTCCAATATTAGGAAATCGTTAAAGAAATTGACGAAGATGGTAACGGTGTCATGAATTTCGAGGAATTCGCTAATTTAGCGGCCAGATTTTTGATTGAAGAAGATGAAGACACAGAGGCGATTTTGAGAGAATTAAAGGATGCCTTCAGGTTGTACGACAAAGAAGGTATTAAATCTCATAATACACTGTACAGAATCCTAAATTATTTTTTTGTCTTTAAGGTCTGGGTTATATTTCTGTGGATCTCTTACGAGATATTTTGAAGGAACTCGAGCCTAATTTATCTCCTGCAGATCTAAACGAAATGATTAAGGAAATTGATACAGATAATTCCGGTACAGTGGATTGGGAAGGTAAATTTTAGAATATGTTTATATAAATTAAATAGCATTATATTTATTCCTTTCAGAATTTAAAGCTATGATGATTGGTTAAAACAGAAACCTCCTACTTATAATTTATAATAACTAAATATTGTGTAATTTTAGTAGATAATGTTATCGTTATAAATATTGTATTGAATTATGTATAATTAGTGGTATGGTAGATAGATAATTAATAAATAATCTACCTGTTGATTAAACTAATGAAATTACCATTTTTTTAATCACCTTTAGAATCAATAAACAAATATTAATTTCAGTAAGTTAAACAATTGGTTATATGCAGTTTAGATAAACACAATGGACTCTAATAAATCGATAATAATATTTACCGCATATGATTTAGGTACAATGAAGCGAATTCACCCGAACGTGCATACGTTACCGCCGCTGTTACGGATTACTTGCTTCAATTAGAGAGTAATTATTTAATTCGTTATCCGACGTAACGATTCCTCGCGAACAGCAGAACAATAATCCGCTCGGAAATTTAAAACAAAAGCGCTGTTGATTTATGAAGCGAGGGAAATCGAGCATTCAGCGCTGTTATTGGAAGCATACATCGATTTGTAAACGTATAATTTGAGTTCGATGGGATAGTTTCCTTGCGACTCGTTATCTAATAGACTATTATATGGATAGGGAAGTAAATAGGTTTATGAGTGCGTGATTTGTTTTTCGCGTCCGTTCGTTGACCAATTTATTTGATAGATGATTTTAATACAGTAATCTTTCAAAACCAATAAATATTCGGTGTAATATATGATTGCTTTACTAGAGGAGGTGGGAATGTATTTACAAGGTACATTACTCAATCTAAACAATGATTGTGTGTATTACTACCTAATTTATCGTAGGGTAGGGCGGGGCTAGTTGAGCAACTTTTCACTTTAGCGGATATAGCTCATCAATGATATGTGTGAATGACTTGTTATGTGGCTTGATGGATTAGTAATTTATCCCTTAACAAAAGTGTCCATAGTAACTTTTTTGTAACTAGTTGAATTTAAGAGCTACAGCTGTTTAAATGCAGAAAGTCAAGTATGCTCAATGTACCCCATAGGTGAGGTAAGTTGAGCAACGGTATGTTTACATATAGGATATGTTTATTTTTATAATCATCTCTTTATTTATTGTGATTTAGTGACAAAACAACAAAACTTAAAGTAATTTACGAGCTTTCTTTTTAAAATCAGAATTAAATAGCTTAAAAAAATATTAATAATATATTAGCAAGTTTTGGTCGTTGTTACTGTTGCAATTAATACAAATGAAAGTAAGACCATAGCACCTGGAAGACATTTTATTTGTGCCCATTCCCTGCAAGCTTGGCAGTGAATCCAACTATCTCCTGGTAAATTTCGCAGTAGTTGCTCAACTAACCCCAACCCGCAATTTTAAAATAAAAGTGAGGTCATAAAGAAATCGTAAGAATTATAACCAGAACATCTCTACATATCAAAAGTACAATAATTTTCTGGAATATTAACCCTTACCCCATTGAAAACGGATAATATTTGACTAATACAGACGAAAACTTGCGATAGACGACGTTTTTACTTTTTGGTCACAAAAAAAACAAAACGCACGGGGGCTTTACTCGCTTGTCGAGGCGCCACTTGCAATAGCTCTGTGATTAGGTCTCCCCCGACCCCTTCTTTCCGCCATAAGATGTTTATGCGTACGGTGAATAGTTTGCGAGATATTTCGATTGCACAACTTACCCGTATGCTCAACTAGCCCCGCCCTACCCTATATACATAGAAATAGGGGGAATAGTAAAGCGTATGTAAAAGTAAGTAATGAAATTTATATCCAAATGTCCCCATTGGCAACCCATCAATCGATTGTCGGGCAATCGTGTACTTAAACTCTGCGAAATGCTCGTGATCGCAATCAATTCAATTCAAACGTCAACATAAACAATTCGACAATCGAACGAATACAAATTATATTTGTCTTCGGGCTAATCGATCCGTCGTTTTTGTTTGGCGCTGTTGAATGCTAATTTCGATCTAATGTTGAATAAATATACGGTCGAAGGTGAAATAAACTTTTCGAACGGTTCGCAAAAAATAACTTCAAACCCCAGTTCCTGCAGCAGGTAGGTACAAGAAAAAAAAAAGAAGGAAACGGAGGATATCAGGCGAGGTTCCCCTTGAATACGGATCGCGTAGATTAGAATGGAAATTTAGTTGGTAGCTGTATATATATGTGCATGTTCCTAAAGAAATTTTAAAGCAAATCCCAATTGATTGCTTTCACATTTTTCCGGAAGTTTCAGGTACATAGATATTCTATTAAAACGGGATTAAAATATACACCATACACCACCAAGATTCTCGCGGATCTAATCAAAAATGTTTCCAAAATGCAAACTAAACACGAACAGCCTAATTAAAATGGAATTCTTTTCATTCAACTTTGTTTTTGCGGGTCGTTTATGCATCAACATTTAATGCTGGGTAATCAACTTAGAGTAGACAAAAAAAGTTCCGTGCGTGCAAGCGTGTATTCCAGAACAAAAAATCGTGGTTTTGGCAAATTGAAATGAATGAGGTTATCATTTGCTTGTCACGTAAATTCGTCGGAATCATATAGGGAGAATCAAGAGTTTTAAAACAATTCTAATAAAATGACGATGAATGGTGATTTACAATGCAAACATTGCAAATATAAGAGGTATTCTTTTTACCAAGATTTACCTTAGATTCTTAGTTAATCTTAGTTGCTTTTTTATTATTGCCATTCTTTTTACTTGCATCAACTGAGACTGAAGTGATATTTTGTTAAGAAACCCAGTTTAACTGAGCTTTCGTTTTACTTGGGTTTTCAAGTGAGACTAAAATAAGATTGTGAAATCTTCGTCGTAGATTTCGTGCAGTATTTACAATGAATGTTTCAACCTATTCTTTTAACGTTATATTAGACGAAAAAAAAATATCAAACAAAATATTATTACAGTCAAGTGCCATTTCGCTTCTCAACTCAACTCGAATTAGAGTGAGGGCTGTTTTATAATGTAGACAACAAAAACTAACTTAAATTATTTGAGTCAAATTAAGATACTCAACTCAAAAGGTCTTAATTACTTGGTAAAAAATACGCCTATAGATGACTATACACAAAAAATAGAAGAAGAGAATTATTTATAGAAAACACAGTACCTAACCACCTAATTAGTGTAAGAGCACGTTAAATTTTGTAATTAACACGTCCTTAAGAAAATGGCAATAATGTCAGTAGAAGAAAATTAGCTGACGTTCAACGAGAATCCATCCGTCGGAATTCGCTCGACGAGCGCTCTTGTTGAATTCTCCTTCCATTGTTCGGGAAATTCCTTCGCCAATGGGACGAAGGGCGCGTTTTCTCTTCTCCGACGGCAGCAACAGCAGCAGCAGGTGCGAGATTTTGTAACAAGCAACTCTAGTATTGACCGTGGAACGTTTGGTCTCGACGTCGACCGGCGCTGGCGTCGACTGGCGTCGGTCGGCGTCGTTCCAGTTGGCGTTCGCCGCGAGTGAGGGGATGTCTTTGTTCGAAAGTGCCGCTAAAATCGAGGAAAATTGGTAAGTTGAATGTGGAGAATTTTTTTTTGTTTTTGACACGGATTTTTTTTGACACGAAATTTCGAATTGTTCGAGCTACCGCCGATGCGGTTGCGGAATTGTTGCGGGGAAATTCGATACTTGAGCAAGAAAGAAAATTGATTTTACGTTAATTGCAGTTATTATTAATTTAATTTTAATTAGCGTTGTAATATTCAAAAATTGACCTACATTTCGTTTGGTGGTATATTTTAGAATAAGTATAGAGATTTAATATATCTTAAAGGAATTTGGTTTAATTATAATTTAAGAATAAAGAATAAAGAAGTTCTTTTAAATAAAATTATTCTATGATAAATGCATAAATATTTGATTTAATATTTTTTACGAGAGATAAAAAAATTGTATTTCCTTGAAGACATTGTTTTTTAAAAATTAATATACGGAGGGAATTTAATCAAACAAATCTCGCCACTCTATATGTATACAAGAAGGTATTTTTTAAAAATTTAAAAATTAATAATATAAACTATTTTCTCCTAAGAAAAAGTAATTCTAGAATCGTCGTGTTTATATAATTTTCATTATTATACATATAAAAACACGGATGATTAAAAAAACATTAGATACAAGGAATCCCCATATACTAGGTATACATATTCTGAGGCGAATGGTTTCCTTTATATCCCTTTATGTAAGTACATTATTTGGACTCAAAAGGATTAGAAAACTCATATATTATTTAAGAAAAAACAAATCCATATAAAACATTCACCTTCCCACCCAAATTTCTGGAAATTCGATATAAAACATACTTTATCCATTTGCTCCTGAATTATTAATATTCATGGCTGACAATATTGGGTGACAGGACAAACCGAACAGGGTTACACAGCTGCTGAGATTTCCTATAGAGAAACTTGAAGGTAATCTCCTTTATTCCGCAAGAGCGCCGGCGAAACTTTTAAATAACAAATATTTCAGCGAACATTTGAACAGGATTTATCGAAAAGTGAACATTTAATAGGATTAACATCGATTGTACGAAATGAAATATTTGCCGATGGTAAAGAGAAATATTTATACAGCATAAAATCATGGAAAATTATTTATTACTCTGTACAAACAAACACTCTACAATATTTTATATGAGCCAATTCACTTTTTAAAAAGCCACTTTACATTGTGCAATATATTTATATGACTGAGTTAATGAGGATATTAAAATTCTAGTGGCATCTTCAACATCTGCCTCGTTATTTTTCTTCTTATAAGTATTGTAAGAATGTAGAATTGTTAACAAGACTTCTGGTAGCTTAAGCCGATGATTAAAACTTTAAATAATTATGAAGCAGAATTAAAATAATTTTTTCATTTTGGTGGATGCGTTTTCTACTTTTTGGTGTAAGAGTTGTGGCCATTTTTTTAAATTAATTTACTTAGACTGATGCTTAGATTTACTGTCTTAAATCCATATTTAATCAATCTATTATACCTAAATCTTTTTCAATGTTTAATGGATTATATATTTAATTTGCCAAACTATCTACCAAAAAAAGGCTTACATGAATGGACTTGTTCATCCCCACGAGTGCACGAAAAAAGAACATAAACCTTGACATCGAGCAATATATTGTGATCAATATATTGCCTAATGATTCACCCGGGATTTATTTTTAGTCGAAGCTTATCCCAGCGTGTCTCCTTGGACGTACGTGGCTGTCAGTTTTATCCACGCCGAAAATCCTTCTATCGAACCTTCACCAATGCCACCATCAGATTCGAAATGCTTATTTAATTGTCAGTTTACTGCCTTTGAAGCTCTTTGTTTTATTGATTGGATTAGCTATTTTACATCGTACATGACGTACATACGGAATTTATACTATACACCTTATAGGTATACACAGGCTTTTATAACCAGAAATAAAATCTGTACATGCTTTTATAAACAATACTATTCAGCTCATGGAAATTGATCGATCTCGACTTGGAAACATATACAAGATAGATTATAATACTCGTATACTCGTAGGAAGTTATGTAATAAAGAGGTGTTGATGACCCAATATGATTTAATAATTCAGAGAACGATTCATTTTAACGATTACTGAAGGGTAAATTATTAAATTATTTATCCGCCATTTTAAATTTATTTGGTGATTCTTAATTATCTACTATATTGTTAATCCCAAAATTACATCGCTGAATTAGCAGTTACATGACAAAGCAACGATAATGAAATTATAGAGATGAAAGGAACGAGGGATAGAGATAATAAGGTAGAAGACCTCCCTTTTATTTAATTACTTTATTAAACGTCTGATACCCTCAATTCAAAAATGTTAGCAAGTCTAATATAATGTAGGTATCGTGGGTTCCAAAGAGAAGGCTGGCATTTTAATTATAACGGAAAATTAATATATCCGGACTCTTGCAAAATACCAAAACGATTTTCTTAATGAATGTATCAGGATAAATTATACGAAGGATGCAAGTTTTCACAAAATAAAGCTGCGCTTGAGCAGCATCCTTTGAAACCGATAAAGAAATCGACGGACCGGAATTGCGAATTCTTCACGCAATGCGCTCGTAAACTCCATAAAAATATTTACGGCCGAATTAATCTTATTATCCGGCGATATACGTTCTAGTTTCGCTCCGTTTATTCGGAAAAGGGAGGACCGTTCGGCTTCGGAGGAAACTACAATGTAACAAAATTAAATGTACGTACGAACCCTCCCGTTTTCTCCGGGCCTTATCGCATGGGTGTGGTTTTGTTGCGGTTTCTTTCCGGTTTTTTTTTGCGTTTTTGCGAGGGTTGCAGGTTCTGTGATGTGCAGAAGTAAACGATAACGAATCCCTAATTACACACTATGCAGAAAAAAAACAGTGACAAAAAAAATAAGCTGAAATTTCACCCTTTTGCAACGCTTAATTTTTGCGTGAAACGCGTTTAACTCGCTTAACTGCAGCGCTCGATCGGATAATAGAGTTCAAAGAGACCGGTGCTTCTGTGAAGCCGGAGGTCAGTTCTACATTTCACGAAGTTAACCCGACTTTTCACTTGTTGGGAACTACTAAACCTAATTTATATCGCCTTTCAGAGCAGCCTGTCAGGTAGGCTTCCAACCTTTTTATCTCCCGGACGACCCGTATGAATAAAGACATACACGGGAGCGCGTGTTGAATTAGTTTTATTTATCTTTATGCTCAAAAGGTAGGTAGACACATCAACATTACTTCTTTATATAAAAAAATGAGGGTGGGTTTTTATGTAAACAGTAGATTTAAAATGCATAAATATACAAAGATAAAGGGCGGCTGTTTTTCAAGTTATTTATTTACAGAATGTAAAGAGTGAAAAATGCATCAAAAATTATATACACTATTAATAATAGTGTTAAAAACAATCTGAAAACTCACTTTATTTTTTACTCCCTTTTACAAACAAATTACTAACTTTTCTGAATTAAAAAATATTTTTGTGAACTAACTTATTACTGTTAAAAAGCATTTAAGTACATAAAATAATTTATTAGCCCTTTAAATACTCTTTCGTGTAGTTAGAAGTTTAATACTTGTTTTCCTTTGATGAAAGTTTTAATTAAAATATATAAATATTTATAAAGAGCAATTTGCCTAGTTCTGTTCACTTTGCACGGCACGAAAGAGAGCTCTTCGTGTTTTACTCAAAACCAATAAAATATATTATTTATCGAGATGACAATGGCAATTGGCATATAAAAATAGCATTCCACTATTGTCATCACGTACAACAAGTTTGTAAGAGATCAGATAGGCCGCACTTTACAAGGAGTTCAAGAATACTTTTTATATTTTTCTTAGATTTTCTCGATAAGGTTACGTAGTATGTGTTACCTATATTTACCAAAATTAAATAATTTCACTTTAGGTAACATAGGCAAATTAATTGCCAGTAACATGAAACAGACACAGGCGAGATTGCGTTAATTGAGATCTCTACTGACAATCTTCACTGTAAATTAATTCAAGTTGAATTATTCGTGTACACAGGTAATTGACGTTCTCCGAGAGTAAATCTCAGCTTATCTGTGAATGCACCGTTAAATTTAAAATTTGGTAATCATGGATTAATTGCATGAATAAGCTATAAGGAAGTAATGGAGCGAAAAACTTTCCGATGTTTTAGTAGCTTTTAGACCTAACATCAAAAAGTCAGTTTTTCTTTATCCAATCAAACGAACGTGAGTTCGAAGGGGAAACGGGGAAACATCAAATGGGTGAGATGTTTTGTGTTGTATATAAAGTATCAAATGAATAAAAACATGTGGAAATGCGATAGAGGAAAAACGGATAAGCAGATAATAGAAAATACATGTTTCGCTTGTATATTGACTGCAAATGTGTTTTTTTTTTGAATACGTATCGTACAATATGATCCGATAAAGCGAGCAAAAAATACCGCATAATACCTTTAACAACACGACATAATACACTCGCTCATTCATGATTCTTCAGTCATCATTGATTATTAAAAAAAAACAATTTTACTACTAATTTCACAATTCTTACAATTTTACTGTAATTAGGTAGCTATTATAATTGGGTTTTCGAAGAAAGAAGGCGAATAAAACGTAAAGATGTCGTAATATTGTTATAAAGTTAGAATACTATTGAGACTTTTAACATTAAATTTGTTGCAAGAAAAAGTTTGTAGTAATAATAATTCGATAACGTTTCTCCGAAAATTTCCAGGACTTTTCCAACAATAAATTGCATAATCCAGAGTTTTCCTTTTATATAATTAAGTTTATGGATTTGGAAAAGTAAATAGACTAAGCTATCACTAGAATTGAAAGTTCCATTTTCCCAAATATTTTCTCTCCTAATCATAATAAAATTGATGATAAAGAAATTTCATCACATAATTTATTTAATGCTGGGACTCTGCGTTTTGCCCCGTCGGTCATAATTACATTATGACATGTAGGTCAGAAAACAATTCCAGCGAATGTTTATGCAATTATGTTTATTCC